ACCTGGGGATTGAAAAAGTGAGAAAAAAAACAAGACCTGGGGCAGCATGGTGGGGGGGGGGGGACAATTGATAGGTGCATCACTTCTTTCAGATCTTTCAGATAATTGAACTTAATTTTAAATTTTTTTTTTATCTCGAAAACACCCGGTAGTTTTTTTACGCAATCTCCTTATTTAGGATCTGCTTGTTTTCTTATGTTTTAGCTTGGGATTATTGTTTGTGGTATTTTGCATCTGTTAATTTCTGTATGTGTATTTGAAGCTGTTATAATCCAACCTAACGGTTGTCAATAAATATATTATCCTATCCTATCTTCTAATGAGGACATATTCGTGATGGAAGTAACATCAATATCAGGCTAAAATAAACTAAATGTATATTTTAAGGATGTATCAAATGTACAAAACAAGGAAGTAGATGTTGTCCGGTATAATAGAAATAGTTGGCAGAATTTGATTTTTATCTTTATTTTAGGGTGCTATGCCAACAGGTCGTCCCTTCTTTAGGATGTGACCAATAGAGAACAAATATGTGTAACTTAAAAAGAAAATAATTTAGTGGGTTCGATTGTTTAAACAGATATCCTAGAGATGCCCCTTTTCAGAAAATGATTGCGTCTATATATCATACAAGCAGCTTTTGTAATAATTGTTTTGAATAATACTTGTAATACTTTGGTGATTTTGAAATTTATTGAATGTGTCACTTTGCATAGATACTGGTAGAGACACACATTATATTAAAACTTGTAAATACTCGGATGTTTTATTTAAATGACACACTACTGAAATTTAGTGCAAGGATTGCACTGAAAAACAATACACAGAGCCATTACGACAATTTGTGCCACGTCACCCAGGCATCTTCCCACAAGATGCAAGAATCATTTACCTTTCACGATCAAACTTTTTATGAATTTATGGTGCAATATGCAGACTGTTCATGTTGCTTTGCATATTTATATGCAGATGTCTTATGTTATAATGCAATATTTAGAATTTTATGGATTATTGTATTTTTGCGATACATTTACAATGCAGTTAGAATACAGAGTTCCATGCTGCTTATTTTGGCCCACGCAGTTATTTTGACAAGTTTAAAGGAAACTTGCAAAATGATTTTATGACTTAAATACATTTTAAACAGCTTTCTTTATTATGACTTTCCACCTCCTTTGTAGGAGTAAAAGGGAGAAATTTCAACATGTATAGTTTTTATGCTCGTGAAAATTTCCATATTCATGAGCCAAAGTGTGATGTTTCAAGGCAGAACAGTAGTGTCTCTATAGCTTTGTGTACAAATACATATCAAACTTTTCTTTATTTTCTTGGAGTAAGTTCCACGTTTTACTTGTTTATCATGTTAAACAGCTAGTTTGGACAATAGTAGTGGCCAATATTTCTTCTAAACTTTGTTTGTGGGTAATTTTGAAGGACTATTTTTTGTACTGTTCATATGCACTTTTGACAAGGAGTACCTTGTGTGACAAAAGCAAAATAGCGCCCTCTTGCATGTATAGATGAAAGTATTTACTAATAATTGAAAAACTACAACTTTCTTGTCACTTCCAATGAAAACAAGTATTAAGATCTTGTATGTATTGTTGCAACACATAGTAATGTGCATGAAGACAAGATGAGCTGAATTTCCACTGCATGTTTCCTTTTAATGAAATTTCATGGATTTTAATATTTTGATTATAACTTTGCTGTAACCTTTCTGTATGCATGCTCACACATACCGTATTTACTGTGATAAGATCTCCGACACACATGGGTGGGGCGCACTAAAGTGATTGCCTTTCCATTTAGTGCGCCAATGATAAACATGTTTGTGAGTGACCAAAATCCCCACCCTGGGGCTTGAAAACGTGACCAAACCCTGACATAAGACCTGGCGCAGCATGGTGGGGGGGGGGGGGGGGGGGACAATTGATAGGTGCATCACTTCTTTCAGATTCTCTGATTAGGACATATCAGTGATGGAAGTAACATCAATATATTTATTCAGGCATCGGCCATAACTGTTTATTTTAAGGATGTGTCAAATTTACAAAACAAGGAAGTGAATATTGTCCGTTTATAATAGAAATAGTTGGCAGAAATTTTAATTTTGTTTTAATTTTAGGGTGCTATGCCAACGGGTTGTCCCTTCTTTAGGATGTGACCGATAGAGAAAAAAATATGTGTAACTTAAAAAGAAAATAATTTAGTGGGTTCGATTATTTAAACAGATATCTAGAGATGCCTCTTTTCATAAAATGAAAGTGTCTTTATATCATACAAGTAGCTTTTGTTATAATTGTTTTGAATAATACTTTCCATTAATTGTAATACTTTGGTGATTTTGAAATTTATTTAATGTGTCACTTTGCACAGGTACTGGTAAAGACACACATTATATTAAAACTGAATGGGACTTTATGTTTATATTTTTGGTGTAAATACTCAGATGTTTTATTTAAATGACACAATAATGAAATTTAGTGCAAGGAATTTTACTGAGAAACAATACACAGAGCTGTTACGACAATTTGTGCCAATACAGGTCACCCAGGCATCTTCACACAAGATGCAAGAATCATTTACCTTTCATGATCAAACTTTTTATGAATTTTTGGTGCAATATGCAGACTGTTCATGTCGCTTTGCATATTTATACGCAGATGTCTTATGTTTTAATGCAATATTTAGAATTTTATGGATTATTGTATTTTTGTGATACATTTACAATGTAGTTAGAATACAGAGTTCCATGCTGCTTATTTTGGCCCACGCAGTTATTTTGACAAGTTTAAAGGAAACATGCAATAGGATTTTTATGACTTAAATACATTTTAAACAGCTTTCTTTATTCTGACTTTCCACCTCCTTTGTAGGAGTAAAAGGGAGAAATTTCAACATGTTAGTTTTTATGCTCATGAAAATTTCCATATTCATGAGCCAAAGTGTGATGTTTCAAGGCAGAACAGTAGTGTCTCCATAGCTTTGTGTACAAATACATATCAAACTTTTCTTTATTTTCTTGGAGTAAGTTCCACTTTTTACTTATTTATCATGTTAAACAGCTAGTTTGGGCAATAGTAGTGGCCAATATTTCTTCCAAACTTTGTTTGTGGGTAATTTTGAAGGACTAATTTTTGTACTGTTCATATGCACTTTTGACAAGGAGTACCTTGTGTGACAAAAGCAAAATAGCGCCCTCTTGCATGTATTGATGAAAGGATTTGCTAATAATTGAAAAATTACAACTTTCTTGTCACTTCTAATGAAAACAAGTATTAAGATCTTGTATACATTGTTGCAACACATAGTAATGTGCATGAAAACAAGATGAGCTGAATTTCCACTGCATGTTTCCTTTAAGTGAAATTTCATGGGTTTTAATATTTTGATTATAACTTGCTGTAACGTTTCTGCATGCATGCTCACACATATTTACTGTGATTAGATGTATTAATACTATTATCATGGACTATTTGACAATTTGTTGTAACTCAGAGCTTTCATGTTGCTTAAAGTACTTATGCAGAATGTTTAATGTAATGATTTGAAATACGGAACTGTCTTAAATTAGTATATATTTTTGATGTGTTTCATGTGATACACAGTCATTCATGATGCATGCTTTGCGCATTTAATACGCAGAAAGGTAAGGGCATCCCTTATTATTTCTCTGGTTCTAATTTCCGGCCGACCCTATTTTGACCTCTCTACCCAAGAAAAAAAAAATTGATTACCGCCGAGCCTGTTTGAAACCCCACTAAAACAAAAAATCAACAAATGAAAAAAATAACAACAAATGAAAAAAAAAAAAGAATACAAAATTCAGGCAATCAAGGTTCTATGTTATGTGGGGCGCTGTGGTCCAATGGTTACGGTGTTCGACTCGTGTGCCGTGGTGCATGGGTTCAAATCCTGACCGTGGGAACATGGTGCTTGTGCTCTCGAGCAAGGCACTTCACCATTATTGCTTCGTCCATCAGATGGCACGTAAAGCCGTAGGTCCCGTGTGTTGTGTAATGCACGTTAAAGAACCCAGTAACACTTATCGCTAAGAGAAGGGGTTTGCCCTGGTGTTTCTGGCAGTGGCTGCAATATGCGCTGCAGCACCTAGCAAAAAGGTGCTACATAATGGGTCTCATATGTTCATATACTTCATTTACCTGTCTTTAGTTGCATTCTCCCCTAGTGCTTTGTATCATTTGGAAAAGGCGCTTTATAAATACGGTAATTATTATTATCATTATTATTATTTGAAAAGCTATGGAAAAATAATACCACATTTTTACCCAGAGTACAGCATATAGCAACCAGTGATATGCCATAAGATGCAAGGGTGTTGCCTGTCATTATTAGGTGTCTCTAGTTTATCTTCACAGGGGCATGGTATGTCAAGGCTGCCAATACAGCCAAAACGTTAGTAAGCTGCATGGTGCAGAAAATATTAAGTCTGCGAAAGATGGCTTTATTGTTTTGTTTTATAGCGTTATCAACTCATGATAAACTCATTGCAATAAACAAAACTAGAGACAATATACATTTGGCATCATTTAATTTAGCGTTCTTTATGGGTACAACTGCAATTTCTTCCTTCAGATTTTCATTTTTGTTTGACTGACCGAACCTACCAACTGACCCATCTTACTTTATAGGGAAAACAAAATGAGAACCATAGATATAAAAAGAAAACCCTTATGCCAGTGTTGGTCTTGGAGTCAGGTCCTGTTCTGATACAACAGACAAACAAACAAACAAATAAACAAACAACCCAACCAAAAAAAACCTGAATCCCTACACTTCTATTACAGAATTCCTTAAAAACTAATTGTCATTACAAAGTTGGATAATGAATGAATACGCAGAGCAACAAAAAAACCCAAAATGTTGTAAAGAAACAGCAGTGAATCGTTCAAGTACTTGAAAGCAAATTCATGGCATTTATGAAAAGCAATAATATAAATGTAGTATCATGTTAGCGACTTGTCAGCGCAGCCTACCTTGATGGCTTCCAGTGTTAGTGGTTTCTTTCCTCCAGTAAACTTCTTGCCGGTGTCTTCTGTAACAGTCAAGCTTTCAGCCGAGCCGTCCTCAGATGCTGATGACAGAAAATTAAATATGTGAGCTGACGGTTAGCATATGGGTTGGCAAGGAAGAGTGGCTTGTGTAATTAAAGCTTTAGTCCATCATTTGCAGCCATCCGAAAAGTAACTGGTGTAATTATTGTTGAAAAACATACTTGGTTGAAAGATAGTAAGAGGACTAAACTCCCTGTGAAATTATTCTTTCTGGCAAGCTGTCATTTTGAAGTAATCAACGAAAGAAGGCCTTTCCAACGGTGCGTCTTAAGACGCACCGTAGGAAAATTTACATTAGTAGTTCGTTTTGTTATTCGGCGAAGCGCATGCAAGCATTGGCACGATGCACACGCGCACGCGGTTGCTATAATTCGTCGGATCAGTGCGCGACATTGCGTATAGCTGCAATCGGCTCAGTGAGAACGTCTCTCGGACGCTGTCAGGCCCAATTCAAAACATGATTCAGCAACTTTTGATTTGAAATTGAGATCCTAGAATGCTGTTTTTCTCGGAATATACAGCTGAAGCTGAGCTGAAACTTCATCAGGTTAGTTGTTCAGTATCCTTCATTAGATTTTGAACACTTTTGTTGCTTCAAACGAACAAAATGCACAAATTGCAAATGATGGACTATATCTTTAAGTGCATTTTACACCTAAACTTCATCGTGCATGCAGGGTTAGCTCAGAATTTTGTGCTCGTGCTGTAAGCACAGAATGACAGTGCTTATGTGGTGCTTTACAGCTTTTACTCCATGGGTGCGCGTGCGTTCCCTCACTAACCCCTGGCCGTGGTGAACACGTAAACGACGCTAACTGGCTATTCAGAGCGTACTGCGCGCGCATTTCGAAGACTGCATGTGTGCTATGCACGTCACGTCATGTACGAGCATAATTTTTTCAAAACTGCGCAATGCCTGTACGATATGGAGTATGGCAGCCTCCTTTTTCACCCCCCCAAAAAACCTGTACCTTCAGTTGTAAAGGGACAAAAGAGGTACATAATTTTAATACAAATCCTTGCTAAATAACGCGACGTCGAAACCTTATGTTGAAAGGATTGATTCTTCAAAAACACAACTTTCAACATTTTAAACATGGCGTTGCGCATTAGATACATCGACTGCAGTCCTAATTTAAATGTGTCATATATTTTGACACATTTAAATTAGACACATCCAGGGGTTACAATCGCGCAAGGCATGATGGGAAACAACATGGCGCAGCAAGATCGTACCCATGGAAACGAGGTTGGGTGCTTTATACCAATGTCTCACAGTTATTACCCATGTTCATCAGGCCATGAGATTAGGTTTGTGCAGCAGCTTAAGATCAAGGTAATATGATCTCTACCCTCACAGGTACCCATTTATACTCCTAGGTGAATAGGGGCAATTGCAGTAAAGTGTCTTGCCCAAGAACACAAACACCATGTTACCATCAAAGTTTTAGTCCATGTGCCATTACACATAAGTCGGAATAAGTGTGTGATTTCTAATGGTAAAAATGGTTGTCACATGTATTAGTTCTTGTCATCACCCCTTCTCTTTTACCCTGGTAGGACCCGCCCCCTCCCTGTCTATCCACACCCCAGGCTTACCCAGGGCATCCTCCACAGTAATCTTGGTGTGCGTCTTCTCTGTCTTCTTAGACACCACAGAGTTAGGAGGCTTGCTGATGGTGGTGCTGGTGGTTGGGCTGGGTTTCCTCTGGGGTGGCTCGGGGCTTGAACTAGTCCTGAAGACCAAATAAAAAAAACTTTATCAAATAAATTTACAAATACATTTAATAAAATTTAATTCATATATTTCTTTCAAGTGGAATTAATGTTTTGTAAACTGGAAGTTGGTTGAGAAAAAATTCAGCAGAAAAACAACAACAGATTTCGACAAATTTTCCACAATATGACAAACCCCACTCTTTTCAAATCTGCTTTAAGTACAACACTTAGCACCAATTGGGGCTTTATATTAGTAGCACTTGTGATTACGGTGACTTTTTGTTAATCATTCAGTCTACTGCCAATTGCAGTCTTCTTGAAAATGTTTTTGAAGTTTTTCAAGCTAGAACACAACAAAATAAGGGATTAAGTGAGGGAACCAGGATTTTTTCCAAAATGGTGAGGCAGTGGTCTTCAAGTCAAGGATGTATGGAGTGTATACCCTGGTGAATTTTGCCCTAGGTAGTCTTACGTGATGATGTCGACATCAGGCATGGCTTGTATCGTTGATGCAATGGCTACCATCAGGTGTGCCTGGGCTAAGGACAGGTGACATGTCAGGTGGGGTCCATACAGTGTGGCCAGCGAGGGCGACAGTCTCTTCTCTATAAGTGTCTCTAGCATCTACAAAGAAACGACAGAGCAAAACTTGACTACTTCTATCGTTCACTGTTTTAAAGTGACAGCATCCAAATACACATGGTACATCAGCTGGTTTAGCATTGGCAGGCCGACCCTGGCAAGCTTGGTGGTCGAGTGGTTAAGACATCAGCAATCCTAATTAAGTATTTAAGAGGATTTCAATTACACTCACCTTTAGGTTTGTGGGTTCCATCAAAGGCTTGGCCGAGTTAAACTTCTGAGAAGACTGAAGAGAGAAAATATATCAAAGTGTACTTGAACCATAGGAATTACCACTGTAATTTGGGAACATTAAAGATATTTAAGAACACTTGCATTATTTTAGACAAACCAGACACACTTTTTAAAAAGCACTACAAAGTCTTTAAATCATACAGCATAACATTCTCATCTTAATAAAAACAAATCCTCTATGTCAGAGTGAAGTTGGAATAAGAACTTAAGAAAGAACTGAAGAGATGTAATCTTTGAAGAAGTGCTTACCATTTTGGATTCCACCTGTCGGAAGTTATTGTCAGCTGTCTGTGGTAGGCGCTCACCATGCAGCAAACGACCCAGGACGATGAAGGCTTCACTGTACAGGCTCAGCTCAGTCAGAATGCGTACCTACGTAAACCAATAAAGGTTACATAAGGGATAACTTGTAGAACACTATCACAAGTATGGTTGTCGTTTACATCCTCTGGAAAACTTTCAGTAATGTTAACCTTCCATGGTAAATGTGACACAATTATTACCCCTGTTCATCAGGCCATGAGACCAAATTTTCTGCAGCTGCTGAAGATCAGCGGAACCCAGTCTCAACCCTCACAGGTACCTATTCATACTCCTGGGTTGAGAGAGGCTATTGTAGTAAAATATCTTGCCCAAGAACACAATCACCATGTTCCTGTCAGGGTTCAAACCCATGTTCCATCACACATGAATCAGACATCATGACTACTGGACCATGGTGTGCAGTCTGCAGAAATCTTAGAGGTCAATGGTGCTGTGAATGTTTTTAGAGCTGGGTTACAGATTGACAAGATGTGAGTTGAGAGAGAGAGATTGTTTTACCTTAAGGATCCGACCATCCACTGCACGCTGTAGGTCTCTGCAGACAAACGTGGTGAGGTACTGGTACAGCGTCAACAGGGGCAGAACCTGCAGACAGAACACACACGTGTGAGAAAATTGAGTCTGGTGGTCTGATAAGAAGGTCGAATCCGATTTAGTCAAGGTTTCAAGACTGTGGGTTTGAATCTGGCACCAGAACACTCTGAACACAGCAAATTCTTGATAAAAAACATTTGCTATTCCAAATGTGCTAGAATGACAATGACAAGATTAAAACTTTTTTTTTTTCCATTAAAAACATTGGAAAGTAGAAAACAAGAATGTGTACCACAAATATGATGTAAATCATGACAATAATTTTACATAAAAAAGCTCAATCGGCTATAAGAATTCTACATTACCAAATTCCATCTGAAGTTCTGAAATTGAAAAGTTCTTGCATCTGAAAACAGAGTCATATTCAGACTAAGCACTGCAACACATGGAATGTAATACAAATTAGTTGCATCATGATGTCACATTCCTAGAGACCCACCATGAGGTTGTGCCTGCCTCTAGACAGCTCCTCAGCCACCCAGCGCAGCGAGGCCAGCAGAGTCCTGCCATCACACCGGTATCGGTCCGACAGGAGGTCCACCCCAGGCACCAGGTATTGGACCTCGCAGCCCTCGCCGATCTCGTACAGGGCATAGTCACGGTCGGCTGTTGGGTGGGGCAGGGAGGCACGGAACAGGGCCTTGAAGAGGAAGGCGGAGAGGAAGCAGCTCTCCATGCGCAGGCCTAAGTCAGAAGTCAGGATGTACCTGGACCAAACAAAAATAGGGGCAAAGGTCAAATGAAGACCAGAGGTCAAGGTGTATCTGGATTACATTGTATTTAGTCCGTGATGAATCCATACATCCATAGAGTGCTTGGGTGGGTTTGAATGGTATAAGGAGTATATGGCAGGGGACTTTAGTGCGTTACAGGGACTAACCCTCCCTCTCTCAGTGACAATCTAGAGAGAGTTACCCTATACATCAAAATCTATCAGGTGACAGGTTTTGACAGGTCTGTAAACTGGCCTCATATTGGTACAATTGACAGGCTGTGGTAGGTATGTTAACTCAGGGTACCATGCCTTGACTGACATTGATAGATGTGATGGGTCAGCGCTGGTGAGTGCCTGTCAATGATGGATTTATCTCAGTCACAATGAAGGCACACAAGGTTCACTCATGCATTCCAGCCAAACAAAGGCATCCCCCATAAAATGGCTGCTACACAAGCTGAACCAGTATTAATGGTCACCCTATCTATCAAACCCCTTCAACAGGCTTTGACAGTTATACGGTTTAATTCATAGGGGATCTGGTAGTTGGTGACCGGCCTGTACAAAAGCTACGGGAGAGGAAGTGGATAGATTTTTTCGACGTTTTGTGACAGTTATATCAACAGGAGGGTTATGAGTTAACAACATATATTCAGTATGACAGGGCAGACCCATTTAATGCTCAGGCTTATTGTCTGACCCTCAAACTATGGTTTTTCATTCAATTGTTTTCTTTTGTTTGCTTTTACATGGTAGGATGTAAACCAAACAACACTCTAAACCGGAGCATGTAGCTGAGTCCTAACAGCCAACGGATGGACAGGCCTACTTGCATACATGCATTACATGTTATGAATGAACCCAAACAAAACCAATCGAGGCACAACTAAAAAATTTGACAGCCAAATCTGACCAACCAAGAGATGGCCAGGCCTACTTACATACATACATGCATTAATTGTTATGATTTAAACAAAACCAATCAAAACAAGTCTGACAGCCGAATCTGACCAACCAAGAGATGGCCAGGCATACATACTGTGCAATCTTGGAGGCAAGCACGGCTCCAAGCAGGCAGCCCCACATCCCGCAGCGATCCAGCAGCTGAGAGCTGATCTCATGCTGTGACTTCTGGCCAGTCAGCAGCTGTCGCCAGCTGTGCAGCGTGTCTGTGGTGTTCATGATCAGATCTAGGGACTCGGACCACCACTTGAACGCTGCTCTGAGTTTAGGGAAAGAAGAATTCAAAAGTTGTCATTATACTGCATGAAAGATGGCACTGAACTCGTTCCCCAAATTTATCAGAATTGTAATAAAAATTTAAGCAATGATAATTTTCTAAAAACCATTTACCGTGGGTTTTCACAGATAGCATTATATTTTTTTGCAAACAATGATAGACAGTTTTCATTTTCATTTCCAAATCTTCCAAGATGTGCCTGTCAAGGAGAGCAATCTTGAGTAAAGAATATTACCGAATGAGTACACTTACAGCCCTAAATGATGCCAATACATTCCGAAATGTTGAAATGTCTTCACTCAAAAATTAAATGTACGTGCAGTTCATGCTGCTATGTCAGCTTGTCATTAATGTTGACATGAAGTTTCTGTTACAAATTTTTTTTTGCTCCAGATTTTTTTCTAATCCATGCCAATGGTTTTGTGTTGATATCACTTGGCTCTGTAACAATAAAGAGGAAAAGGAAACTCAGAGCCTACATGGATTTCAAGTTTACCTGATGTTAGCAGCGTGGTAGTGCAAGTTGCCCAATTCATGCATGGCTTGAGCTGTCAGGCCTAACTGCTTCCTGGCCAGTAACATCTCTGCAGACAAAATTGAGGAACACGGTAACAAAGAGATTTTACAACAAAATAATTATTTAATGAATATACGCTCCATTCCAAAATACCCTCCCCCCAAAAAAACCCCCAGTATCATACCTCAAGATAACACAGGGCAGATTTTTTTCATGCAAACCTGTGAGGAACTCATTTATAGTAAGTAAAGTCTGTCACGAGCCAATGTGGCCCGTCAGGCCAGCGTTTGTCTCTGGTTTCATTAGCATGAAACGACTGAGAACCTTTCTACTCCCCCTGGATGGGATGCCAGTCCATCGCAGGTTACTCCCAGCTAATGCCGGTATCCATTTATACTCCTGGGTGGAGAGAGGCAAGTGGGGTGAAGTGGCTTGCCCAAGGACACAACATATGACCAGCGGCTGGATTCGAACCCCTGACTCTCTGATCATGAGTCACAAACCCCGACCACTAGGCCATACTATCTCGTATCAGTTCATGCCGTCTTCTGAATTTGAAGTCTAGAACATATATCAAAGGGGTACCAGCCTAGTTTACATTGCTCAGTATTGTGGTCATTAAACCATGACTAATTTTTTTTTTTTATGGGGGGGGGGGGTTCGGAGATGAACGGAATAACAAAATCCTGGAGTTACTAGGAGCCTTTTCCATACCGATGGTCTTGTCGTAGGAGGTCAGCACCACTCCCAGCTGTGACTTGGGCAGTGCCGATGTCTGGACCTCGGCCATGGTCTTGAACTCTGCTCGGGCCAGGTCAGGCGGGACAGTCATCTGGGGCTGGTCATCTGTCTCTGAGAAACCAACCCGGCTGTGGATGCTGTGATGGCTGGGCGCTGGGGCAGCTGTGGTCAGAGAAACAGAACAAGTTATTAGTATTAGGCCGCATATTAATTATGACTACGGCTGGCAGTAACGCACGTGTCTATGGCAAGTAGCCACAGCCGCTTCTATAGGTTCATGTGTAATTGCAAGCCGTAGCCAAGTACAAATTCAGACATAGTCTTAGGCTGTGTCCAAATTACTTTTCAACGGCTTGGCATTACACAGGTGTCTATGGAAGTGGCTGCAGTCACTTCCCATAGACACATGTGTAATTTCAAGTCGTAGCCAAGTAATTTGGACACGGCCTTATTTATGGTTTCTTCTATGGATTTATATCCTGTTCGTTAGTAAAAACGTCATCTGCGCGCACACCAATGATAACTAACTCAATGGTTCCAATGGTTCCAATGCTACTGAATGGCCAGTGGGCGTGGTTTAAACTGAAGTGACGTCACACTAACGAACTGGATAGCGATTGGAATCCATAATCATTTAATGATTCTCTTGACAAACTACACTATAAAAAAAAAACCTGCTCAAAAGCAACATTTTTCTTCAATGTAGAAAATTAATTTATATATCAGTAATTCCCAAGTACTTTTGTTGATAATTTCCAAAAAGCTGGGACTTTAAATGTGTTAATAATTAATCCAAGCTCTTCTTCCATTTTTGTTGAAGTATTTTTCTTTTCAAAAGGGTTGTAAAAAGGCTGTAAAAAGGCTGTAAAAAGGCAAAAGTTGAAGCTGGTGAATGGGAAAACGGCCATAGTATATATTTTTCTGGGTTGAAAATTGTCAAATGGGGACCAACAATCAAACACTGAGGTTAAAGAAGAATTTTACATCAGCCCAGTGCAGGCTCTTTCATTTTCTTTGAGAAACCAAAACGTTCCATGTTCAGGAAATTCCTACCGTTTTGCTGTGTAGCCAGGTAGAGCACCAGCAGCTTACGGCTGTGCTGTAAGGCTCTTGCTGTGTAGTTAGAGGCACTCAGTGCTTGCTGAAACACAGACAGACTGTCTCCAACATCCAGGGGGACGCAGACTAGCTTCCCTGCATCTGAAGCTCCTGAGAAGACCAAAAAAAAGAGCGTTTGCTAAACCGTACGTTAAAAAGGAATTTTCATGGTTACTGCAAACTATACAACTTTCCGTTTGTACTACATTGTTATTGACATAAAAATGTGTACTAAATATTACTGTGATCTTGTAATTCCTCCAAAATAAACAAAGATGCACAATTCCTTTAAAATTTCTCCATGGAATCACCTTGTCGGCAAAAATTAGACAGATTCACATTAGCATCACAGCTGAGTCTCTCAGTGCTATGAAAACCATTAACCCTAAGAATGATTTACTAGGAACCGTACCTATCCTGGCAAATTCCAGCACCATATGGGAAACTGCACACACATATTTCTGACTTTGATTCTGGAGGTGTGCCAACCCAATGTAAAAGACTGTCAGTTTAGGGGTACTGTACTCATCCCGACAGATTCCAACAAAACATGCTGTTGGGGTTTGATGGGTTGAGTTCTGTTAGGGTTAAAGGACAATGATGACTGTTTATTTTTTTCTTGTGACAAAAAAGCAGCATGAAGCCCCTGTTTTTTATGCTAATTTAAAATTTGTTGATGCTTTAACTCGCTCCGGACAGCCAACATGTTTGCATTGATCAGTTTTGGCTTTTGTGCTATTATTTTTAAGGATCTAGGGGTGGATTGGAAACAAATCTCAGGGAGGGAGAAGCATAATGCCAAGTGATGAAAAAGATATAAGGACTGACCTCCGTACACATCATGGCCCTCGGGGTCAATCCTCCCGCCCATATCGATAGCCTTGAGATTGGACGGGTCCAGCTCAACGGTCAGCTGCACGTCGGTGTAGTTCCTGGCTGTGATCGGTACCCCACCTAGCTTGTCCGAGGCAAGCTGGAAGTGGGGCTGGACAGGGGGTGGGCCCCCATAGGCTTGGAGGCGGGAGATGAGCTTGCGTTGGGCCTGGATCAGGAGAGGGCTGACCTGTTCCGAGTAACGCTCCCTGTGAAGACAGACAGGAAATTAATCAATGTATGCTGGAAAAAGGGTTGTATTTTTGATATGAGCCTTATCATGGTTGACGCAGATGCAAAGCTACTTTACTTTGATGCACAAAATACTCATGGCAAAAATCAACCGAGGTGCAATGTACTCAATTTTGTTGGCAAGCTCATGTCCTGAATATGTGCTGTTGTGCCAAAAATTTGCATATTTGCATTTTCTTTTTTTGAGCTGGCCATCCCAAAAGATGCCTAAATGGAGTTACTTTACTTTACTTTAAATGCCTCTATCTTGTCAAAAAAAGTTCACTTCCATTGTTTAACTAGTTAATGCCGGAGACCTTGAAATACACGATCTGGCAATGTATATTCACAGGGGCGGGTGACGGGTTAAATCATCAAGCTTTCCCATAGTCTTCGGCAGTGGACATGTATGCATGCCAGTGGTTCCCACTGGTTGTGTACACACCATGTTTTGAACTTGAACGATGTACACGACTTTATACTCGTAGCATATACCGCTCCATGGCGGGTTGCAAATATGAAGTTATGGTGAGAATATCGTACAGATATTGTACAAAAGACTCTCAAGAGTCAGTATTTGTGGTGTATGACTTGATTTTAAAATGTGGCCGATATATATTGACTTTTTCAACAAAAATAGTGTTTTCCAGCCAAAAACAATCCTGACAGCAAGTGGTTAAGTTTAAATATTTCAATGCCAGATTTCTCTTTGTCGATTTTTATTTCTTTATACCACATTAAATAACCTTAAATATTATGCTAATTCATACTGTACTTACACCACTGCGAATTAAGTGTACTTTTCACGCAACACATGAACTTGATGATAGTTTTAATGGGTGAAAAATAATTATAAAAATCAGTGGGCAAACTTGAAGGGAAGCCACAAAAGAACTAAAGCTCACTGTGCCAGGACGTTGAATCTCATGGCCACGTCTGCCAGGCATTCCCACTGCTGCTCATAATATAGCATCTCCAGCACCCTGAGCACCATGCGTCGCATCCAGCGGGAGTCGGCCGTGCTCAGGTCATCCAGGGGATTCTCAAACTTCAGGCTGGCACCGCCCTTCTCGTCTGAGACGGAACCCACCCAGCTGTTGACCAGGACGGGTGGCTGCTTCTTGGACTTCTGAAGGAATAAAAATTCATTGCATTTGAATGAGATGCTGGGATTGAAACATTAATCTCTCTAACTTTTTTTTGTGATTTAGACTAAATATATTGAATAACTGCAGTGAAACCTGTCCTGTCAAAAAATGCTCTCCGTTGTTTACAGCATGTGCTTTGATTACTGATGTCTTGACGAAGGTGTTATGGTAAGATCAGGTCATTCTGTTAAAGGGAATATACATCATTTGCTTTTGCTGTAATTTTCAGAAATGGATGGAATTGGGGGGGTTGGAAATATATAGCAAATATAGTTACACTGACTTTTTTGAGGTTTTGGGTTCGAAAATGCTATAAAAACCAAGAAAAACGATCATTTTCCTGTAGTCTGGTTCCCTGACTCCATATAAGAAGAAACAGAGCAGTTTACATACATTGGGGAATTGTAAGGTCAGGGAACCAGTCTAGCTGGCTCATACACGTTCATAGGTTTGTAATCGATTGCAAACAAGTGCGATGGTCAATTGGGGCCAGTATTTGAAAAAAAAGCCAGTTGTTTCCAATGCTGATCGACCGATCAGCGTTGGAAATTGATACAAAAATACCACTTTTCTTGAAAAGTATACCAGGTGCCATGATTTTACAGGATGCTTTACACTGTCATTCACTAACAGTCCAGCAAGGTATTTCAAAATTATTTGGTAGTTTTATTTTTTGATGTTTGCAAATGTTGTATTTTCCCTTTAACTCTTGGCACCATTTAAGATATTTGGCTTTATCAGTCTTCAGGTTCGCAATTATTTGCCCATAATTTGAGAGACTCGTCAGAATCAAAATTCTGCTACGGAAGAATTGAATTTTTAAATTTATTCGTTTATGATCATTAGGCAATTGGCCGGGATAGTCCACGAAAGACTTTCAACTTAATTCCAGTTGGGTCCCTTGGTAGAAGACGTGGAAGGAAATTACAGTTTTAGAGGTGGGAGGAAAACCCCAAAAATGATACTCTTGGGAAACCCGCAGAATCAGGCAGGTACTGAAAACCCAATCCACATATTAGCCCAGGCGAGATTCGAACCCGGGTCACAGCTGAGGAAAGTACCGCTACATCAACCTGATCCCCCCAAAAAACATGAAGCCAATGTTCAGAGTCCATGTGTGTCTTTGAAACGTTCAGTTTGAATAGGCTCACAAATGGATACAGAACCAGTGATGGCGACAAAGCTGGAGACGAAACCAACATTTCACAAATACAACTGTGGTTTACGAAATGTCGGCTGTGTCTCAAGCATCGGCTTCAAATCCAATGAAAATACACCAACCACTGGCCTTGTGCGACAGGACTGGTGTCTTTATAGCAGAAATTGGACCAATATTGTAAACAGCTCGGTCAATCAGGGGACAAGAAACATGGACCTGGAGCCTGACGTCAAATTCTAAGCCGAGGTTTCGTAAATCCTACAAACCTTCTGCGATGCCTCCGCCTGGTTCTGCAGAAACACCATCATGTCCAGCAGGCAGTCCACGGCCGTGTAGAAGGGCCTCCAGACCACGGCCCTCAGGGCCTCCACGGAGAGCAGGCCGTTGGTGTGACCGCTGGCGAAGGTGTGGAGCAAGGCGGTGTGGGCACAGTTCCAGAGAGCTCGGCTGGCGTTCTGCAGGAGGGTCCAATGGCTGCCACGATGTGCTAAGACCTGGGGGGGAGGGGGGGAGGTCATGTTGCAGGAAATGTTTTTCTTTAAGTGAGTCGTTATGATTTTAACATTATTATTTCTGACAAGGTACTTTCTTTGAAAGAATATATGTCAGCATTGCATAAAGCAATATTACAGACAATTGATTTTTAAATTGGGAGGGTTTTTTTTTTTTTTTTTAAGTAGTATCGCTTGTCAGGCTTCTTTCTTTAAGTCTGAGAAAACATCAATTTCTGGCAGGTCAAGCATTGGTGAGGAAAATCCATCACAATTTACACTAACGCCTTTCTCTGCTGGAATTCACTGTAAATAAATTGATTAAAAACCTCACTCAACTTCTGATCAACTTTTGATTTTAACTTCAAAACTCCAGAGTAACAACGGAAAAAGAAGTTCAGTTGGTCACACTACGGTAGCCCCGATGGTGTATTGTTTTTTTGTTTAATGGAATCGGAACAACAGCTACATTGTCACTTGGCTGGACTACTGTGAGTTCTTGGTTGGTTCTTCTCCTTAATACTCCTCGTGGGAGTTTATACAGGAGGCCAGAAACACCGGGGCAGACCCCTTCTCTTAGCGATAGGTGTCACTAGGTTCTTTTACGTGCATTGCATTGCATTACACAACACATGGGACCTACGGCTTTCCGACCATCCGAAGGACGATGCAATACTGGTTAAGTGCCTTGCTTAAGGACACAAGTGTCTACCCGGGCTTGAACCCACGGCACTGTTGCCTCTGAAACACCAGAGCATGAGTCCGGTGCTCTTAACCGCTTGGCCATGACACTCCATGTCTGGATGTTTTAAGGTAGTTTAGGGCTGGCAATAGTACGACTTCAGGCTCAAAATGCTCAGGTGTGGAGAATTTTTTTTTAAAATCAAGCCCAACATCCCCCCTTTTGGTCTTTTATGGCATACTCAACATAATCCAACACAAAAAGAAACCATGAGCAACTGACCACTGCTTTCTTGAGGTGGTCAAACGTCTTCTTCAAGCTATCCACAGTGGCCTGCGTGGTGATGCCAGCATAGTCAATGTGGTGCTGTGGGGCTTTGGTGGTTGGTTTCTCGCTGTCGTAGGAACGATACGTCCTCATGGTGTCTGATTCTTTGTCGTCTGGGGGAGGGGGCACCACCGGCACTGGCTTACCTTGAAAAAAAAAATAATTAAAACTTACTTAAAAGACATTACTAATGGCAAGACAAAATCTGTGAATTTCGGTAAAAATCACATAAGTGTGGATGCTGATGTTTAAAATGTTGTAGTAAAGGGCCATTCTATAAATTTAGGTTCAAAAGTGGCAATTTTTTTCTGTCCCTGTTACCTTGGTACTTTGTAATTTGCCATTTAAATATCACTAAGAATGACTTCAACATTTTTAAAATTGTTGACAGGTAGTTTGCTATTCATAATCACTCTTAGAGGACGACTGCATTAAGGAGTGCATGCAGATTTATAAAATTACAGGTGTCAGATGTAACAGGAACAGGACAAAAAGCGGACCCAAATTTATAGAATGACACTAATTTGGTATTTATTGTGATATTCTATTGTTTGAGAGTTGCCATGGGTTTCAAAAGTTTGTTTGTCCATCTCTGTGGCTTTTGGCTGTGAAATTATCATGTGACTCACATTACACTAACCAACAGTAACCATACTGCGATCCATAATAGCCGTAAGAATACCCTGGTGTGACTCACATTACACTTACCCACAGTAACGAGTGCAGCCACCTCTATGGCCGAGGGCTGCATCTTGTACTCGTCTCCAGGGTCCATCTGCTGTAGCTGAGCGATGACAGGGTCATTCATGGACGGTCGCGTGTCATCCTGTCTGGTGGCTGCCCTGGATGGCCCTCCGTCCCAGCCAACGACTAAGGTACCGGCTGTCTCAAAGGTGAACCACTCATTGTCCAAGTAAGATGATCTAAGAATAGAAAGAATTATGTACATCTAAGCAAAGACCTGATTTCCAAATATGTTGATGCACCCTAACGTGGCGCGGCCCCTAACATGGCTAACTTTGATTTTTCGCCTCTAGTGCCTTGCTAGAGCAGTTTTTTTCACCTCAAATTTGACAGTAAGTGAAATTTCATCAAGCTCTAAACATTCCCGTTCATAAATCTTGAGTTTAAGTACCCGCTACAAAGTTCCTGAGAAATTCTATTTCGGTATGATTTTCTGATTTTATTTTGAAGTGCACAATAAACCCTTTTAAAATGAGCTGAAAAATAAGAAAACGTTTTTCTCACAAATTTGTAGGTAGGTATGTGATTGGAGATAATGATGATTTTAATATCAGAATTTGTCAACTTGAAAGAAATTCTTAAATGTTAACGTAGGATTTTCCGAGATTTTCTCAGGTGCGCCATGTTACAGAACACTCGGCCGATTTTGTGCCTTATTTCCGGACGCCGCTGTTTTTGAATTTCAGACTGAATTTCATGACACTGAAATTGTTCACAACGGTTCCACAGCAATCATTATTAAGGTAATAGTACCAGTATTTAACTGATTGAATTTGAAATTTTTCAACAAACATGTCTGGCAACACTACATGAGGAAAGTTAAGGGAAACGTCAAAGTGCGTCACGTTAGGGGACTCCACTATAGGTTAACATATCTGATGTTGCTAACATCTTGACTTTGGATTCTGACTAGCATCCAACGAACAAAGACATTGGCATTTTTGGAGAATACCAACATAGGGGCTGGATAGCTCAGTTGGTAGCGTTTGAGTTCTTCACCTAGTTGGTTTCCCTTGTTATTTACATGACAAACTATTTTGTTCCAGCATATACAATTTTGTGGTTTTTTTCCAACAAAAATCTTTGTCCCTACTACCTGCTATTTACCTGTAGATATCTCCCGCTGCTGGCCCCATCAGCTTGTCTCTCTTCACCACTTTGTTCAAGAACTGAGCAAAGTGGCACAATCCCTGAAGAATGTTCAACTGCAAGGATAACAGAGAAATTCAGTTGACTTGATTCACTTTTGTTATCTCAGACAGACCATTTTGTTCTGGATGTTAGGCACTCTCATAAATACATTTTGGTTAAATGTTGTGACTTGTGATAAGAGGGTCAGGGGTTAGAATCCAGTTGCTGGCCATGTGTTTTGTCCTTGGGCAAACAACTGCACTGGGTTTTAAAGCAGGAATTATCCATCAAATTTTGGAAATACAATGGAATTTCAGGAAAAGGGATTATGCAATTCAAAGGAATATTAAATACAGCCCTGGTTACGGTTTATCTGGAGGTTCGGTTTTGGTTAGATTTGGCAATGTGGACAAGATGAGTCTACTAATTGTCTGAGCTTTCAAACCTGGCCTCTCATCATACCTGGGTTCTCCAAGGGATCTCATCGGCACAGATCTTTCTCAGCCTCTGCTTCTTCTTCTGGGTGTGGTAGAACTCAGGCAGGATCTGCTCCAACTTCTCAAAAGCCTGTCATCAATACAAAAGAGAAATGAATAACATGAGTAAACTGGACTTTTGTAGATTTAACTTGTGTACAGCGAGCCACGGTATTGGCTCAAAACTGCTGAGAGACACTCAGTTGATATAATAATATAATTCCATGGGCCAATATGTTTGACTCACGTGCGGTGGTATGTGGGTTCAACCCCTGACAGGAAACACAGTGCTTGTGTTCTTGGGTGAGACACTTTACTACAATGGCCTCTCTCCACCAGGAGTACTAATGGGTATCTCTGAGGGTAGAGACCAGATTGCGCTGATCTCGCGCTGCTGCAGGAAACTGGTCTCACAGCCAGGACCCAATTTCACAGAGCTGCTAAGCGGAAAATATTGCTTAGCAAATTTTTGTGCTAAGCAGAAATCAGTTGAGAACCAGTTACAAGCAATATAAATGGCATCACATCTTAGTTGGTAACCAGTTTTTGTTAAGCAGATATTTTCTATGCTTAGCAAATATCTGATGAACAGGGGTAGTTATTACAAGCGCTTTGAGCAACTTGTATGAAGTGCAATATAAGAATGTCACAGCACATTGTCTTAATTCTCACTACTATAAGGCAATTAATTCTGCAGTCAAAGAATACATTTGTTGTGGTATTTTTGTTTTCTCTTTTTCTCTGACCTGGAGCTCCTTGTGCTCCTGTTGTGCCTTAGCAGCATCCGACATCTTGACCTGATGGGATCTGAGATGGACCAGCAGCTGGAATTTCTTCTTCTTCCGACGCGGGCTCTTGGTGTCTTGAGCCTCCTGCTGGTTCTTGGTGGTGGGCACCTGAAGAGTGGTTGGCTTGTTCTGTAACGAGGAAAATCGAGAAAAAATGCCAGCAAGATTTTTGACAAGGAGGAGTAAGAAATCTTGCTTTGGAGATAAGAGACTGGTCAAATCCACTTTTTTCACTTAAGAAGGGAGAGATTTAGAGAGGTTTTTGCATTATTAAACCTGTTTCAGACTAACTTTCTGGAATAGGACAAAACAAATTCATTTTGAAGATTTGATTATGTACATGAAAATGTTAGATGTTTTTAATAAACATCTAGGTGCAACTACGTCAAAATATTCAATGTTGATGTTGTTCAGACCAACTCTAAGAGTGTATGCAATGCATGCGCCCATCTGTCCGAAACTAAATCTATTTGTGTCGACTAGGGTTGCACCTAATAACTTTGTTTTTGGCTGGATGACTTGTGGTTTACTTGTAACTGACTTCTAAGGACTTGTGTAAGGACAAGACGATTACACTAGAGCATCGCCTGTTCTAAATGGAAAATAAATACCAGGTTTTGTCAGTGTTACCTTAGTGTATTCAATGACAGCAGCGGCATATTTCTTGGGGTCATCTCCGACTACTGTCACACCGCCTGGCTGTTTGGACAGCGTGGCCTTGACAGCTGAGAGCTGCTCATTGCGTCTAGGTACGGACAGAAAATTGCAACTATAATTAGTATACGAACTACATCATTATCGGGGCACTGCACTATGAAGGGTGAGGTATGGTGGAGTGGGGATGGGTATAGTGCAGTGTGACTGTGAGTTTGTTTCTGCGTTCAATAGGGGACATTGAACAATAGAGGACAATAGGGTCCCCAATTTGGATTCGTGTACAAAACATATGGGAGGTCTTCCTAAAAAGTAAGAGTACAAACAAAAGTTGGACAATGAGCTCCGTGCGCCACCGAAAGAGGGCGCCCTTTTACCTAGCAACGACGTTCCATGGGCGGGACATTTCGCTGGTTGACGCGCACCGTTCCTTGTGTGTGACGCACGTACACCAGGCGATTTGTACTATGTACACGCAGTGGCCACGCTTCGCGGCAAATGAATTGCAGTCAGGCAAGATGGTGTCGGTCGGTCCCCCCCAACTGTACTTCCTTTGCCGGTGAGGGGGTACTTGTGAACGGAGCGGATAGTGCAGTGTGGGTGGGAGTTTGTTTCTGCATTCAATAGGGGACGTTGAACAATAGAGGACAACAGGGTCCCCAATTTGGATTCGTGTACAAAACATATGGGAGGTCTTCCTAAAAAGTAAGAGTACAAACAAAAGAGGGACAATAGGGGGTCCCCGATTGCATGCAAATACACACTTGTGTGGGTGGGTAGGGGTGGGGATGGGTGGGGATGGGTGACAGTGGGGCGGGTTGGGGGTGTGGTAGGGTGGGTGGGAATGGGGTTGGTGGGGTGGAGCCTGGGAAGGGGGTTCTTACCTGATAAGCCACTGTGTAGAGTCTTCACACCATTCAATGGCCGTGTCGACCAATCCTTCACTCAATGCTTTCTGCACCACCTGCACCACAAACTCAAGGAATCGAGCCCGACGTCGGAACTTCACAACTATAATCAGAAAAGGATATGGAAACCAAAACAGATCAATTTAATTTATTTATATCGTGCTTTTACCTTTTCAACTGAGTGGACCGTAAAAGCCAAACAATGTTCTGAGCAATGTTTCCTCTTCTCTTTTGGCTCCTCAGTAGCAACAAACGTCTCACAATATTTTTGGGGGAGAAAAAAATTCAATTTTGTTTGCATTCTTAAATATGGTGCTCTATACATCTCTACCAATAATTCTTCAACAAGTCTAAATCAATCTGTTGGTAAAAAAAAGCAAATTTAGAGGGAAACCTGCATTTTATATTCTACTTAAGCTGGGTCACAATGAAAAAAGTGGTTTTTTTGGCAATGCAGACCTTCTTAATTTTTGGAATGTATATATTATTTATATGATTTCATCTGAACTGTATCAACTGAATTGCAATAGGGGTCTAGCAAGCCTAATCAATAGACTCCAGTGAATTTATGATCCAAAAGTTTGTCAAGTTTTACCTTCTTTGTAGGCATATCTGCTGGGTAGGGCTGCAATGAATGCATGCAGGATGTTAGGATCCTCGGAGCCGGTCAATTCATCTGCATTGTGAGCTGTTAAAAACAAATGTAATGAAAGCTTTCAATATTTATATAAAGGAACAGGCATTGAGACCTACAAAAAATTGTAAAATTTCAAAACCGATCATTTATCTGAAACAACTAATGATCTCATTGCATAACAACATAAACCATTAATTTCCTCTCATACTAATACACATCAGACAAGGAAAGAAAAAAACTATGAAACAATCTAATTGTTATTTCAAAATTGTTCATACTTGTGCGCTCTGATTTTTTCCTTTTCCATGTGAATTGTGCACCCCGAAAAAAAGAGCACCCAGTTAGAAATTGCAGACTCAAGTCCAAAACAGTTTTCTTATGGGCTAATCTAGCAGGTACAATTAGAAGCAAATTCTGAGGTTGCACACATGTCATTACGTGTTCATAAAATTTGAGGCTAACTGGATTTTAACGAGTTGTTCAAGCTGTATTGGCTGAAGCAGCACTGAGCTTCTGCAGGGTTCGAAATTGGCAGTAGCCCGCTAGCCAAATGCTAGTCAAACCTGCGGAGGGCTAGTCAAACTATTCCTTAAGTAGCCCGGCTGGCGAGTCAAAAAATTGTTGGGATACGGCAAAGATGAAAGGACAGAAAGAAATAAATCATGAAATTCAGAAAGCAAACCCGTATCAATGTGTGTCTAATTTTATGAACTGTTTAGGGTTAAATTATTAGATCTGTTTATTAAAAACACTGACAAAATTGCCTCAGAATTGAGCCTGAAAGTATGCCATTTTGTATTTGAGCTAAGAAAAACAACAACAACATGCGGGCTAGTGAAAATGCCGCGGGCTAGATAAGAGTCTGTTTCAGTAGCCCAGCTGGTTAGTGAAAGAAAATATAAAGGTCGAACCCTGGCTTCTGCATGAAACTACCTCAGACTAAGCTTCCAATTGTGTCCACCGAATCACTCACTATCCTATAGCAGATAACGTACCCAGTTTAGACAGTTTGAGCATGTGTGCCTCCAGCGCTCTCAACTCCTCATTCTTAGGGCCTTCCACATTGTAGATGGTCTGACCAAACCGTCGTGGGCGCTTTTTCTTAGCGGCGACTGCCCCGGCTTGCCCTGCCCCACCATCCACATCCTCAATGAAATCCATGGCCTCAGCTTTTCCTTTCTGCTCAGATTCCTAAAGGGAAATACCACAAAAGCTGTTGATGTTCATTGTGAAAACATTTTAAACAGATATTTTTTTGTATATTAGCTGTTTATTATTATAATGATTATTAATGTATTGAAAAGAGACAAACCTTTTCTATGGCTAGCATTTTCTTGCCGGTGTCGGTGACGTGATTGGCCAGCCCTCTCTGCTTCCAGACCCGCAGCACCTTGGCCATATGGTAGGTGATGACGGCTATCATGTGATGGAGGCTGTCTGAGACGGACTGCTGCCGACGCTGTCGCAGGCTGGCCGGCATCTCCAGCAGGATGGCGTAGCAGCGAGTAAGCACCTAAACACAGAATCAAAACATCAATGTCAGACTTGCATGCCAGTTATGCTGAGCCGCATAGTATGTGGAGTATAAACTCAGGTAAAGTTTTGATTGTTCAATGATTAGACTCCTGAGTTGTTCCGCATCACTGCACCAGTTGATATTTCAATAAAGTTGAAAAAATGCTGAACTTTTTATGTAGGGATTAGTACTATTCAGGAATGCAACTGTAAAGTCACTTAAAAGGAGGAAATTTCAAGATTTAGAAGACTTTGTACAACATCAACTTTTTTCAATTTGGGATTGCAGACATGGGAAAAAATATGAGGAAATCCACTGATCCGAGGAAGGGTTGCACCGCCTGACAATTGTGATATTTGGAAGTTCCTGAAGCAAAATATGAGCCTATGCTGAACCAGAGTCCCTAAAGTTAGGGATCTAAAAAAAACCTGAGTAAGCTACAGTTAAGGCAACAATGGGTTGATTTAGAGTGTGATTGGGTTAGCAAACCAATCCTCTACACTCCACAAATCATGGAAAACTTTCCCTTTCCTAAAAAAAAAACATAACTGAATACTGCAATTCTCATTTTATTTCTTGAGAGACTTCCGTTGACTTCATTTCCTCAGCTAGCCTACTTCTTCTTGAATAATTTTGGACTTCACAAATCTCAGTCCCAATCCCTATAAAATACTGGATCTGTTACTGCTTTCACCACTGTTGCAGTCAAATTCATCACAAATTCTCGTAAGTCCATCACAAGTCATCCAGTACCAAGTCAATTTACTCGTTTGCCAATTTTCCTCCCCTGTTACTTGTGGCCTGACTTGCGACGGACCCGACAACAACACTGGTTCTGACCTGTATGACTGGCGTAGATGGGATTTTGTAGTGGATGATAGGAGCCAGCAGTCCGTAGCACTGCACCACGGCCTGTAGAGCTAGGTTGGACTCATTCAGCCAGCCTGCTAACTCCATGGCTACCAACATGCGCTCACACTCGGCTAAACGTTGAAGCTGTGAAAGACAGGTGTCCAAAAACATAATAGTTATAGTAACGCTCTTTGACAGGGAATAGCCAAGTCTCTGAGTGATCCCTATTTGTTATTTTCCCGGGTTTGCAGCACTGCTAATGTTGCCAGCATCTTGACTAGGCTGGTAACCTGTTTTTAAATAAGCACATATTTTCTGTGCTTAGCAAATTTGTTGGTAAGCAGGTCTATCAAATCGGGACCACAGCCCAATTTCATGGTTCTGCTAGCTGCAGAATTCCGCGCTTACGATCACCATCTTGTGCTTACAGCACCAGCACAAACATTCTGTGCTAACCCCGTAAGCACAGAATCCTGTAGCTACGGGATGTACGCATGAGCATAAGCCAAACTTCCCCGCTAGCCCGTGAAATATGCCTACAGTAAGCACAGAATTTTTGGCTACAGAAAGCACAGATTTTTCGCTAATGGTAAGCAGAGACATGAAATTGGGCCAGTTCTAGTAGGAACTATTTGTCTTTCAGAAATGGTCGATGCGCATGGTATATGTGCCAATTTTTTGCATATTGTGCTATCTACCAAACAAAGCATTCAGTTACATGTACATTAAAAACTGCAATTACTGAAATATATTTGTGTGGCTTTCTACTCTATTGAAATGAACAGTATTAAATATTTCAATGAAAATGGGAATTTTTGTTTTATGGGTCAAACACCAACCTGTCCCTTGGAGTAGGGCCCTCTATCACAGAGTTTGTCACAGTAGATCTCTCCCTCCCTCATGCTGACATCCACATTGATGAAGATACTGGTCAGGAACATACGCAGCAGGACGGGCGAGGCAACAGAGCAGGTCTTGGGGTTCAACCTACAAAGGCAAATAACATGCAAGAGCAATAATGATACCTGATGTTGCTGGCTTAATCAGCTCAGAATATGGATTCACACAGAAAAGTATAATAAAACAATCAATGGAAGTAAAAGTAAAGTCAAGTCTGTCATGAGCCAATACGGCTCATCAGGCTGGCGTTTATCTCCAGTTTCCTTGGCATGAAACGACTGAGAATATTTCAAGTCCCCTCTAGATGGGATGCCAGTCCATCCCCAGTTACTATCCCCAGCTAAATGCAGGTACACATTTATACTCCTGGGTGGAGAGAGGCAAATGGGGGTGAAGTGGCTTGCCCAGGGACACATCATATGGCCAGCAGCTGGATTAGAACGCCTGACCCTCTGATCATGAGTCACACTCCCCCAATGGAAGCAGTCATTTTAATTGTATGTGTTGCTCGAAATTGTTTCTTAATATGGCACAGCCGATGCGCGTCACGCAAATTTGACTCCCAAAATGCCAATGCAAGTGACAATCTGTAGGCAGTGACGCCATTTGAGAGAGATCTTTAGAATGCTATTTACAAGAAAATGATTTCAGTTTGCTTCAAAGATTGTAAAATGTTATCACTCTCCTTGGTAAATGAGATAAAATAAGTCTTACTTTCTGAGAGTGAGCTTGAAGTCTTCTCTAGCCGTCACCACCTCAACGTCTGACTCCGGTGGGGGGACAGGAGCTACAAAGTGCTCCCAGAGTACCGTGCTGGCAGTCAGGCCGATGGGGTAGCACCCTACCTGGTAGGCAGCCTGTGGGCAATAAGATAGTAAAGGTAGCTCTCATGAAGGAATAGTCTGAGCACTGCCTCAAAATCTCTGAAGGCAAATTAAGAGTCTGAGAATGGCCAGTGTGTCGTTGGCCAAAATGGCCTATGACACAGGGGTCATAGGAAGGGAGCTTAAAAAAAAACCTGGTAGTTTAAAGGACTCAATTCTTGTGACTTGACATGGGGTCTGGATGACTTGTGACAGACTTGTGAGGACTTGTTATAGACTTGACTGCAACAGTGTTCATGTACTTATTACTGTCATTCATTACAGATAACCATCCTCACACACACACATGCGTACCTGGCTGAGAAAGGCCCAGGTCATGAGGATAGGCAGTGGGTGGGATGCCAGGATGGGCTTGGTGGTGTCGCCGATACTCTCCCCAATGAGGACACCGCTAGCTGTGTATGCTGCCACAGCAAAGACATATTTCTCATTGGTCTGTAGGCCAGAGACATGCAGCTCACAATCATAGGCTGGCACCTGGTGGTGAAAAAATACAAAAGGTAATCATTTACTGGTTTTCATTGTTTATTACATTGGTTAATGACATCAGGGGCCAATTTTGTGGAATTAGGTACAAAAGTATGCTAAGCACAGAATACACTTGCTTAGCAAAAATGGGTTACCAGTCAAAATGCCATAAAATGTATATTGCTAGTGACTGGTTCCCGGCTGACTTTTGCTTAGCACAAACATCTGCTAAGCAAGAATTGTGCTTGGCAGCTTCGTGATATTGGTCCATTGCCAACCTCGTTCCCATGGGTGCAATCTAGCTGCAGCATGTTGTTTCCCATCATGCCTTGCGCGATCTCCACCCCTGGAATTGTGTAATTTAAATGTCCCACTATTTGGGAAATTTATATTAGGACTGCACTTGATGTGTTTAACACACGACGCAGTGCTTTAGATTTCAAATGTTTGGGGTTTTTTTTGGGGGGGGGGGTAGAATCAATCCTTTCAAAGATGAGATTTTGACGTTGCTTTATAAAGCAAGGATTTATATTAAATGTGCGTACCTCTGTCGTCCCTTTTACAACACAAGATACAGGGTTTTTTTTGGCGAAAACGAGGCTTCCAGACTCCATATCGTACAGGCATCGTGCAGTCTTAGAAAACTTTTCATTTGGACGTGACTTACAAGAGCATATAGGGTACGCAGCCTTCGAAATACGTGCGCAGCACACTCTGAATAGTCAATCAGAGTCGTTTTCAAATTGTACACGGCCAGGGGTTAGTGAAGTAACGAGCATGCAGCCCATGAAGTCAAGGCTAAGTCCCTGCATTTTCACTTTTTCAAATGTTGATTTAGATATGAACATGCATGTATGATTTACCTCTTCTCCAGTTCCTGGTAGGAAGTAATCATTCAATCGGACCTTGACGTTGCTGCCACTGGCTAGCCTGCCAAACAGTCGGTACCAGGCCACCTGAGGAACAAAAATGTGAGGAAACTTTTACAACGAGATCTGTAAAATAAACAGCTGTATTAGATGAGGTTACTTTCAGCACCATTTGAAAGTGCATATCACAGAGCTATAACTGAGCCAACCGCAAACAATCACAAGTCAAATCACAAGTCAATCACAATCAAATCACAAGTCAATCACAATCAAATCACAAGTCAATCACAATCAAATCACAAGGCTTTCACAAACAAATCACAGCTTTATCACAAGCAAATCATAAGTCAAATAACAAAAATTGATCTCAAATCAATTACAAGTTCACATGTGACAGGATGAACAATGACAAAGAAAATGTCTTTGCGAAAAATTATTGGAACAGCTTTCCTCGTCCAGTCCCATCTGTATTGAACATTTGTCAGATAGTGTCCGAAGCTTACAAGGGACATCACTGACCTTCTGTGGTGGGTTGTAGGGGCCCGGCCTGAAGACCATGGTGGTGTCTGTGCGGCAGAGCAGCAGTGGGGCCGGGGGGACTCCGGATTCCCTGACGCTGGCTGTTTGTCCCTGCTGCTGCTTCTGAGGGGCATTGTGAGTAAACAGCTTGTACTCTTGATCTTGGGCCTTGGTCACCTGACTGACCGCATCCTGTGCAGAGAAAAATTGGACACAAGGTTGGTGCAAGTCTGAAAGTTGGTTTTGTTCCTAAGCAAGCTGATCAACCCACTGTGACGGCTGAGGGTGATATACACAAGATGAATCGTATTCAGTCTTGGGAACAGTGGCACTCGTACCTGCAAAATTCTGAGCATATCTTGTGTGCGCTGTATTCAAGCTAATGGGTCATGTGCCCAATAAAATGATCAGAAATTTTGGAGTCTGCGTGCCTAAAGTTCCTAAGCTGGATTGGATTAATCTCGTTGATAGAGCATTATTCTGTTAGAGCATTATTCAGAGCATTTACACAATAACACTCAATATCAAACGCATGGAGCATGTTAAAAATGCATTCATCCACGACATCACTTAAAACCACTCCCTTGATTCATCAGGTCAGATCTCGCCAGCTACAATTTTTCGGTCGCATCCTGTGGTTGCAAGATAAGGAGCCTGTGAAAAGACATGCTTTACATGTTTCCATGACCGACAACAACGTATCTAAAAAAATATATTCAAGGCCTCCTTGGGGATGAGGACAACCTGCTCCAACCAAGGCAACTTGTCAACCTTGCCAGTGACTGTAGTCTTTGGAAGGAATTTGCGGTCGCCTGCAGAGCAGTTGAACAATGCTTGCCAGTGATTGGGACTTGCTGCACTGCTGAAACAGAATCCAAATTCAGGCTTGGGCCAAGAAAAGGAAGGTTACAGGCAAATGGGAGTAAAGTTGGTTAACACCTCTGCATGGTTGGGTCAAAAGAGAGGCTGTGCAGGCAAGCTTAACCCAATGAATGGATCTTACATAACATAGCTCATAGTAACAACACAAACTCACTGAACCAAAATAATTATCCAAGAACTGAAAGTATTTAGACGGCAAAATACAAACACAAGTCACTGAGATGATAATAAAAGAATAGGCCAAACCTGTAAGAGTCCAGCTTGTTCTGGAGTCGGGGCACCGGACTTGGACATCAGCAGTGTTTTCTGCATTAGGAAGAGAGCCTTAGACACCAGGTTCTTACCACAGCTACTCAGCAGCTCATCAACTGTCTCAATGTGGACGACATGGCCGTCCGCTCTCTGAACCTACAATGTTAAAAGAAAAATCACTGCAGAGTTTAGGTAAAGACTGTAAGACAATTTTGGGGGAGATGTGGCCTGGCAATAAGTGATTAGGGATTGTGACTTATGATCAGAGGGTTAGAATGCAACCCAGTCAATAAATCCCCATAGACACCAGTGATAAATCCCCATACTTCAAAATTCTTTTTAAAATACTCAGAACTCTCACAGGTGTTCAGGCTGCGCAGAAAAATTGATTATCAACATGTCGTCTTTCATTTTCTTATCAATTTCTGGTGGGTTGACCAATGACTTTTTGAGAAATTTTCACCCAAAGACCACCCCTAAAACGAATGATATTTCCCAAACTGGAGAAGTAGCCATTTTGAAAAAGGATCCCTCCACAACATGGCTAAAGAGTGCCACTTTCGGACCCAATTGCATCCAAAATGCTCAGAATTGGAAGCCCCAAGTCCAGGCCAGAGGTACAGTGCCATTCAATCCCCCAATAACATGGCTCTCAGAACTCTCATATAAAAGAATTAGAATGTTTAATTTTTATTCATGAGCTCGGCGGACGGATTTTGGGCCTATTTACTGGGTTGCACCCTTAGGAAGGAGCGAGCACAAGTCCTTGGAAACTACTCTTTGTAACCAAGCGAGGGGGTACTTCACAGAGTCCATAGTCAGCAAAGTATTCCAGCTAATTGTTCAGCAATCCTATGAAACTGGTCCCTCTCAAAAGCAAAAGTTAAAACAAAAAGAGTCTCACCAATCTTTGTTCTGTGGCAGCACGGCTCCTCTGCCCCTTCCCAGAACCTGTCTTGGCCTTGGTCCCGGCACTACCGCCGTTTACTGTCTTGGCCAGCTTGATGCAGACCCTGTGGTACATGTAGAGCAGCTCCAGATGCAGGTCCATGATGGTGTTGTGCACCCCCTTTGGATTGTCATCGGCCTTCTCCGTCGTGGTGTCCTTGTCTGCGGCATCCAAGATGTCGGTGCTCTTGGTGGGTTTCAAGGTCGCGTTGTCCTGTTCAAAACACATGATAGTAGTCTGAGTCATGAACTAACAATATTTGTGCTCTGGGGTTTTTGCAAAATGTATTTGTAAACTGACAAGAAAGATAAGTGTATGCTTACATCCAATGTTTAAAGACTCAACCACCTAACGAAAAGAATGTCAATCCTTTGTTCATCTTTAATATTATTACAATGCACCTAGTCAGGTTTCCTTTGTTGTTCAAATTTTTAATAAAAAGCCGTATCCTCTCTGAGTGATTCTCGTGTGCTTTTTCCAAGGTTTGCAGCATGCCAATATTGCTAGCATCATGACTTTGGGCATGATAACCTAATTTTGCTAATTAAACATGTGGTTACCAAATTTTCTGTGCTGGCAAATCCATAAAATTGTTCCCTGCCGTCTATCTATTTACAAATGACTCAGAAGACCCACGGACCTATATTGGTCTTGTGCCAACCAACTCTGGCGCCTAAAATTTGCCGGCAATAATACAAGCATTTTTGAAAAAGTCCTTCCCAGTTCCGTGGTCCAATGGTTACAGTATATGACTCATGTGCCGTAGTATGTGGGTTCGACTCCTGATGGGGGGTATGGTGCTTGTGTTCTTGGGCAAGATGCTTTACAATTGCCTCTCTCCACCCAGGAGTACAAATGGGCACCTATGAGGGTAGAGACCAGATCGCGCTGATCTCGAGCTGCTGCAAAAAAACGTGGGTTTGAAACCTGATGGGGAACCTGGTGCTTGTGTTCTTGGGCAAGACACTTTACTGCAATTGCCTTTATCCACTTAGGTACCTAGTGAGTGAGAGACATGGAAGCCTTACCTTGACCCAGCTGACGTCAGCGATGGACTTGCCGTCTGTCAGCGCCACGATCTGTCGCGCCTTGGACATCCCCTGCAGCGCCCTCTCTAGGATCTCCCGGGCAGACAGCAGCTGTTCCTGCGCACCCAGCTGCAGGATGGAGGAGGTGTAGAAGGAGGTGCTGGCCCGTCCCAGGGCCGTGGTGGTGTCACGGCCGGCCTCGCCTGATGGTCGCGCTGCTGGGGACTTGGGCACTGGGGTGGCATCTGGGTGTTAAATACAAGAACTTGGATATTATTAACTTGATTTTTACTTTAATACGAATTCTGAGTACCTCCTTAACAGCGACTTAAAAGAAAGACAAGACAAATACTTGAACACCACTGTCACCATGACCCAAGGACCATACGATGATGATTGGTGTTTCTGATATTTGCATGAATTTTCTAGTCAATGTACTTCGCGCAGGACGTTTGCATGTAAACCAGGGTGTCAACATGGTGTGTGAAACATACTGTAGCACTCATCTGATTTATATAATTTTGTGCCCCTGAAAAAAGAAATGTTGAAGAAAAATGCAAAATTTTCTCAATCTGTTTCTCAGACAATGCTAACAAACAGCAGACTTACATATTTTGCAAATTTGATAGAATTTGTTTTAAACCCCTAGAAATGTATGCTAAGCAGGCGCAGTTCCAGAGGGGGGGGGGGGGGGGGGGGGGTCGAAACCCCCTTTCACCCCCCCCTCCAGCTCTGACTCATTTTTTTTTTCTCCATTTTTTTCCTTCATATTAAAAATAATGTGAAAACCCCCCTACTCTGAACCCCCCCCCCCCCAAAAAATATTACGACAAGTAAACTGGTAATAATGTCCGCCTGTGCAACATTCGGAATGAGCCAGGTGGGGTACTGGGTACCTGGACACTATTCTGTAATATAGTGTTAATGATCCGCGGATTTGAACAGCGCTCCCATTGAAAATGGTACAAGCCCCCCCCCCTCCCCCCCCCCCCAATTGACTTTACGGAGGCCAAGTGTCCAGAGAAAAAAACTGTCTACACTTCAGCATTGGTTTGCTGATGAAACCCCCCCCCTGCAAAATTCCCTGGATCCGCCCCTGCTAAGGACCCTGTTTCAGTTGTCAAGGAAGGCCACTTTAGAACTTTCAACAACAGTGTTCACATATATGTTACATGATGAGAACCATGTAGCTGCAAGTGACAAGCCTGCGAAGTCTTTCATAACATTTAGGCACTGTTTCTTGCGAACGCTGCACAGGCGGACATTATTACCAGTATAATTGTATCAGCAAGTACCTTTTTGGAGTGTAGAGACGGACTGATCATCCACTTCCCGAGACTGCCTACCACCAGAGCCTGTCTCAACGACTGCTGGCTTAGCCTTCACCTTACCTGCATTGACACAGGAAGAAATCAAGCCTCATATTCTAAATGTCACAATGTCATCCCACATTGTTATACCATTTTGTTAGCTTTCAAGCAAAAAATGTCCAACAAAAAGGTAGACACTCTCAAAACCCCTAAAAAAGTAGACAATTTCTGTTTTTCTACTCCTTTAATGTCCAAGTTCAGGATAGACATATGTAAAACTAGAGGCAGAGAGGCTTATATTCGGGTTCAATTTCTAACTTTTCACCAGTGATACTGTCAAAAAAGCATGTCATTATGTGGGCAAAGTGTTGCTCTGCCTATCAATGTATTTTTCCTTCAACCCTCCAGCTTCTTCAGAGTTGACTTCCCCACTCCCCCCTCTCCCCCAAAACCTTTACTGCCATTAATACCCTTTCAGTAACTCATTATCCACCCTGCACCTTTTTGAGAAAGTTAAATTTCACAGATTCGTGCTCCATTAGGGTAAGTAAGATTACACATCATCAAAAACTGCCAAACAAAAAGATTAACTACAGGTTACAACCTAATAATTTTACCATAGCTTCCCTATGAAAAAATGGAACAGTGCTACCCACTTTCAACCAGTTTCGTTGAGGTGTTTTACCTGTGTCAGACTCATTAGCTGCGTTGTTCTCCAGGACTAAGGCTAAGCGGATAGCCACCTCAGCCGTCACTCCAGAGTCCATGGTGCTAATTCCACACCAGTACATCACCTCATGGACAACACTCAGGATGTGAACCCACTGCCATGGCAAAAACAACAAGTACAAATAGGCCTTGGAAACTGTGATTTGAAACTGTGAGTACAATTTGCAGATTTATTGTTTGTGATTATTCGGCAATTGGCCGGGATAGCCCACGAAAGTCTTTCGACTTATTTCTAGTGGGGTCCCTTGGTAAAAGATGTGGAAGGAAATTACAGTTTTAATGGTTGGAAGAAAACCCCAGAATGATACTCTAGGGAAAACCCACAGACTCGGGCAGGGAGTCAGGGACTGAAACCCAATCCGCGTATTGGCCCAGGCGGGATTCGAACCTGGGTCGCAGCGGTGGAAGGCAAGAAAGTACCGCTACGCTAACGTGGTATAACTGAAAATGAAGAAGAATTAATGGTTCTAAGGCGTGACCTCAATTTAGAATCCCTTCCTATACTGTTTAGGGAAGGTCCCAAAAGGTATTAGGGGTTCGAACAGAACCGTGCTAGCCAGTATTAACTAAGCTGGCTGGTCTGACTTGGCTCTGATTCAAAGGAAGGAACCTTACTCTCAGCTTACAGCTTGTCTTTGTCAAACTGGACATGTTATCCTTCAAGAAAAGCCAGGCGAGACATTTAGGAGGTGTCTTTTGTTTAAGTCACGAATCACAGTCTAAACTTCAACTGTGCATCGCTAACTGGGTATCTTCTAGTTCAACACTTGGCAGAAACAAAAAGTTTTGCATATCCGGCCCAGTTCTTAAATATAGTCCTATTAGAGTTTTGGCCTAAAAAGAACCAGAAGTATTGACTTGAGATGTCAGAATGTCTCTTCAGAAGAGTCTGACATTCAACCATGCTACATCTCCCCTAGATTTCTTGATCTTAATTTTCCTAAGCCACTATCGTATTTGATTCAGGAATGAACCTCACCTTGTTAGGCTGGTCAATCTTCTGCAGGTACTTGCCGCTATCCGACGCTCCTGTCTGGACCTTCTGGAAGACGGACTTGCAGCGATTCCACAGAAACAAGGTGGCATCTACCACCATGTCCCTGTCCACAGATTCCTAAAACAATCAACACAGAAATTTCTACATCTGAGACACCACAAATTACATATCAATGACATCTCCTTGTTTTCATTGTTTACTTTTCATTTCACAATAAATTCTATTGTACTTCCTGAATTTGATTTTGGTCAACAGAAAGCCTTTCGAATGCAGAACTAATTTATGCTCGATGACATAAATGCTGCTCATAGTTCAACATATTTAACTTCAAATTATAATAAACTGAAATATGAGCAACCTTAAGACTGGCTCATATTCCCCGTGAATTTTAAGCAAATTTCACTGGAAATGAATATTTTTTGTCTTTTGTAAATTGACAGTGTGAAATAGTCCTTCATCTATTTTAAAGCTACAGTCCATCATTTGTAATTAGTGCATTTTGTTCGTTTGAAGCAACAAAAGTGTTCAAAATCTAATGAAGGATACTGAACAACTTACTTGATGAAGTTTCAACTCAGCTTCAGCTTTATATTCCAAGAAAAACAGCATTCTAGGATCTCAATTTCAAATCAAAAGTTGCTAAATCATGTTTCGAATTGTTTTGAATTGCAGCTTTACGCGATGTCGTGCACTGATCCGACGAATTATAGCAACCGCGTGCGCCTGTGCGTCGTTCCAATGCTTGTGCGCGCTGCGCCGAATAACAAAACGAACTACTAATTTAAATTTTCCTACGGTGCTTCTTAAGACGCACCGTTGGAAATGCCTTCTTTCGTTGATTTCTTCAAAATTAGAGCTTGCCAGAAAGGATAATTTCACAGGGAGTTTAGTCCCCTTACTATCTTTCAACCAGTATGTTTTTCAACAATAATTACGCCAGTTACTTTTTTGGATAGCTGCAAATGATGGACTCGGGCTTTAAAGAAACACTTACAGGATCTGCAGGTACGGAATCAGCTTATTAAGGAGTTGTGGATTCTACAGGCACATTTGAAAATCCACATCCCCTATGTTACAAATTAAGAGGACTTGAACGAAACAAAATGCAAACTATTGTGAAACAATTAGAAATTTGCCAGTAAATTGAAAAAAAAACGGCCCAAATTCAAATGCACATACTGCCATAGGATCTTTGGCACAGGAGTACAAGACCTCAGCGAGTTGCACCATTTCATCATTGAGTGGTAAGGTGGATCGTGGCACGGGAGCTGTGAAAATGTAAAATTAAATGTCAAATGATGGCTACATTATCATATTCAATGGCAAAAACAATTGCAGCTTTTCAGATTCGCATATTTGATTACCAGTGACCACACAGATTTCATTTCAATTATGTGCTGTGTTTATCCAACAGTTTTAATGATATCATGTTGTCATTGTTGAAAACTATTCAAAGTCTATAGTATTCAAAAACTTTTACGAGTGGTAAGGGTAGGTGTGGGATGAGGAATGGGTGGGTTTTTGAGGGGTTTTTTTAATCTGTCTAACTTTGAGCATGTTTGTGGCTGCGCAGAAAGAGGAGGTGGTATGTTTGTGTTTTTTTGTCACAAATACTCACTCTGTAAAATTGTGACTAGGACAGCCTGTATAAGGAAATTCAATTTTTCTGTGTATATTTTTTGTCACGTATGCTCCATCTGTGAGCGCGTTATGACTGTCCAGCCATGTAAGGGGGAGAGGGAGGTTGGGTTACGTTTGTGCCTTTGGGTCACGTATATTCACTCTGTGAGACTGTGACTGACCACGCCTGTCAGGGGAAGGGGTGGGTGGGGGTGGGGGAGGATATGCTTTTGTGTTCTTTCTCACAGTACTCACGCTGTGAGCGTGTTTGTGACTGGTCATGACTGTTTGGGGTGGGCAGAGGAGGGGAGGGATATGCTTGTGTGTTTTTGTCACAATACTTACTCTGTGAGCGTGTTTGTGAGTGGGCAGGCCCATCAGCTATACTACTATCATCAGTGTGGGAGTACGGCTTTTTAGACTTCCTGCTTGGGTTCAGTGGATCCATGGCCTGTAGGATCTCTAGGCTCTTGATCTCTGGGGTGTAGCGCTGGTCATTCTGACTCTGCAGTAGAAAAGAACATTCAACAAATCATTTGTTTACTAGCCCATGAAGCCAATTTAGTGGCACTGCTTAGCACACGATTCTCTGCTAACAGAGATTCAGGACTGTCATAAAGTTGTTGAACCACTTTATTTTTCTTTGGACATTTTTGCTTTGCAGCTTCTAAATAAACAGAAAGTAGACTTATATTTAATAAAATGTCCAAGACATTGGTCTGGTAAGTGAGTGATCTGATAAAATCACGTTAAATATCTCCATTTTCAGAATCAATTTTCATAGTCATAATGGCTGAGGCCAAGTTTCTGTGGTAACTCAAGCAATTCAAAAATTCTGTTTGATTTGAATTTAATTCATAAACCTGAATAAAAAATCCACAGACAAAGGCTAAACTTCGACACAAAAACTGTGAACCAAAGATGAACATACACAACCGGTTTTGAGCTGCTGCATGCACAATGAATGCATTTACAGTACACAATTGATTCAGACAAATATAGAAAATAGTTGGTTAATGTCTGGTGACCAACTGTAATTTAAACCACTGCTAATTTACTGTTTGAGGTTGCTCATAACTTTCTAAATTAAATGGCTAAATCAATTTAAGAGAAAAACCAAATGGGAAAGAATGTTGCAACCTGACGTTACTTCAGTGGTTGTGTACAAAGTCTCTGGAGCATATAGCAAATTTTCTAAGTATTTCCTAATAAAATTGGGAATGTTTCTCAGTCCCAGATTCATGTCTAATCGTCATTTTTGCAATGACTGACCATCATTGAGATGATATATGAAGAAACAAGTGGCGTCAGGTTGCAACATTCTTTTCACTAAATGAAACATCCAAGATTTACAATTTGAATTGTAAATCATATACTTACCTTGAGGTAGTCTAGCACCGTGATGACCAAGCTCTCATACAGCTCCCACTGCTCATAGTTGTAAGCCCACTTGACAAACTTGACCACGGCGTTGACGGGTATGCCGTCCTCAGACCGGGCAGCCAGGTCAATCAGACACTTGTCTTGGGTCACTCCGGCTAAGCTGACATCAGAGGCAGAGTGGGGACCTCGGGGGCTGTGCCCTGCTCCTCCTAGGTAGCAAGGGTTAGGGTTATCTTTATAATCTGATTCTCCAGATTTTAAAACAGCAAGCACCAAGCACTAACCCTAAAATGTATATTTCTTTGTGTACAAAGTCTCTGAAAGTTGCACAATGGTTTGCAGAATTTCTGACATCAATATGTGAATTTTATGGGTTTTTTTTCTCAAACAGACTAAAGCCTGGCGCACACCTTCCTGATTTTACCGGTTTCTCGGATCATCATACAGAGGTGTGCGCTGAAAATTCGGACAGATCTGACCATGTACCGGGCGACCGGATCAAATCAAACATGTTTGATTTTTTCGCATTCGCTTTCACTGGAAGCGATTTCACCAGACACAATATTTACATGTATGTTAACCAATTAGATTCACGAGGGGAATCACATGGTTGTCATCATGTGACTGGTCGTCATGTGGCTGATCATCATGTGACCAATTTAAGGACGGAATCGGGCACGTGTGCGGGTAACGCTGTGGTCTACCCGCAATGGTGAATATACCGTACCGGTGATGGGGTGATCCAGGAAACCGGTAAAATCGGGGAGGTGTGCACCGGGCTTTAGGATATTTTGGGGTTTAAAGTGGAAGGAAAAGTAATTCTGCAGTTTTCACGTACCATGAATTACGAATTCATGAAGCAAAATTGTTCCGATTACTGACAAATTTGTGCACAAGGTGCTGCATCAACCTTTCCAGCTATCACAGGAATCTACAACTCGCCCCATCTGACTAAAACCTACAGTCTCTACAGATACCCACAAAATCTTGGCACAATTTCATTGCATGTGGTGTGGCCTACTGTGGCTCATCAACATGGCATTTCACACATGCTGATTCAGCCGCAGTGCATGGTCCAGACCTTGTTCACTCCGTTAACTTTTCCTTCATTTTTCAGCTCAACATAATTTTTTACTTTACTTGAAGCAAGTTATGATAATTTTACGGGGCATGTTTTGATACTTTTTCGGGAGTGAAATGGAACGGCCACAACACTTATCCAAGCGATTTCAGCCTTCGCAATTAAGTCAGAAACATCTTTAAATACATGTACGTTCATCTGGATTGTTGGTAAAACATGATTTAGGAGGTTTTTTTTTTAATCCAAAAATAATAAGTGTAGATGTTACTCACGTTGCCAGTCTGTCAAAGCTCCTAGCTTAGGAGTGAAACGTAACTAATAATACATAACATCTACACTTATTATTTTTGGATTGGAAAAAACGAACCTCCTAATTCAAGTCAGAAACATTTCCATACACTGGACATGCTAAAATGAGAGAATTATTAAAATTGGGCAGTACACACGTTGGTTTTTCCTCCCAAACAACTTCTCACCCAACTTCAGGATCCGAAAAATTTATTATCCAAGTTATTGAAAATACCAACACACACACAAAAAGTCTCAAAGGATAAACACAGGATTTCTATGCTAAGGCTGCAAGCAAAAAATGTTGATCATTAAGCTAGAAATTCCATGGCTAGAAGAACAAGCTGGTACCACAGTACTCCATAATACCTGCAATGATCTCCATGCCAGCAAAGAACAGCTCCGAGTACGTATCCAGTATATGATCCTCAGTATCCGGTGCAGCCGGGCTGCTCAGTAGCGTCCGGCGTGTGCTATCAGCCAGGGTCTCCAGGATTGCCAGGAACTGGGCCGCGCTGCCTTCAAACATGTCGGCAAGGAGTTTCTCCACGGCTGTGCGGGGCCAGGGGAGCTAATAAATGGCAAAAGTAGGTTCTCATTATGAGTTTTTTTTTGATGAAAAGTGATGACAGCTTTGCGGATGTGCGTTATCAAACCATGCATGAGCCGTAACATGCAGCATGACCATGCATGCATATTTTTACATATGTGAATAACAAGTTATAAAATTGATATTAACCATCCATCTTAAACCATCAAAGGCACCATTAGCAACCTAAAAGCTGCAGCAGCTCACATAAAACCCACCACATGTGATATGCTATCAACATGAGAAAACACAAAACCATTTTTCCCAACAGAAAATTCCATGAAGAAAAAACTTTGAAGAAAAATTTGGTTTCCTCAAACGAGTGCCTAGCTTTTTTCCCAAGTAACAAGTGGTTTTTGTGGGATCACTCTTAAACTTCTTTTTCATACCAGCCTATTGTGAAATGTTGAAATATCTGAGTCAGTGGGATCATGATAAGTTATAACTTGGAGCATTCGGAATTGGGGAGTCAACTAATCTGAAATGATGACCAAAAGAAAGAAAATGAAGCATTTGGCAAGGAGTCTCTCAGAAACAGAAGTTGAAGCCAGACCTATCAGAAGACCACTGGAGCTGAAGCCTGGTGAAAAAAGGCCGAATCTGCAGAGTGTCAAAGGTCGAAGAGAGAGAGAGAGGTCAAGAAGAAAGGTCAGCTAGAGGGCGCTACTCACACTTCCTTGTTTTTTCACGAGATCATCGAGTCTCTGTTTGGAGGTTTTGTGCCAGATCAGACGGCCGTCACTGGCTACTATGGTGACTGTACGGCTCTCCGTTGGCTGAGGGTTTGCATGCGTCCAAAATTGTCAAACGTTAGGACTTTCTTGTCTTTGTTTTCGCAAATATGTTACAACTTTTGTGAGGTCACACACAGCACGAGGAATTGTTTGTTAAGTGTGTTGCTTGTTTTTGTTAGTAGGGGTGGGTTCGGATGCTGGAAGGTTGGGATGGTCCACTCGTTCTGTTATTTTGGAAATGGTGCTTGGATTCCGAAGAAATGGTGATGATAGGGTGTGGTGAACACAATCACAATCACAACGAAAATGTTCAGATGAACAAAACGCATGCAAAATGGACATTTGTTTCTACATTTTCCAACAACAATAAAGTTCAGTAGTTAACTGCAAATACTTTTAGGGTTAGACGTTCATGTATTACCTTCCGAGTCAAACTTATTTCAGATCAAGTGTGGAAAGGACTACTAGAGAGTGTTCAAGGAAAGTAAATAACCACAACTTTGCTGTTGGGATCATACATGTGTGGTGCATTCTTTTGGCTCAAGGATTCACTTCAACCATGAAAAGGCTGTTCAGCAATGACATGAAAGGCATGGAGTTTGAATCTCAAGCTGAATAAATTGTGATGATTGCCAAACGGCAGTCACGGTGTTCAAAACAGTGATTGTTTGATGCAATGGGATCAGTGACTGGTAAAATGTGATGAAACAAACGTTTCCTTCATTAGTCACTTCTGTAATCCAGTGTTTCATCAGATAAATCTCTGAAAAGCATGGTCGCGCAAAATAACACAGGTTTCTTTCGATTTTATTAATTTTTCTTCTCACATACATAAGGAGATGAGAGTTATGAATGGTGAAAGGACAAAATATTTTTATTCCGCGTCGATCGGCTTTAAAGCCTTATCATATTTGCTAGTTCCTCCCTGAGTCTTAGAAAATAAAATCATCCACTATGCAGGAATTTAATGTTTAAATTTGAAGAAGACTTTATAACCCATGTGGGTCATTCTATAAATTTAGGGTCCAATGTGTGACATTTTTCCCGTCCCTGTTACCTCTGAACACTGTAATTTGCCATCCAAGTATCATTAAGAATGACTTCAAACAATTTTGTATTTGGTAGGTAGGTATGTACTTTGCTATTTATAATCGCTCTTGGAGGACGACTGCATTAAGGAGTGCATCAAGAACTATAAAATTATAGATGTCAGATGCAACAGGGATAGGATGAAATGTGGACCGAAATTTATAGGCCCATTTTTTTTAACCAAACTATGTCAGTGGTTGGGTTCTACCTTCCTTAATTCTGCAACATCCTACAAAATTTCTTGGTTAGGCCCAAAAAAAAAAATATTCGGTCTCTGGTCAGACCAAAGTTCCGGAATTGACGCGGGGACGCGGCTTCTTTTTTTTTTTCTTCAAGCTTGGATTGTACAAACAAGGTGGGGTACTATTTTGCTTTTTTTGGTGTCCTCATGTACACTGGTGTCCTCCATAATTTGCCTTGGTGCTCTCGATCATTTGCCTTGGTGCAATTTCCCATTCCTTGGTGCTCTTTGGTAAAAAAAAATTGAGGAGGTGCGGCAATAGAGGGCGCTGTTGGAGCTACCACGGAACATTTTGGAAAAAAAAAAGATTGACGCACATGATTAAAATCGACGCGCGCGCTGACCAGAGACCGACTTATTTTTTTTTTTGGCCTTATTTCTGTGTAGACCATAACCTAACCATCAGTATTTCCCACAAGAAACAAGTGTTGGAAAATTAAATTGAAGTTATTTCAAGAATTGAACGTGAGTCACCGAGTGCATGCTGTGCTGGAACTGGAAGGAGAGAGGGGGTTGTGATTTTCGATCTTTGGAAATCACAAATGTACTGGTGTACAAACACTTCACGGCAAACACATGAGAAGACATCAAACCAACCACAAAAACAACACAATGTTCACAATACACATCTTTCTATGAAAATCGACTTTAATTCATATTTGTTACATCGAGAAGCACCTGGGTCACATGCTGAGGATTCTTCTTCAGTTTGGAAATTTGGTCAGTTTACACGAAATCAAATATATTCTGTCATCTTGTGCTTCAGAGTTAATTGAATTTGCATTAAACACGCAATGAAAGTACGTCAAACTGTTGCCAACTGTAAATCTCGATTCAACTTGCTCAAGCGTGTGCCATCATTCCACATGCTTCAATTCAAAGAAGTAATGGGAGACTTTTGAGATGATTGGTGGCAGCAAACACACCGGTCCTTTTCACTTTACGCCATTTTGAAGCCAAGAGCAAGTTTGCGCAAGAACTATTGTTGACAATGGTTAACCATAGTTCGACTAAAGTTTGCCCGAACTCGGTCTAGTCGACAATAGTTGACTACGCTAGTCGACTATTTGGAACCAGCCTACCTGGTTGCATCGCTGGTAACCAATAGCTGTGCGCATTAATAATGTACAGCAGGGAGCCAGGACTCAGAAGTGTTGACATTTTGACCATCGTTTGATCAGAGATGTCGCACGTCCCTATTACTGCGCAGATGTAAGTTACGTCACAAATCAACCACTAGTCGACTAATGGTCCTTACCAGAACTTGCTCTAATGTGCACATGCTCAAAATGACGTTAACAATAGAAAAGGACCGATGTGTTTGCTGCCACCAAGAATCTCAAAAGCCTCCCATTACTGGATCAAATACAGTCACAAGAAAGTATCCCAGCTAAATGTACCACTATCTACTACATGATCCATAATTTCTATGGCCGTGAAATATGTCTTGCAAGTACTACCATGCAACAAGAGCAATAAAAGCAACTGTTCAAAATGGTCCAAACTGTTTAGGAATGTCATCACATTCTGAATCATACAAAGAAACATTTTTTATTTCATCCTTCACAGATATCACAGTGAGTGAGACTTCTACACTTCTGAGTTTGTGTCTAAGACTTACCGACTGTGCATCTTTCAAGTTGCTCCTTGTTTTGGGACGCAGGAGACCTTTTGGTTTCTTCCTGGTATCAAACACAGCACGCTTGTAGACCATGATGCCCAACTATCAAATCAAATCACAGCAACATTATCATCTTTAAAAATAATACCCAACTTCATTCCCATTTTATTTTAAGTGACAATATTGTCCGTTACAAATTATGAAGGGTATAATATTGTTCCATTTATCTTTGTGAGGATATCATCACATTACAACAGAGCTTAAATATCTCCCTCCTGTCATTCTTCTGTTTCAAGTATTTGACACAGAAGAAGTCCCTTACTTCTCACTTTTGCAACTGTTCAGCCGGGTATCGCAAGGATTGCCTATAAACTTATCCTGATCAGTAGACTTATTATTGGTCACATTATTGTTAGAAAAAAAGGAGCAGAGTTGATCAGAATTTTGTTATGTGACCGGACAACATAAACAGTTTCGTACACACACCAGATGATTATTTAACCCTGACTCCCCAGCCTAATTTACTAGGAACCATGCCCATTCTGGCAAATTCCAACACCCACATGGGAAATTCTACACACACTGTTGGACTTAGTTTCTGGAGGTATGCCAACCCCAGTGTAGAAGAACATCAGTTTAGGGGTACTGTACCTATCCCAACAGATTTAAGCAAAACCTGCTGTTGAACTTTGATGGGTTGTGTTCGGTTAGGGTTAATATTACTGAAGTAAACACATTGGACAATATAACAAGTATCTCAGGTGTGTGATGCTCTACGACTCATGTCTAAAAAACATTATAGCTAATTCAAAACCATTTTTTATGTGTTTAATTAGAAGGTGGATATCCATCACAGTCTAATACATACCCTGACAGCTGACTGTCTAAAGATGATTTCAATCTGGCCACTAGGTGGCGCCGAGCTGATTTTCTCCAGCTGACTCAGCTCATTGACTTTGCTCAAGGCACGGCGGGCAAAACTCTGTTGTGGAGAAAATTGAAGAGACATCAGACAATAATTTTTTTTTATTGGGAAATATTGCAAAATAGTGTCTAGAAATTAGTACTAACATTCAGTATTGCAGTTGGATTTTTTTCTCAGTCCTAAGTATTCAGAAATATAAGGTTACAGCAGAGGAATAAAGCCTAAGCACCAAAGCTGATCTGAGTACCAATATCACTGTTTGGACACATGGGTGCCTACAGGCATTCAAGAAATGCACATTTTTGTTATAGACAAATCTGGCGGCAGCCATTATCTGCGGTGGCCCAAGGCTGCGCGTGAGTTGCGCTTGGGGAGTACGCATGTTCTCTGGGCTCCCTCGACCAAAAGGAATACCAAAATGCACGTGCACCTCATCTTTAAGAACGCATGCATCATGCGCGTGAGCGTGACACCACCGCAGTAAAAGCTTCTAATTCTGGTCGGCGGATTCCACTATAGAACTTGGACTCATACTCTGGGCCCTATTTCATGGCTCTGCTTACTGTAATAGCGAAAAATACCAGTTTACTCTTGCAGAAAACACTGTGCTTACGGTAAGCGTATTTAGCGAGGAATTTTGGCTTTTGTATGCGTATGCGCACATCCTGTAACTAAGCATTCTGTGCTTACAGGGTTACCACAGTTTTTTTTTGTCCTAGCACTGTTAGCACAGAATGATTATCTTAAGCGCGGAATGCTGTGCTTAGCAGAGCCATGAAATTGGGCCCAAGTCAGAGTCTGTATACAACTTTTGTACAACTTAAGTACTATTCTGTTCAAATGATGAGATTCCTAACTTGAAACAAAAGCCCAAATACTTAGACTACACTATCTTGTTTTTTTTTAGGCTTAATTAATACTTCTCTACTTAGAAAACTACTGAACTACAACGCTGCTAGTGCTGTATGCTCAGGCCAATCTGAGACCTAAACAAAAGTCATATCTACTGGTTCCGCACTGAATCCATAAACAAGACAAACATCACTGGATGAAATTGGACAGATTTTGGGGTTTTTTTTGGTACCTCAGCATGCTGGGATGCCTTGCAGTCATAGTAACACTGACACACAGCCGTGTATAGTGTGGTCCTCCAGGACAGGTAACGAACAGACAAGAGTGGCACCGAATGCTCCATGCACATGCAGGCCCACAGAAGGAATTCCAACACCTAGGTTGATATAAAAAAGTAAGTGTGAACTAAGGAATTAAGTGCCATAAGTAGACAAAAATAAAACATATTATGAAATCAAGTCTGTCAAGGCTTTTCGTCGCATGAGTACCATTTTGAACTGATGTATATCACCTTGCTGTATACAGATAGTTACCAACTATTTTCATTTTGCAGAGTCACTGAGAATGGTGAACAATAAATTTTGACTGAACCCTAAAAGCCAGTCAAGAATAGCCAACAATTTAAAATGACTTTACAAAGACATTTTGTCGCAGCCTGCAAAAAGTTAGCATCATCAGATTATAACAAACTGTGCCCTGTTTTAAATGCCAGTCAAAATATATATATGAGTAAAAAATATTTTCTTTTTTGCAACAATATATTAATTAAAAACCCATGATTTAAATCCTTTTGAAACTTTGATACACATCGTTCATGATTCAAATGAAAACTGAAAATTGATACCTTTGCTGAGTGGCCCAGTGTCATCAGATGTCTTGATACACTGTAGATGTGGATTGTTCCTGAAAAAAAAAATGACATTGAAAAGCATATGCAATGTAAACCTTGGCAATCAAGACTCTGTTGGTTTCAATTAAAAGATATTAAATAACAAATATGTTTGTTTTCTAACTTCAATACCTTCATCACATACAAGGCTGAAGATTAAATAATATTTGAAGGTTCGCATGGTGAAGATAGCAATAAGAAAAGGCCGAAAAAATAATAGTTCAGCTTCAGATTACCCTACCTACCCTATTTTTTTTTGGGGGGGGGGGAATGGGAAAAAAAACCCCAAAATCATCAATTACTACCTTTTACCCTTGACTACATGCAGAAACCTCCATATGATCGTACACAAAAAAATTTGCCCCCCAAAAAATTGCCTACCTTCCTACCCTATTTTCAAATGCCATGTAATTGGAAGCAGAACTATTTTTGTTTTTGGCCTAAAGATTTATGAGTACCCGTGTTTTTTTTCAATCGGGTACCCGATTCCCATACTACCCGTAAATGCACACCCCTAGACATTTTAGCTGGTAACTTGTTTTCCTAAGCGACTTTCTGCAGTTAGTAGCCACATGAATTGGACACTAATGCCATGTTTCTTTCAATCTACTGTAGAGTGCTCCACTTTTGCAGACTTGAGCCACCTACCATTGTAGACCAGCCAGCACAGCGGTTCCCTGGGCAGCACGACCTGTGTGATGAGCCTGAGGAAGGCCAGGATCTTGAGACACATGCTGACTGACTGGGTGTTCTGTAGCTTGGGGTCCGTCAGTAACACCAGCTGGTAGTTACAGATACTCTTGCCATACAGTGCTCGGAACTGACAACAACAAATGTAATACATGTAACACTTGTAACTGCATAAACTAGGAAGTGAACTGCAAGGCCTTGTTTTATTATTGAGTGTACCAAGAACATTGATCAGAATGAGATTAGAACCAAGGACCAGCAGAACGCCTCATGCTTGCTGACAACTACACACACTAATCAATTATCACTTAAATGTACACAAAAAAAATCAGGCGTTTGGAAAACAACGTGTTTAAGAGCAATGCCTAACTCTCTCTCTCTCTGTAACTGTTGAGGTACATGTGCACATGTCCTTTGCAATCACACTTTCCTCAGTGTACAATGCTATTGGAGGAATTTTGTTACTTTTTCAAATTTTATATTCAAAACAAAATTGAATAAACTGGTATCTTTTTTGAAAGATGTATTCCTGAAATGTATAATCAGATTCAACTCTTTGACTACAGGATTAATTGCCTTTTAAAATTAACATTCAGCTGACATACGCATCACAAGACGTCTCAAGCAGGTTAAATTCCATGGTAATACATCACCATGCTGGAACGAAGAGAGTTAAAAATGCTTCTCAAGATGTTTCTCAAAAGGTAAATCTTAGTCAATAAATAAATTAACAAGGGCAGAAAAAAACAGATACCAAAGGATAGACCTTTCTTTAGGCATCGGCAACACTTACTGTAAGGCTGGCATTATCGGTTTCCAAACCGTCCGGGAAGAAGATCTCCTTGACCGTGCTGATGTCTACAATGTCCTCAATGTGCTGATCACCAAACTGGTCTAGGTAGCGCCCATAGCACTGCCACACAGCAAGATTGTACTCCTGGAATACAAGACAAGCAATTTTTTGTGTCACCGAAGTGTTAACTATAATTCCTTGGGCATTTTTTAAATGATGGGAAAGCTCATGAGGTAAAAAGGGATCTCCTTACTTTGATGGTAACCAGGAAGTCTCCCATCTGAATGACCTTCTGCTGATAGTAAGTAGTAGGAAGTCGCCCCTCGTAGGAATTCCATAGTGCAAACAAGGTATCAGCTCTGTAAGAATCAAAACAAAAAAATTGTCGGTAAATTCAACCTTACCAGATTTTTATATACAAAAACTTTCTATTGTACTGTGCGTTTGTATTTAGATTGCAATCATACGAAGTAACATTAAAATTAAGTAAATCAGCTGATCATCAACCAAAAAAACCCTGAAAAACAAAGAAATAAACTGCTGTAATATTTCACACTTTTTTACAGTTAGATTGGGACGGTGTACATGTACTGTGGGACACTTTGCATTAATGAATGGGGATTTTGAGTTGCTGCGGCTATCTGTAAAATCAAAACTTCAAAGTTCAAGTTTGGAAAGACTGTAGTCATCCAGCAGAGTTGTCTTTGTTGTTTACAAAAAATTGACTTTTTTCAGTTTTGATATTTATTTTTTTAACGTACGCCAATAATATAATACAGACCCATGCATAGGTGCCCTCGGGTATGTAATGATCTGCTCAGTTTGCAGCAGAAAATCAGATGGCCATTTTTCGGCCGCCTAAGTAAGATCTGCTTTTTCGGTATCAAAAAAGCAGAAAAGTGGAATGCACAGTTGTTGTCAAAACGTTTGATCCACTCTTCTGCTTTCCTGAAAGGAGAAACAATTATTTGTTTATTTTGTGCTTTTTGTATCATTATACGTACAATACGCTCCATCAATTGCATCTGTTTGTAACAAGGTAAAACTTGCACCCATTTTTACACAGTTGCAGATACGATTTCAGAAATATTTCGCCAGACTCTCTATAGACAGGATAGATGGGCATGTCAACGCAAAAATGCTACCCCCCCACCCCCCCCCCACCCCCCCCCCCCCCTCTTTTCCCCCTTGCATTTTGAAGCCCTAGTTTTCAAACAATCTAGATTGGCTACAACTGTTTAAAAAAATTATGGCAGTGGATATTTTGCCGGAGACGGCAAACCTTTAGTAAACGTTAGTTTGCCGGATATGCACTGAACATGCGCAGTTACTGTTTTTTTGTACTTAAACATTTTCCGGTGACAAATTTTAGTCTGGCTCCATGCCAATATTTTTGCTGTAACGTCGTATTCACAAGATGGGATTCAGACCATTTTATAATTTCGGACTTTATTTCCCTTTTAAAAAAAATCCTCCAGAGCCACAAATCTGAAAAAGAAAATGTAATACTCTGCAATAAAATGTTTGAGACATGTTAAAATAATAAAAGAAGAATATTCTTATTTATTTGGGGATGGGAAAAAAAACTTTAAAATGTGGCATGGGGATCGGGATCGAACCCGAGTCATCCCGCTCACCAAAGCCTTTGCTTAACCACTACACCAAACGTGCTACACAACTTTTGATGGGAAATTCAATACATCTTATAATTCAGCCCTATCTTAAAGAGTACAGCGCCCTCTGTTGATATGGATTGCCGCCGGCAAACCTTTAGTAAACGTTAGTTTGCCATCATTACCTCCGGCAAAATATCCACTATCAAAAATTATACGTTTTTAATTAGGCCTAATTACTAATTAGGCCTAGGCTACATTATTGGTGTAAGCATCAAACATGTTTCGGTTCCACGAAGAGTTGGACATCAACGTAAATTGTCTTCCAAAATAAATGTCTTCCAAATAATAAATGTCCGCTTCCAGATAATGGTGAGAGTTCGTGCATGTGCCTGTACTGTAAATATCGGAGGGAAAGAACATTGCATCCTGACGTCACTTTTTTCATACTAGTAGAAATGTTTCTCATTTCCAGACTCAAGTGACAAGTCTTTTTCAACATCACTGACTTCCATTGATACTACTACTAGTAGTAGTAGTATCAATGGAAGTCAGTGATGTTGAAAAAGACTTGTCACTTGAGTCTGGAAATGAGAAACATTTCTAATTTTGTTTTAAAATACTTTATAGGTGCCGAGTTGGTCAGGTGCCGAGTCGGCAAGGTGCCGAGTTGGCAGGTGCCGAGTTGGCAAGGTGCCGAAGTGACCGGATACCGACCCATTTCCCCTGGAAGTTACTTCGCACCCGTACCCTTCACAACACACGTCCGAAAACTGGACAGGCCGATCTTACCCTCGTGAAAACGCCTCGTCATCTTTCTTCTTATAGGCTGCCGAGGCTTTCTTTTTCATAAACTGTAAGAACAGTTTATACTCTTCCCCAAATGCGTTAATTACAGGATTTTTATCACCGCTGTAGAAAGTGGAGGATGGTTGATTGACGGATTGTGCAGCCTTGTGCTGCAGAATCACCGCCATCTTGAAAACACTTTACACAGTTGCTATGGTCGGTTCCACTATTTACAAAGGGGGTTATATCCGTATTTATTCCTGAGGGGGCATTGTATCACATAAATGTGTCATTATATATTGATAAAAGAAACAGGTAACAGGTAAAAAAATCGTTGGAAAAATTGTCAGCATGATGGTGGCATGCACGGAGTTTCTTAATCAACTTACGATCAACAATAAAACAGAAATCTTCACACTGTTTCTGTAACTAAGGCTTTTGGTCGCCACTGCAATTGGTATGGTTAGGCCCATCAATCAAAAGTTTCCCCCGCGCGCGCGCGTGGATAGCCTGTATGTTGTTCATCCCTGTTTTGGACCTTGTTTTCTGAAAAAAAACCCACCATAATTGATTGGGCTTCCATTCCCCCACTCCAAATATTGGGAAGGAGGAATTCAGTTTTATAATTGAATGATTTAATTTTCCCTGCAAATAGCTTGAGTAACTCCAGCTGACATGCTCATATTCATTCACATGTGAATGAATATGAGCATGTCAGCTGGAGTTAACATACAGCTGACATGCTCATATTCATTCACATGTGAATGAATATGAGCTATATGAGCATGTCAGCTGGAGTTACTCAAGCTACCCTGCAAATTACTTCTTTTGAAGTTTAAATGAGTCTTTCAAAATAAGCAGTTTTGTGAGCGCAAAAGTAGGCCACATACATTAAGAATCCCCGTCACATGAAAATCCGACTCCTATGAAAATCGGACCCCTTTTCCCTATTATTGGTTAATCCCTCTCACGTGACCGGTCACTTTCCTAATTACCATACTTACGCATGCGCGGTATTACCAATAGTCCGAATTTCATAGAAACGTAAATTCACGCTACACCCCTATGCACATCTGCTAAAGCTCCATCCCAATGCTGAAATGATTCATTTGACTAGACCAAGAACTTTCAAAGAGAAAATCACTGCAATTTTTTTTTCAGTTTTAATTGCATTTTTTTAAATCACACACCTTTACATAAATATTTATAATTATTTTTTTAAGAGAAAAATGGAATGCTTTCACACAAAATATCTCACTTTCACATTTAAATGCATGTTGCAAAGCAGAGCCAGCCACACCACAAATAGGTTGCCATGTACTGCAAAGTTCTAAATTATAATGTACAGTTGACTCTCGTTAATACAAAATCCATTGCTAATAAATTTTGTCAATAAAAATTCTGGTTATAGTGAATAAAGCCTTGGTTCCAACTGTACATGCACAGCATTCTGATACACAAACGTTTTGGCTAGGTCTGGCCGAGTTTGTATTAACAAGAGTCGACTGTGTTTAGGAAAATTGAATATTATTGAATTCATCTTTTTCTATGTGTTAATTATTACTTTGAGAGCTGTCACTTACCAAACACTTGAATACTGTATTTAACTGGACAATTAGTTCTGAACGTACAAAAGTGAACAATTTGTGTACAATCTGCAAATTTAACAGTTTATTACAGCTGAATACTGGCAGATGGTACTAGAATAATACTAAAATGTTGTTTTGGAAAATCTGCTAAATTAAGTTGAAATGCATTGGAGTTATGCTTCAGATTTTGATAGTATTAAGTTCAACATTTAACTGTATTATTTTCTTGTAGCTTTACAAAAATGCTTTATTTGTTCCTTAATCCTTGAAATTAGCATCCAATAACACGTTAATAAAAAATGTGCTTGTTGATTTTTTTTTAGCAAAATAGCAAGATAGCAAAATGTTCACACAAAAAAAGCAAATATTTACAAAATACTTCCTGCTTCCAATACATGTAGCAAAATACAGTTACAATTTACAATATAAAATTTACAAATCTTTTTACAACTGAAAAATTAACCTTATAACTAAAAATTTGTAGTGCTAATATATATTTCAAGTTGAAACTTTAAAACCAGTCATTTTTTAAGATGATATTAAGGTCGTTACAAAATGGACGATACGTTACGACTCAAAAATGTATTCACCGACTTATGAATACTTATTCGCAACAAAAATATATAAAATGTTTTAGTGTCTAAAAAATACATGATGACATACTTTTGATTGACAGATCTTGATGTGAATTGGCAAATAAGTGCAGACAGAAATCGATTTGTGAAATCCTTAAATCGATTTGTAAAATCCTTAAATCGATTGGAAAACCCTTAACTTGATTGGAAAATCCTTAAGTTGATTGGAAAATCTGTAACTTGATCGGAAAATCCTTAAATTTACAAATTATGCAGGGAAAGACACAGGTGGATTCATTCTCTAAAAAAAATATTTCAGATACATTTCAAACACGATTCTACTGCCGCTGCATAATCTACACTTTTTAAAACGGTTTCCGACTTAATATTCAATTTTTTTCTTCAACGATAAAATACCAAATAATTGGGGGCTTTTAAACATGATCTTAATGAAAGTCAGCAGAGGTTTATCAAGCGATAACATTTTTGTCTTCCAGAACTCAAGTCAACACAGGGAACTTTTGCAACATCGGTAACTCCTTTTCCATCTATGTCATTTTTTTGTAAACAATCTGCACAGCTACATGTGTGTAGGCACTTTACTTGTCTTTATAATTGCTGTTTTCAGTGGTGTCTCCAGATTTTCGGTCCAAGGGGAAAAAATGGGTAATTTTTCTGTAAAATGGGGGGGGGGGGGAGGGGGTGGGCGGGGTCAGAGGGGGAGGGGGGGAATTAATACTAGTAATGGTTGTGGGTCTCTGGCGCTTGCATTAAAAAAAAAAAGGTCAAATGTTGCCAGGGGTTGGGAAGTTACTCCAGGCCCCCCTCCCTCCACCCCCTGACTGGAAAAAAACACTGGCTGTTTTGGGTTGAAAGAAAGCAATTCTCTTTTTTTGTCATCAGAACTTATCCAATCTGATGAATACTGAAAACTTGTCTTTCATGTCTATGGAGATCTGCAAGGAAAAAAATGTTCATGAAAACGATTCATTCTGCCATAGCTTCAACAGGAGCTGTTGACTGTGTGATGGAATTACTTGCAGCCATTGTTGGACCATTACCCAACGGTTTAGTGTCCACGCTGGTGTTCATGTTTACAGTGCTGGACTGATTCAGCTCAGGCCGGCCCTCCGTACCCCAAGCAGTGGACTGGCAAACTGTACCCTTGACTGTCATCTGTGGCGGTCTCGGCTGGAGGGGTGGGCTAGGCTGTCTGTGATTGGCAGAATTAGTCTCCGCCCCGTTGACCTCCGGGAACACCCCTGTGGCGGTCTTCGGGCGGGGCTTTTCAAAGTTCAACTCTGTCGTTTCGGCCTCGGGACGGTGCCAATTCAAACAGTCCGCGACGCTGGTGCGGAAAATCGGTGCCGATCCCGTCCGCGACCTGCGCAGCCTCGTCATGGATATTTGCTGCTTGGGCCTGTTGTAGATGGACTCTATCCTGGGGTTGATGTAGGTGTTGGACTTCTGTACCGGGACTGGGTTCTCCTCGATGGAGCCGGTGTTCATGTTGGTGTGCACCCAGGGGTTGGGCTGTTGATGCCGGTGCGTAAACTGGTACGTCGTGATCGGTTTGTCCTGCACCATGTCGGGCGGGTCTGTATACGGCGTTGGAAGGAAAGCCGGTGCTGATGCGGAGAGATACTTTGTCGGCTTTGCGACGGCAGGAACAAGGATCTGAGGAACTCGGTTTGTCTCCGAGTTCCTAAAAGTTTCTCTGTAAACAGAGACAACAGGGCCACCGTCCTTGATTTCTTTCGCGTGTGGCACCCAGGAAATGAAGTCAGGCCGGAACTTGCTGGTACGTGCATGAGTGACTTTTTTCTTGCCCAAACCCTACAAAAGAGTGAATAAAGGAAAGGCATTGTTTTAAATTCAAGTTTAAATGATTAAGTTTTTGAAATTCTTGACAAACTCATTTACCTACTCCAAGACATGATATGGGATACTCTTGATCATCAAAATAGCCATTCATCATCAAAATAGCCATTCAAACATTCTGAAAACCCGCGAAAGGTAATTTTAACATTTTTTGTTCTGCAATGTTTTCATTATGTCCTCATTATTGGAATTTACTAGGTCATTAATAAAGGCCAATGGAACGTTTTGCATAGTTCCTTGTGTGTGCTACATTCATGTTAGACATAAACAAAAAACACTGCGTAGTATGCCTGTCCTAAGATATGGTGGTTGTTAGCAGCAAGGTACAAGGGACTCTTTGTAATGTTCGTGTGTGTCATTTTCAAGAGATTAAGTCACTACATAATTAAGCCCATACGTAACAGCCCAAAAATAAATAGTTGTATAAATTTCTGTTTGATTCACACATTTTCAACACATATTTCTTCAAGGAGAGAGAAAGACTTCTGAATACAAGAAACAGCAGCCATTATGACCCAGACCTTTTTAGGTTAGCTTTGTACAGACTTATCCGGCGACAGCCATATTCTGAGGTGGCACCAGGCTCGCGCGAGGTGATACGCATGCACTCTAGGCTCCTTCGACCAAAAGGATCAACAAAATGCGCGCGCGCCTCATCTTTAAGAATGCGCGGCATGCACGCGGGCGTGGTGCCTCCTCAAAAATGGCTTTTATTTTCATTTGCCAGGTAAGTCTATAGAAAGAGGTGATATAAATGTCATCATGCTTGCAACAACGATGGAACTCGATTAGTAAATCTCGCCCCTTATATGTACCCTTAACAGTAGGGAATGTTTTATTCAACTTACATCTTGGAAGGAGGTGACAGTATTCAGGAACGAAAATCGGTTGTCATGGTGGGAAAACTGGTGAGCTGTTGGACGTGTCTATAAGAAAACCCAAACAAATAATGTTGTTAATCATTGTAAAATACTTGAACAAATCGAAGAGGTCTATTTCACTCTATAAAAATTTCAGTTTTTAAATCTGAGCAGAAAATGATAGGCCCCTATTATTTGCTTATTTGTCCATAAAACAAACCTATGAAGTGTGTATATTCAATGTTAAATAGTTGTTGTATGGCTCGTTGTTAAATACAGAATGCATCACTGATAAGAATTTATAATTTTCAAGAGTCTCCAAGTACTAGTGAATTCATATGAGGAAAAAATCTCAGAAGATAATCTTTATAAATAATATAATCTGAAATAAATGTAATACATGTACATGGCGTAAGGGCCGTAACCATGCAGCCTGGTGGTGGAAGGGGATGTCGTTTTTTACCAATAGGTGGATTTTTCCATGTGTCATAAACAGTTGAGTACGCACACATGTATACACATTTTGAGCACTTTTCCCTCATGATTGAATGTCAATCATGAGGGAAAAGTAGACCTGCTCTGATTTTTTTGGGGGGAGGGGGGTTCTGACCCCCAATCCACGCCTCCCCCCTCTAACACCTATGGACTGCCAGAAAAGTTTCTCCGACTTTGTTTTTGGTTAATCATTTGTAAACAATGGAAACTAACCAAGTTGCTCTGGTAATTTGATTCATGATCATCCATTTGTTTTCTCAAGAATTAGCATCCATGGCATTTAATAGCTTTGGAAATAACAAATCACTCTAACTTTGCCATGGTACAAAAGAGCCTGCATATATTTGTTCAGTCATTCATTCAATACAGTACAAGCGCTTGGGTTTCCGTCAATATTTACACTAGGCGCCGCTCTGAAAGGGTCGTGTTCCCATTAGACCCATGCCCCCCTGATCTTTTGGCTACTCCAGTGACCCAGTTTACTGATAACTAGGATCATTTATTAAGTATTGCATTGTGATATGAATATGGGCTTATAGCATCAGACGATGCACCTATTGCGAAAGGCTTAAGAGTTTTGCCGTAACACAGTAATGTTCAAAAAGCTATGCGAAGAAAAAAAAACAGATACCAATGCAGCCTCCGTAAAAGCAGTTCAAAAAGAAGAACAGTGTTATTCGTGTATCTACAATACTTTTCATGCATTTATAATTTAGCCCCCCCCCCCCCAACAAAAAAATCTGTGTTTACAGTAAGCCAACCAACCCAGATTTTTTATTCCTAAATTTCTGACCTCAATCTTTTATGGCTACATTTGGCCAAAACTTTAAAATAGAGTATATTTTGAAAAATAAAAAAAGTGTTCCCTTTGCAACTTTTTTGTGTTATTGGTTAATCAAACAAAAATATCAATAGATTAATGAAACAAAATAGTGTTAAGTCACCCGATAGAAGAGTGGCAGACAAACGTTAAAAGTTACTAAATATAATTATTTTCCCTACCTACCTACTTTGATAATTTTAGGACATTAGCATAAACACACAATTCTTTTTTGGGTCATATGAAACTTGAAATTATAATTCATGATAACTTTCAATTTTCAAATTTAATTATTAGCCAATCTCTTACGTTATTCCCAAGCATGTTTCCAAACAAACTGTTTTTACAAATGCTTTCAAATTTGATAATTCAATGTCACATTTTTTTTTTTTTGTGTGTGGACTGTTCACTTGAAGTAATGATTATGTTCTTCAAAGCAACATAAAGTTAGTTATTGATGAAAAAGCGAGAACAATCTGCAGAGAAATTATGGTTTTGTTGTTCTTTGGGACCACATTTAACAAGCTCATTTTTTGCCCCGCCCTCTACTTTGATTTTACTCTGTATCCACACTATATGTGTGTGTGAACAATATACAGATGATTATTTTTATATTTAGTTAGTATCTACCAAGCACAACCAGCCATTTTGTTTTCAATCAGTTGTTTATTTCTCTTTTTAACATGGTTGTAAGCATCTTCCATTGTGATTCCCTAACAACTACATGACATCAACAAAGTAAAAACATGTCAGTGGCATCGATCAATAATTTGGATCAATATGCAACAGCTTTGGGAGCATTCCTTTTTCACAAAGTCATATAAAGTTTTTGATTCTCAATACAATGTGAAAAATCCACACTGGTCAAACACAACAGGACTCCAATGAGGAAAGAAGAAAGGTTGAAAGGAAAAGAAAGCCAAAAGCATGAATTAAATAAAAAAAAAAAACACTGGGAGTAAAAGGGACACAATGTCATCCTATTTCATCTCATACCTGTAATTTTCTGCAGAACTTCTCAGGAGGTGAAGGTTTTGCTTGTTGTCTGTAGTCGTTGACAAAATCATTTCTGGATTTACTCCTGAAGTGACCGTAGTAGCCCGTAGGGAACTGTGGAATAGAACATATCACTGCATTTAATACACAGTGATTCTGTTTACAAATGGAAAGAATGTAGTATGATTACCGTGACAAGTAACACCACGTCTGTGGTTGTGAACAAAGTCTATGAAGAGTTGAATACATTTTCAAAGTATATTTTCTAACGTAATGGCACATGTTTCTCAGTCCCACATTCATGTCTTTTCAACATTTTTGCAATGACTGACGTTCATTGAGGTATTATACATGTATGATGAAAAAAGTGGCATCAGGATGCAACCGTTTTTTTAATCCCAAATGATGTGAGAATACACTTTAGATGTACGATTCTACGAATACACTTTTATATCCTTTTTTTAATTTAAAGATCCATGTCGAAAGGGATCCCAAAAAGTTCGTCGAGTAGGGATCCCCTTTATTATTATTAAACAGAAATTTATACATGAATTTTAGTGAAAATAATTGATATTTGTAAATTACACATAAAAACATAATGATTTACGATTTCCCTTTTACTACGTTTTAGTCACTTTCAAGATAGGCCTCCTGGATTTTAGCAATGATACATCCATTGTGGAGAATGTCGTGATTTACGAGCCACATATGCACGGGCAAAATGGCGCCACATTGGTGAAAAATGATATGCACTGCTGTCAATACACAACACGCCATGTCCCCCAGACACGCACTACAGTGCCAAACTGCCACTGCCAAGCCCACTGTCAATGCACATGTACAATACTGTGAACGCTATACTTACCCAACTTCCCTGCGAACTAATGTGGGTCGTCTTTGCCATCCCAATATTTAACGCCAACAAATCACCAAAATGTCGTGGAAGTAAAGGCTTCAATTTTACACCATGTCTCCAGTAGGGAATGTAGTATTAGTAAGTCACCTGGTTGTAAAAGTTTTCGACAAAAGTTTCTTGTATTTGATGATTAAGGGAAACTATCACCTACTCGCGGCGCGCCGTTTCTAGGGGCTGGCGACGTTGTGTACGGAAGTAAACGCTCCGTCGTCAAAGTCCTCATGAATATGGATGTTGATCGTAAGATTGCCGCACCAATCAAAGGATTGAACGGATAAATGGGCGGAGCGCTACTAATGAAAATGCGCATGCGCGTTGTCAACTTTTGGACTTTAAATCCAAGATGGCGTTTAGGTGCGGAGGACAATTTTTGGTTTGGTGAGTTGGAAAAATAGATTACAACTCTATTTCGAGTTCATGTCTTGTTTCGAATTGAAAAAATGGTTTATGTTACTATTTTCTTTTAAATTTATGAAGCATTAGAACACATTTTGGGCGGTTTTAGGCGAGAACCTGTGTATAAGGTTCCATGTTCTGTCGTCTGCTTTTTATCACGAACCTTTAAAATTTAACATTGCAGACGACAGCGGGTGAATGCGCGCGTAATTCGGTGTTCGTGTGGAGCTGACTCTTGATTTATTGAATAAAATACGTGTTTGTTAAGCCTATGAGTATGCGATTGTATCGAGTTAAGTCATTGATTGCTGAAGCATAATTCATTTAATTTGCAGTCTGCTTCTCGAGCGGAGCTGAGTCAGACATTTGAAACCTTTGCACCGTTCTATGTTTCAGACAATTTACATTAGGCCTATGTGTTTTGATTCACATTAGATAAACTTCTGTAAGTTGGCGTATACCTTTCCTCTCGTGATGACTTTTGCCTTTATTGTATGTAGAAACTCGGAACTCATCGCCAAAGTCAGGATGTTCAATAATCAACTCAGTGCTAAGGAGCTTTACAGCACCAATCCATCGTAAGTTTATGTATCTCTTTTTCTCAGCGTATACAACCAAACGACTTCACAATATCTGCTGAAAAGATAAAAGTGTTTATCAGATTGTAGAACATTGGGCTATCTTATTTTTAAAGAAAAGAAATATATTTTACAGAAACTAGTTTCCAAAGTTTCACAAAATGTCATGAAATTATCTGTGGTAGGCCTAAAATCATTTAAGAAATGTAAACAAGTTATTTCCTATCTCCATGGTAAAGAACTATTTTTGTGATTTTTCCCATCTCCACTTTCTATCCTTTTGTTGTTTGAAGTTTTTGAACTAGTTGTTGAGAATAAAATATTAAATAAAATTCATATTTAAGCAACATAAAGTGTGAATTGTGTCTAACATTGAGTTGTTTTTTTAACTCTGCCTTTCTTAAATATTTAACAAACGTTTAATTTTCTTTACATGTAGTCAGTTTTTACAGCGGTCTGGTTTCCGAACCGACCCTGAAGATTCAGCCTTCAGCTCCTCACTGAGCCAAAACAACTCCCAGGTTATGAGCTCACAGATGGACAACTCCCAATCCAGCTCCTTTGACATGTTCTCTCAGATGATGATGTCCCAACAACAAGGCTGCTCACAGCAAACAGAAGTATTATTCCAGTTCTTTTTTTTCATATATTAAATATTTCTGTTTGTCTTTATATTTTTAATTTTTCCAGGGGATAGGCTCCCATTCAGTTGTGTATACTTAATTTGTTACAGGTATTATACAACATTTGCAAACATCGAAAAACAAAATTACCAAACTCTTGTGAAATGTATTACTTGACTGCAGTCGAATAATATTGGCACCTTGTGCGCTATCATTTTCAAGAAAAGTGGATTTTTTGTTCAATTTCCAACTATTGTCAGCCGACCATCGTTGGAAAAAAAGGACTTTTTTGATTTTTCAAATAATGCCTCCAATTAACCAAATTTAGTAAGTCCACATTTTGTTTGCAATTGGTTACACATCCGTGAATGGGTGCAAGCCAGCTAGTCTGGTTCCCGACCTGACAATTGCCTGATGTCTATAAATTGCGCTATTTCGTCAGAAGTAGGATCAGGGAACCAGACTACATTTTATCTTAGTTTTTCCAGCATCTATGAACACAAAACAGTGTAACAATATTCACTATAAAATATTAATCCCTAAATCCATCTATTTCTGAAAATTACAGCAAAAGCAAGTGTTGTATATTACCTTTAAGGTCGTTAAAATTTTCCACAATGCTTGTGACAGTGACACAAGTTTGCAACATCATTCAAAAAGAACAAAAAATTGGAAATGTTATCCTACAGAAAACTTTGTGCCAAGAATTTTAATTTTGAAAAGTGTTACTATAGCGGTCACATTTGAAAAAGCAAATTTAAAAAGTTTTCATTCATTTCAGGCAGACTGTAAATGTAAAACAAATTTTAAGAAGTGAATTTCTTTAAAGGATTAAATTCAACAATGTCTGTTTTTCAGAACGCAAACAACCCTCAGAGATTCTACATGAAGTACATGTCCAAGGCGCCCCTGTTCAGCAAAGAACCGGACAAGAATCCCCTACCCAGAAGAAAAAGCTTCCAAGAGCAACTTGATAGCAACAAACAGAAAGCAAAAGAAAGAGATGACAGGTGACAATGAGACCAAGAACCAATTCAGATATTTCAGTACTAGAAGTTCCTTACAGCAGCCCAGATAATTTTCATATAATAATTTTCATTTAAATACAAAACTAACTGCAAGTTTTTAATTTTGTTCTAATTCCATTATTAGATTTTGTAACAAAGTTATGCATAATGGGATGGCAAATTATATTTGACCCTTTTATCAAAAATTAATGATCCATGAAAAATATGGAAAGGATGACAATTGTAACATTAATTACATAATTGACAGATAATTAGCACAAAATTTGATAAAATACTCCCAGATTTAAATCAGATTGCCAAGCAGTCACCTGAGAAATAGATAGTTGTCACCCACTTCATAAAAATCCCTTCACACAAATGACTGCTTCTCAAACAATATATCCTAAACTTGATGTCTTAGCATTTTCCATGTCTTCATCCACTGGTACAGAGATCTGATCAACACCTTCATCAATCTGGTCAAGGAGTGCACGGAGGAAGTCAAGTCTGCTGCCTCAGACATCAAGAAAGATGTGGACAAAAATATCTCAGAGTCTGCCTGCCAGTTCAGCAGCCTCATCCAGAAAAGTGAGTCCGACTGTTAGCTGGTCAAGTGTACCTGATGCCAACATAACATTCATAGGAAAATTATTCATTGTATGTGCAGAGCACATCAAACTGACTTATTATGGACTCCTTATGAACCACTTTTACTATCGACAGAAACTGAAGAGCCCTTTTTGTTGTGCATCATTGCTCAGGAAGGTTCCTCTCAAGTAAAGACACTATAGATTTGTGCACTTTGAATTAAAAGTGGCCAGCACACTCTGAGCTGTATGCACTTGCAAACCAATATACACAGGACATGCATCAGGTGTTCAAACTGTTGTCAGTAGCGTAGATCCATGTCGGCAAGTTGGGGGGGGGGTGATGGGGGATGCCGGCCATGGAAATTCAAACTGGGGGGGGGGGGGGGGGGGGGGGGGATGGGGAGCCGGACAACACATGACACTAGGGGGCCAGTTCATGATACAAAAGTACATCTTATGAAGACTTGCGAGCTTATGCTCCTTAACCTTACCGCAAAATGGTGCATTTTAAGCTTTTGTACTGTTTATTGTCCGATTTTCTTAACTATATGTAATACACTTGGACTCTCGGAAAGTTATAAGATAACCTTAAAATCAGCATTTCTTTGTTGCTAACCACAAGTATGGGGGGATAATCAATTGGCCCATCCCCACCCCTCTCCCCCCCCCCCTCCCTTGTCAAAAAGTGTGGGGGATATATCCTCCCCATCCCCCATCCCCCATCCCCCATCCCCCCCTCCCAGATTTACGCCCTTGAGTGTCGTATACATTTCCTGTAATGAGTCCATTTAATGCTGTGATATCACAAGTACAAAACAGAACTGCTATTGCCAAAATGCATTTGCATAGCTTGTGATGACTTCAGACTGAAGGATTTTTAATTGACTTGTGATGTCATGAGAGGAAGTGAGTGTATAACGCTGCTTAGAGCTTACATTTCCATCCAGACTCATTAAGTCTGCTATTTTATTTTAGTCAATGAAGACTTGAAGCATTACCATAGCACACTGCTGGATGCAGTGAAAGTCAGAGAGGACAAGCAGGCCACACTGGAAGCAATGCAACAAGACCTTGCTGCTGTAAGAATTCTTGAAACCTTTTCATCAAGCTATTATGTACCATGTAATGTTTCAACTGAGCAAAAGAAGAAGACAAAAAAAGTAGTAATGCTTGCATGACCTCACCTGATTTTCTTTAAATCTGTGTTTTTTTTCCATAATTTTGATTTTTCATGACTTAGACTTCAGTTTTCAAATAAATACTTTTAAATATCGTATGTGTGGAATTGTCCATTCCAAGTTTCCTTTGATTCGTATATTTCCTTAGCATTGTTCCCAATAAATACTAAAAGTACAGTAGAAGGTCTTTCATCCTGTCCAACAAATTGCACATCTGACCTAAATATCTTTCGGTGTGTGTCAATGGGAATTTGTAGGTAGTATTATCAATTCACCTTAAAAAAAAAATGTTTTAAATTCACATGTTTTTTATTGTAATCCATTCACAGAGGGAGGCCAAAATTGAAGTCCTCGAGACGCAACTGGCAGCAGCTAACAAGCAACGTGAGGAGAGAGTGGTAGAGTCTGTCCTGGAAACCTACACAGAGCAGCAGCAGAAGAACCGAGAGCAGATGGACAAGATGCAGGAGGAGCAGCAGGCCTTCTGCAAGACGCAGATGGACAGACTGCAGCAGGACCAGCAGAGGTATCTGCAGAGATGCGAAGCGGAGAGGGAAGCGGCAAAAGCTGCAGAGCCTCAAACAGCCACAGGTAGAAGGGATGGTTGTGGTGATCAGCTAGCTGGAGTGAGCCTTCCTCCTCCTGTTACTGAGACCGACTATCGGCCCCGCTCTTGGCAAGGTTTGCCCCACTACGAACAGAGTGGATGCAACACCCAGATGATGAGAAGCTACCAAGACAATCCAGGTTTTCAAAACAAGATGCGTCCACTGCAGTCTAATGCCAGTATAGCTCAGCACAATGATGTGAGCATCGGTACCGTCCTCCAACCCACCAGTGCATCTTTTAGTAACCACGGCAACCGCATCTCACTCCCCTCCACATCAGTTGCATGGCCGATGCCGCTTGAAAACCAAAACAAAGAGTTGTACCTACAGTCAAGCAACCAGTGCTATCAAGGTCACAATCCCTACAACCAATCTGTAGTCAATCCACAAGCAAGACCAGCATTCCCAACAGGCAACAGTTGCGGCCAAGAGAATAGACCATCAGGGTTGAATCTCCAGCAAGGTAATCAAGCACCGTCAGTGATGTCTCCACCAGGTACCTCAAATCATCAGGGACCGTGGAACTCAAACAAGCTGAAACCATCTCCTATGGCAGCCGTCGCCCCACAAGTAAAGCCTCAAGAGGTTGTTCACCCATCGCGAGAACAGAGCAATCAAGATGACAGAGAGGAGACAGGAAGTGAGACTCCACAGGCAGCCGTTCCAAAGAAAAGGAAAGGAAAGAAGAGATACCAAGTTGCTGTTAAGACCAAGAAACAGCCATCTAGAGCAAAAGCTAAACAGAAGAGTATATCATTGGAGAGAAAAATCAATATGGAGAATGACCAAGAAAATCAGCCCATTCATGGAAAGCATAGAAGATATATTGATGAGGCAGGCCCCACTGTTGATGTACGGCCAACACAGGCGAAGAAAATCCACATCCAGCCAAAAACGAACGAAGACATTTATGAGTACAGGGAAGAAGAAGGGGAAAAGATTTCCAATTCCAAACGCAAACCACAAGGGAAGCAGACTAAAAGAGTTCAGCAGGCATCAAGACACCAGGTTGAGGAAGATGTTCAGAGAGGGAGCAAAGATTTGCCAAAGCAGAGAGGTCCTGGAAGACAAACCAAAAAGGTCTTCAATCCAGCGGCCAAACAACCAGTTCATCAGTCCAAACTGATCAATCATTTGCCAAAAGCAACAGATCAGGATGCCAGCAAATGTGCTGACACTGACAAGAGAGCGGCTTCTAGTGTCGCACAGAAGTCTAGAGGAAAGCAAAAGGCAAAATCCTCCCTGACAGGAGCATCATCTGAGGATGGCATATTCTCACAGGCGAGAGTTCGCACATATTCCAGGGGCCAGGATGCAAGAATTTCTAACGCAAAATCATCCCTCAGTCATCCCAAACTCCAGAACCAGAAACCAAAAAGGAAGAGGTCTATGAAGGAACAGAAACCAGATGTCATCAGCTACGGAAGCAGCTCCGAGGATGAAGACTCTGAGAGTCAAAGACCTAATGGCAACTTGAGTCAGGATCTTTCATCTCAGGATGAAAGTAATGATGACAGGGAAGAACAAACCATGGCACCAGTAAAGATCCAAAGAAAAACCAGAAAGCAAGCCAACAAGAAACAGACAGGTAAAATGCATCTTGTTTCAAATCTGTAAAGTTTTTTGTACTGTAGGGGAATAGAGGTAGAATATTAGATCTTTATTTTTCAACCTTGTATGTACATATTTAGATAACGAAAGCCATGATGAAATGCCATGTAAATAAAGTTTTGATGTTATTTTTTTCATTAAACCAACACAAAAAGTTACTCAGTTTCATGAATTAGCAACCAGACCTAGCAATTACAAGACCTGTTATGTTAATCATTGTACCTACCTATTTACCAACTTATCCATGCAGATAAGCCAGTCAGTTGTCTAGTACAGCCTCTCGTGAGCCAACTGGACACAATGCCATCCTTCTCGGACCAGGAGGACAGCTCAGAAGAGATGATATTCTCCTTGAAACTTCCTGACTCCCCATGTAAGTCCAACGTTTAGTAGCCATTTGATTGTTATTGTGTCCACTTTGATAGATTTTAAGATTCCCAATAGTTACCACAGGAGATCAAGGTATCTCTCGATAAATTGAAATTGACGTGATCTGAGAAATTTCAAGTAAGTTGCCATTATTCACTGATGAAATAGTTTGAAGTAACTGAGTTGATAAAAACTACTCAAAAGACAAAGATGTTATTCTTTGTGTCTTTAATTTGTACCCTTAAGACAGAACAAATTGTAATAAGTTGCCAAAGACAAGTTTGTTTGTTTGTGATTATTCGGTAAATGGCTGGGATAGCCCATGAAAGTCTTTTGACTTATTTCCAGTGAGGTCCCTGTGTAAAAGATGTGGAAGGAAATTGCAGTTTTAGTGGTTGGAGGAAAACCCCAGAATGATATTCTAGGGGGAAGCCCACAGACTCGGGCAGGGACTGAAAATCCTATCCACATATAGACCCAGGCGCAGGCGCGTACGCAGGGGGGGGGGGGGGTGTTTTGGCTGTTAAACACCCCCCTTTGCAATGTAAAAATATAGAGGGAAAAGAGAGTTATGTGACCGAGCGCGGAACAATTACAAATTATGTGCATGTTCTCAACTTTAAGCTTTCCAGAAGAAACTTCATAAGAGCAAGAATATATAGGCCTATATGTATTTGAAACAAATGAAACAAAATATCCCCTCAATTTTAAAAACTTCTGTTAAAAAATCAGGGGAAAAGATTGCACGCCTCAGATTGCACCACAGAGCATCTACGATCCAAAATTTCCCGGGGCCCTTAAGCGGGCCCCGGACCCTACGCCGTAAGTGCTTTGCGCTCCGCGCTCGCATTACTCCACCGGCCAAATTCCCTCTATGCTAATTTCACCCTAGCGGTGCCCCCACCTTATTTGTACCTTCATCAGCGAATGGCTGAGGCTCGGACTACAAGTGGCCTAAATCCCTTTCCAAAATAGAAAATTGTGAAAAAATACGGAGATGGAACATGGTTCTCAACTTTGAGTACATAACAAACTTTATGAAGAACAAAAAAACAACAAATTTAAATGGAATTTTCGATGTTTAAAACGTTTTCTAAACGGTGGAAGTGGCCAGGAATCGCCTCAGATTGCACCACAGAGCATCTAAAATCCAAATTTTTTTCGGGGCCCTTGAGCGGGCCCCGGACCCCACGCCGTAGGGGCTTCGCGCTGCGCGCTCGCAGGTCCTGCCTGGACCCTTTATTACAATTCTAGGCCCCCCCCCCCGGCAAATTGCAGTCTGAATCCGCCCCTGTGACCAGAGCGCATTTGTATCCTGTATCTGGAGTTTGGCCTTAGGGGTGGGGGCGGTTTACACAAAGAATTAGATTCCCAACGGATGAGAATCATGAGATCCAGGGGACGAAGCTGAGTAATTTTAGCAAATTACAAGAACAGATCCTAGCACTTCCGCAGCCTGTGTCACTTTTTTTCTTGAATTTCTTCTTTTTTTGTTTAAATGCTGTTGAGGGAGGGGACTGCCCACATTGACCCCTTTACTCATATGTTCATCATATAATTATGCCTACTCTAAAGACACAGAACATGTTTTTGTTTTCGATTTACTATGTTTGGCGCCAACACAAACTCCCGACTTTTATTTTAGCGTTAAGTTTAGCCCACTGATACTATCTTTTATTTCTGGCGCAAACACAATTTACCATCTTCATTTCTAGCGTCATAAATGATGACATCCAATTTTGAAACACCCCCCTTGAAAAAATCCTGCGTACACCACTGCCCAGGCGGGATTCGAACCCGGGTCACAGCGGTGGAAGGCGTGGAAAGCACCGCTATGCCAACCTGATCCCTCTGACTGTCATTGCTGATCTGTCCTTAGGTCTACAGAACTCCAGCCTCAAACAAGCCAAATATCCTCGGCAGACAGAAGAGCAAGTTGTGCCCATCGCCAGGAGCAGTGATATCCTGAGCACTCCGTACATCCAACTGAACAATGAGCAGGACAGCGACAATGAATCAGTTGGCACTACCTACTCAGTCAGTGTAAGTCTCTTAGCAAGAATGGTAGTTGTTTATACATAACATTCCCCCTTAATACCTCAAGACTAATAGGAATTTAATGTTAACTTTAAAGTTGATCAGAGAAATTTACTGGAGTGGGGTTTGAACCTGCGACCACTCGATTGCCATTGGTTGCTGGTTCAAACCCCGCTCCAGTACATTCCTTGTTCAATGGAACTTAGGGTTTTAATTGCTTCAACCAGTGATCAATCACAAGGAAATCACAAGGCAATCAGGTCAATTAAATAGTCAGAAGTCAACCACAAGTCAGTCACCAGTCAATCACCTGTCAATCACAAGTCAATCATAATTCAAATCACAAATCACTTGGCCATAAGCAACCGGGACTACACAATGACAAACGGATGCCCTTGTCAAACAGTTCATTTAAAACTGATTTTTCGTCGTTTCCAGATTACGTTGATTATTTTCCAGGTGTTGGTGTTGAGTTCCTTCCCTTTTCTTAGTGTTCTTCCGGTCCTTCTATGGGCAATTCCAGCGTTATGTAATGAAAATATTCCATCATCTAGTAATGGTCAAGGAGATAACAGACTAGGAGTTTTGGATCATTTCTCTGAATCATTAATTAGACAGTAATTGGCTTTGTCATGGACATTACACTCACGGGCGTCGCTACAGGGGGGGGGGGTGTCACATCCCTATTAATCAGTTTTGTCGGCAAAATCATGGGTGATGTCGGAAAACTAGAGAATGAAGAATGGAACATGAAGGGCAAAGGAAGAGGGACGAAGAAAAAGTGGAGAATGTAAATAATTAACACCGTTGCTCAAAACCCCGCGAAGCTAAAATCCGGTTCTGTAACCCATGGTAAAAGATTGTACATTCTGTCATGTCGGCACGAACTGCCGCTTCATATACGGCGGTTGACAGCTACAGCTGTGCAAAACACAAGCACGTGCTCACTCGCAGGCAGTCACGAATTGAGCTATAATTCTTAGTGACTACTCAAAATCATAGATCGAGCTAAAGAGGGCAAATCATGAAAGTGAGTCAAGCTACAGTTCTGATGTGATGTTTGTGATGAAATACATCAGTCCCTAAACACGAGCACATTTCATTTAAAAGTCACAGGAAAGTGGCCAGGAAATGCATCAGATTGCACCACAGAGCATCTAGAATCCAAAATTTTCCAGCTTGCCTTAAGCTAGCCCCGGACTTCACGCCTTCAGCACTTCATGCTCCGCGCTCGCATATAAAATGCCACTTTACGGTTTAAAGACTGCCCCCCCCCCAGTCTGGGATCAGGGAACAAGCCTGAGCAAGGTATGCACACACGTACTGAGCATGCGCACGCAGTTTTGTGACAAGCAAATGTCTGAAACTTTCCAATATGATAGGGCAAAATTTTGACGATTTACTTTTGAAGTTGACCACTGAAAAATTAAATCCATTCAAAGTTAGCAACATAATGAACCATTCATATATTTGTGGAGGAAATTAGAAATGCAGTTAAAGGGATCATTTTGGGCGGAAATTATCAACTACCGTTTTGTGTGACGGTCAGTCGGCAAATTACATGATGGCACCCCTCCATTCAAAACGGTATAGCGCCTCCCGTGATTACAATTCCTTTCATAATGCTGGAATCACCCCTGTCTCAAATGCCACAGAGTGTGTATACAGTTATTCTTAGCCACCATTTATTGCTTCCGTGATTCCACAGGTGGGCTCAGGCAGGAGACTCAGCCGGCATATGGAGAGGAAGCGACGACTCAGTCACTACTCGGGATCCTCCACGTCAGCTGCCATGGTGGAGATCACCAACTCCCTGCGACTGCAGCATCGTAAGATCAGACGAGTCTCATCCAGTTGTTAAGGTGTTGCTCCTTTTGTATTTCCTTGATTCCACAGGTGGGCTCAGGCAGGAGACTCAGCCGGCATGTGGAGAGGAAGCGACGACTCAGTCACTACTCGGAATCCTCCACGTCAGCTGCCATGGTGGAGATCACCAACTCCCTGCGACTGCAGCATCGTAAGATCAGACGAGTCTCATCCAGTTGTTAAGGTGTTGCTCCTTTTGTATTTCCTTGATTCCACAGGTGGGCTCAGGCAGGAGACTCAGCCGGCATATGGAGAGGAAGCGACGACTCAGTCACTACTCAGGATCCTCTACATCAGCTGCCATGGTGGAGATCACCAACTCCCTGCGACTGCAGCATCGTAAGATCAGATGAGTCTCATCCTGTCGTTAAGGTGTTGCTCCTCTTGTATTTCCTTGATTCCACAGGTGGGCTCAGGCAGGAGACTCAGCCGGCATATGGAGAGGAAGCGACGACTCAGTCACTACTCAGGATCCTCTACATCAGGTGCCATGGTGGAGATCACCAACTCCCTGTGACTGCAGCATCGTAAGATCAGACGAGTCTCATCCTGTCGTTAAGGTGTTGCTCCTCTTGTATTTCCTTGATTCCACAGGTGGGCTCAGGCAGGAGACTCAGCGGGCATGTGGAGAGGAAGCGACGACTCAGTAACTACTCGGGATCGTCCACGTCAGCTGCCATGGTGGAGATCACCAACTCCCTACGACTGCAGCATCGTAAGATCAGACGAGTCTCATCCTGTCGTTAAGGTGTTGCTCCTCTTGTAATTCCTTGATTCCACAGGTGGGCTCAGGCAGGAAACTCAGCCGGCATGTGGAGAGGAAGCGACGACTCAGTCACTACTCAGGATCCTCTACGTCAGCTGCCATGGTGGAGATCACCAACTCCCTGCGACTGCAGCATCGTAAGATCAGACGATTCTCATCCTGTCGTTAGGTGTTGCTTCACTTGGACTTCTTCTGTGTCTTTGGTGGTTGTTTTGAAGTTTGAAAGTTTACAGTGTCTTTATTGTTATTTGCTTGTGAAATGTTACACAAATTAGTTCTCTTTCAGGCTGTTATCAGCGCTAGCATTTGTTGGTTTGAAGAAACACCTTTGTTGCCCAACTACAACAAAGACCTGTTGTTACTTCATGGAGCTGTTAAGGCCACAAAAAAAGTCTCCGGTTTCTGGTCTGCGCGAGCATCACCGTAGCCGTGCGCGTCGGCAAAATTAAAAGTTTGTTTTTTCTATGTAAGATGATGTCTGAAAACCGCCAAACTCACTGGTTTGACTGGAGTCCTGCTGCTGCACAATTTTAACATGTTTTTAGATGGGGCTACGATCGAGTATAAGCTTTATGTTGGCCTCTCTAGGCTCCCATATATTTTGCTCTAAATTTAGTCGGGTACCATTTGCAGCCATCAGCCGACATTTGAAGAAGAAAAAAGAAGAAGAAAAAAAAGCAGCCGCATCGCCGCACCACTTTTGGTGCAAGCTCCACACCAGAAACCAAAGACTTATTTTTTTGGCCTAAATTTAGTAAAAGCACAATGTGATGTATATTGCTTGAGCCAATTTATGCTCAGCACATAAATATGCTTAGTATTATTTTCTGATCTATAAACCTCGAGCCTTGTGTCATTGCTTAGCACAAAAGAGAAAAAGCAGGGAAATAGCCCATATCTCATGCGATGTTTAGATGTTGTGACTAGCTGTTGGCATACTTGTCGCATTTTGAATTTCTATATTTATCTTGCTAAGTGGCTCGCTGATATTTGGCCTTGAAATATCAAGGTTACTGTCTGATCCACGGTGGGTGACAGCAGCCGATGCAGTATTCCCTCAGAAAATCTGATTTTCTAAAAAGGTGCCCCTTGACGAATTGCCTGTCTCCTTCAAAAAGAAATTTTGTTAGGGAGGTAACATCACAGTCTCATGCAATTCAAATCATATAACCAGGCATTCATGTTTGCTCATAGTTAATTGTTGTTTATAAGTTTAAGAATTTGACAGGGTTTTAGAAGTTTTTCCAGTAGTATAGGATTTCAACTCGAGGCTGATTTTGGGAAAACAATATTTACATACAGTGTAAGTACCAAAAAAGAAAACCTAAATGGCAGGACCAATTTTTTTCAGGAAGTTCTGCTTGTAGCACTATGAAAATCTAGGATATAAAAGCCCAATTAGAAAACTTTCTTTTAGTACAAAAATCGTTCAAATCACTCATGTACTTTTCAAGTTACGGAATTTTAAACACAACCACCGTTTTAAAGTTCTGTCCACCGATCACAAAAAAGTAAGTGTTCTTTCAGCAAAACGAAAACAATTCACATAGGGATGTGTGTGAATTGTTTTCGTTTTGCGGAAAGAACACATCTTTTTTTTGTGATCCATGGACAGAACTTTACAACAGTGGTTGTGTTTAAAATTCCGTAACTTGAATAGTATATAAGTGATTTGAATGATTGTTGAGCTAAAAGAAGGCTTATTTATTGGGCTTTCATATCCTAGATTTTGAAAGTGCTACATGCAGAACTTTTTATTAAGAAAATGGTCCTGCCATTTGGGTTTCCTTTGTTGTTGTTTTTTGCTCACCCTGTATAGGTGTCAAACAAAGGAACTTCTTTGATCTTCCAGGTCCTTTTTTCCCAACCCCTCCACTCCAGATCATACTTTCAACAAAAGTTTAAAATATTATCGAAATTCAAATTTCAAACAGAAACAAATGAAATGCACCCTCTGAATTTGAAATTTGATACACAGAAGCTTTTATTTGTTTTTCGTACAATAGACCTAGTTAAATTCCTATTTCAGACTACATTTGGTAAAGCGGGTCTAAAAGATAATTTTTATTGTAGTTCCTGTTTACAGTTTATAAAAGTTGTATCTAAATTAAATAGTTTAGTTACTGTTTAAATATTCCAATAAATTTCAAGGTATTTAACTATTTATTATAAATATTTTCCAAATTTACCGTTCCTGCTTCAAGCGTATTGTGCAATTCTAGCTTTAAAGAGCATACATATTGTTACAAGTTAAAACCAAATTTGTTTCATTTTCCCCCAGTTTCCAAATTTATACTTTTGCAATAGTTTAACTGCTTTTGCCTTATTGAATAAAGAAATATTCCAAGGTTTTGAAATATTTCAGTTTTGAAATTCACTCGAAATGTTGATTTCGAGTCGATTTAACTTTGTTTAATATAAACGTGATTTTGTTTTAATAAAAAATGAATAGTTGGCATTGCAGCTGTTAAATGTATAACTTTGGTCTTCAGACTTTGTTTTAAAACCAGAAGAAAAAAAATGAAATGAATGTTAAGGTTATGTAATTTGAACAGTTTATTCTGCACCCATGGAAATCGAAACTAAATGTCTCTTTAGATCGCTTCTCAAACCAATCTTTGCCGCTTGTGTCATTTTTGTTTCGTAAAACACTGTTACGTTGAAAATGTAACTACATGTAGTTCGTTATACCAATAAGACCAATAAATGTTAATAAAGCTTCAACAACAAAATTGATAATAAATAAGGTTTTTGGTGTCGATAAATCGTAGGTGTAAAACAAAATGATAATACAATTCATACAATAATTTGATGGACAATCTTTGAACACAAAATAGAAATTTATAACATACTTATATTTTACTTTTTGTTGAAAACATACTATCAATTTGAAACTGAGATAATATACATGCTTATCCAAGGATTACGTGACGGACGTCTCTTTCATAACCTTTGATTTTCATCCACAAAACTGTTCATAATTTTCATTTTGAACCACCCTACAAAACCCATGGCCAACTCCGTAATTTTAATACCAATCTTCGTTTTGACGTAATACACTCAATTTTCTTGCGGTGGAATATTGCACAAATACCATAACTTGAAAGATGCCGATCGCTACAACAAGACCTACAGTGAAAGGGCGCAAAGTGCATTATAGTTTTCAGTGCAAGCTTATAATCAACAGTGGCATATCTAGCAAAGTTGTGTGTTTCTTTATACATTTTCAATATTAAACATGGGGGCGTGGACTCCAGTATTTGCATTGAAAGGTTTTTTTTTTGGTTCAAAATTTGCACACATAAACATTCTTGTCTGAAGTCATAAAACAAGGGGTTTAACTCTTGATACATATTTAAAGTGCAAGTTAATTGGAGTGCATTTCTCTTTATCGATTGTGTTTTAAAACCTGGTTACGCCACTTCGTGCATTACTAATCACATAGAACAATAGATAAAAATGTTAATATTTACATTTTTTTAAATTTTTCTTTCAGTTTTATAGAATATGGTACTGAAAGACAAAGTGCATACAACCCGTTCATTTTCAATTGACCCTTTTTTTCATTTTGAAGAACATAAATGGCAAGAACTGTGAATTTGTGCGTGGAATTATTTAATTTTCAGTTAAAAGCATTCAAGTGCACGGTATTCTAACTTTCTTATAGTCACAATGATTAAAACTGAAGGGGTTACCTGCGTGAACTATCTATTGTGAGTTTGTCGTCGATAATTGACTGAAATTTTGAAGTGTAAACCTATCCTTCGCTTGTTTTATTTTCTTGCCGTCTTCATGTTAATTTCTCTGCGCCCATAGCCATCTCCCCGCCTAGCATCACATTCTTGTGCTTTCTGAGATCTGTCGAAAATGAAATTTAGAAAAATCGAAAAGGAAACATAAAAGTTCGAGTTAGAATCAATAATGTGAAAATATATAACTCGCCGACCTTTTTTTTTTTGGAGAGGTGGGGGGGGGGTTCGAAAGGCGTACAAATTGCAGAACATTATGTCATGGAAGCAACTTGTTTTATTATACAGGGTGGATAAAAAAAAAAAACCGAGACCGAGATATTATTGCTAATTGGAACAGAAGTATGGGTACAACGTACGACGGCAGGGATAAGACGATACATTTAACCGCCGAAAAGCAAATAATGATGTTTTACCACAATCAATTATTAAGCCTTGTTTGCCTTCTTGACCCGGATATGTTTCCCTCCAGACATTCCCCGCTTGTACATCTCCGGGTCTTCGGCCATTCTCCGGTACCGCTTCGTTCTCAGTGCCCGGCGGAACGGGTCGGATCGACGGCTGAGTCGCATGCCCAGGTCGGCCGGGTTGATCAGCCCCTGATGAGGGGAACGGAGCGCACGCCTGGCCCGGTTGCCGGCCTGATCAACGGACCGTTTGTCTCGGTCTTGTTCCTTTGGAATTGGAAAAAAGTGGGGTTGATTAGTGCATAGAGATTATAGCTCCATGAAAAGTTAATTTGCTGCACTTAACTGGCATGACAAAGGATCCAGCCTGCCGTTACTTTGCAAGCTTCAGGCGTCGATACAGTAAAGTCTTCATTTTATCCCCCGGCAGAAAAAGCTGGATACGCTTCTGTCCCTTCCCTTTCGGTATTGAAAATATTCTGTTCCCTGATAAATTTAGAAGATGCATGGACAAAAATTAACTCTGGGTTACACCACTGAGTTCCCTCCTGCAAAAAAAAAAGGGATTCTAAAAAAAAAAAGACCTTAAGTTATTCACATTACGGTCAGTGTAGCTGATAGAATAATTGAATGGTTTGTCATCATGTAGAAACGCGAAGACGCTAAACAGCGATTTAGGACTCTTTTTTGGTTTCATGTCATTTTTGCTAATTCGGTGAAATTCACAAAATTTCCCAATATTTATTAAAGCTGTCACTCTCCTTGTAAATTGAATTTGTGTACGGTAAATCATAGTTATAAATGCAGTTCTCTCAATTTTCATCCTTTAGGACAATGATTGAAACTACAATTGATAGGAAATCCAATAAACACTGACTATATAGTGGTGTTCCCTAACGTGGCGCACTTCGACATTTACCCCGACTTTCCACATCAGTGTTGCCAAACTTCTTTGTTGACAAACTTCAAATCCAGTCAGTGAAATACTGGTACATTTACCTTATTAATGCTTGCTATTTAACCCCTGTGAACAATTTCAGTTTCATGACATTTAATCCGAAATTCAAAAACGGCGGTGTCCGGAAATTGGGCACAAATCGGCTGAGTGTTCCCCAACGTGGCGCAGTTGAATAAATCTCGGAATATTCCAAATGAACATTAAAAATGTATGTAAAGTTGATAAATTCTGATAAAAAAATATTATCTCTACCTACATACGCAACTAGAAGTTTGTCAGCAAATTATTTTCTATTTTTCGGTGACATTTTCAAAGGGTTCACTGTGCACTTCGAAATAAAATCGGAAAAATCACGCCGAAATCAATTTTTCTTATAACTTTGTAACGGGAAGATAAACTCGTGATTTATGAACGGAAGTGTTTAGAACTGGATGAAATTTCATTTTCTGTGAAATTTTAGTTAAAACTTTTGCTCTAGCTAGGCGCTACAGGCGAACAATCAAAGTGCGCCACAGTGGGGGCCACGCCACGTTATTAGGCCGGGTACATCAATAATACATCCATCACGATATGTTCAAGACGCGGCGACATGGGTCGATGAACATTATAATGCTGTTTTCGGAGATAATTATGGAGATAATTAACAGCTCATTCAATAGTGACCCTGATTGACGATGTCATTATGAAAACATCGTCCAATTAACTGATATGAAACAGGACTCATCCCAGCTTGGGATCCCGAAGCATCATTCAATTCGCTTGGCTAACGAACCACGACCTTCAACGCACGAGTGCAAATGATATTACGCTTCTCAATCATTTACTGGACATCATTAAATTTCCCCAAAAGCTAAAGGCGAACACAATTATTCTCACAAGTGAAGTTGACAGATTTGGTCCTATAAATTCATAATGAGTTATCATAAACAAATCTTGCATCTATATAAACGGGTCATTCGTTTCAATTAGTAGGTTTACATTTTTACAACGTCTGGTACTCGCATTATCCAAATTTGGCGCTTTCAAAAAAATACTTTTTATCAAATTTACTCGATACTTTATAATTAGACGTTTTCTTTGGATGTATGTTTGTGTCTTAGATTGTTGGTTCACGTCACCCCTTCCTCGTATAAGTTCCTCAAAGCTTGATCTTGCTCGATGATTCACAACGTCCCGGAATTACCTTTAAACCACCGACGGAAAATAATGACACTAAACTAATGAATATTGCAATTCACACTATTATAATCGGCTTGCGCGTTTTATCTTATACATCCGCACATTTCCAGGCGACATCGGTTGTATACCCACATGCGGCTCATGAACGAGACAACACCGTAATGTTATATATGGGTGATACAATTCGCAACAAAAATCGATAAAACAAGATGCTATAAAGCAACATAAAACACAAGGCACTGCATCGTTTCGCTACGCTGGCCAAGACAAAATACCATGAAAATAAAATGAAAATTGTTTTGACGATTCGTACCTTCGCTCCATCGCCGACAACAACGTCAAAGAGAAGGATCGACAGCAGGAATGCCACCGCGATGTATCTCATGTTTGCTCCGTGGGTTCTTAGCTAGCAGGGCAGTAACAAAAATGGCGTGGATGCGTGTCTTGTGGCGATGCTGCTGATAATGATGATGAGGAACGGAGACAACGATAATGAGATGCCTCTCTGCAGGTTGCGATGGACGGATCGAGGCGGTGATTGGTCTCCGAGGATCACGTGCGGTCATTAAGTGTTAAGGAGCTGCGATTTATTCCCATAGCGCGTGAATAATTAGATGTTGATGGTGAAGCGAGCATTGTAAATGTACATGCACAGCGCCACCGATGTATAAATCAAAACAGAGGAATGGTATACGGAGACCGAGACAAGAATTATGCTATCTGCATGCAGGATGCGACAGATGTGTTGAGGAGTGATTGGTTTCCGAGGATCACGTGTGGACGTAATTATTCACGAGTCACGAATATTCATGAGAGTGCGTGAATAATTAGACAATTTCAGTTTTGTTGTTCATGTTCTGCTGCGAATTTTACGAATCCTTGCTGCTGATGATTTTTCATTAAATGATTTTTTTTTTGCGGGAGGGGAGGGAGTTTAGTGATCATTAACTAGAACGGCGAAGCCGCCATGGCTCGCTGTCCAAGGCAGGAAGGGTGGCTGAAGGTAGGGTTGGGGATGGGCATGATGGAAGGGGATCAGGATTCTTGTTGATGTGCCTAGGTGTAGGGGTCAGTTTTTAAATGTCAACATAAAAAGTTAACAGATTACCTAATAAATACATGTGTATATAGGTTAGCCGTCACTGTATTATGGGGGAGTTTTCCATTGTTAGGGTAATTAGGACCCAGTTGTGGATTTTTGCAGCCCCAACAGTGTCTTCTGCTCCCCATACTTGTATTACCATGGGAAAACTCTTGTGTAGTCGCCACAAATGCAGAACAAGAATGGGTATACATGTACATGTAGACACAGCACCATCACCACCTCCCCCAAACCTTACCCCATCCCAAACCTTACCCCATCCCCAACCCGCCCCCTCCCCCACCCAACCCCCTACCCACACCCATGCCATCCTCCCCTAACCATCCCCACCCTATCACCTACACATCCCAACCCCACCCAAACTCCAATCCCTATCTCCTTCCCCCTCCCCTGACCCGTACCATCCCCTACCCCAACCCCCTACACCCACCTACCCCATCTTCCCTTATCTGTCCTTACCCACCCTACACATCCCCACCCTAACCCTTACTCGAATTCCAATATCCCGCCCACCCCATTCCCCCACCCATACATCCCCACCTGACCCCATGCAACCCCTACTCTAATCCTTATATACTGCCCCCTCCCCTTATCCAACCCCTACAACAACCCACCCCTACCCATCCCTACACATCCCCAACCCAACCCCTACTCCGATCCTATATCCCGCCCCCTGCCCAACCCCCTCCTAACCCAACCCTACATCCATGCCCATCCTCTCCCTACCTGTCTCTCCCTACTTGTTCCCACCCCACCCCTACAAATCCCCACCCACCCAAAACCAGTATTCCAACCCCTCTCCCCACCCCACCCCACCCCAACCCACCCCGCCCCACCCATCCTAGCTCCCCTACTCACACAAACCCTAACTCCAACCCTATCCCCCAACCCACCCCACCCTCCCCTACCCCATCCCTACTCCAACCCAATAAACTAAAAGATCAAACCAGAAGCTCATGCACATCCCCAAAATGCAAAGTGTACATGTACATGTTATACCGGTATACACACACGTACAGTACATGTTATACCAGTATACATGTACATGTAACAATTAAAAACTTTAACATTTCCTTGAATTAAAGTTCCTCAATAAAATCATAAAATTTACTGCAATGATATGAACCTAACTGAAGTTATAAAGATGATACATGACAACTGCATTTAATTTTTTTCCCCAAGTTAACTAGAACCAAAAACTTCCAACATTTTTATCTGAACGCGGACGGCCGGACGGACGGACGGGCGGACGTCCGCCCGGACAGACGGACGGAAATTGGTATTACATAGGCTCGCATCTGCTTCGCAGCTCGCCAAAAATGACAGCTAGTCAAATAAGTAACAAAAATTCGTATCAGATGGCAAGACGTGACTGCATTTTGGACAAAACGTCAATGGCGGTTTGTTTTTCAGAAATAAAATAGTTCAAGAAGCGCACCCCAGGTGTTCCGTGTAATTATGGCCCCTATACCAGCTGCCTAGTTCAAAAGAAATTGTGTGGTTAAATGCAGCTATTGTAATCAGAACGAACTACAATCTAAATTAAAGTCGGCAACACCAGGTGGCTAAACGTTGTTTAAAATTGATAAACTGTTTTATTCACAATCTGTATTATCCACAATAGTTTAAGCTGAACATTTAAATATAATTATAATTTTCTAATAACGCACAACAGTCGTTTATGGTATCTGTCCGCAAATAATGAACATGCTATATTAATTCTCATCAACATGTACGCACTTCAGTCGAGTGGCAAAAATGTACATAAAATAATGGTCATTAAAAAGAACGAATTTTTAACTTGTCCAACCCAACTTCAAAATTTAACATTTCTGTGCACTAGGCTGATCCACGTCATACCGTTCAAAAATGCCTTTAGCCAATCATCGATGGCTTCATGTATCTTTTATCAAATGTTCCAGTCGCTGATTGGCTACAGAAATCCAAAGCCAATGTTAAGAAGGCGGAGCCATTTTTTTTTTTGGATGAACGTTTTCAGATGAGTGGACCAGCACTTATGCAAAAAATAACATAAACATCGGCGCACTGCTCAAATTTCCTCAGCACGGTCAGATCTTCAATTTGAAGAAAGTTTTTATAAACAAAAATTGCAAATAATTTAATCGTCAAAGATCTTTTCGATCAACTCTGTGTATTTTACCAACGTTTAATACCAATTATGTATAATTTCTAAGGTTTTCCCCCATGTCACCAAGAGTAACTTTGAGCACTTAAGTTGGGGACTACACACGGTCTAGTCCTGAGCCGACTTACCCGTCATCTGAAATTTACATTAATACCAGAGCAACATGCAGAGCTCTGAGACCATTCCTTTGGAGAACAAATATTCTCAGTAACAGAACTCCATCAACTTTGAACCAAACAAAGAAAAGAATCTGTATAGCCAGCAGAGACACAACATCACATCCAAGAAAAAATTTGCATATTACAAATTTTGTTACCATCTTAATAAAAAAGCAAAAAAGCCCCAACAACGGTGGGAGATGGAAGATTTTCGGAAAGGAAACATCAATCAAAACTGCGGTGTCAAATACTTTTCGAGTTTCGAAAAACTTATTCTAAAATCTTGTACGGTAAACTAACATTAGGAACGTCAACAAGAATTATGAAGGTGTGTATTTCATATAAGTCGTCCGATGTAGTCTTGAATCAAGGCTGTGGTCCTTGAAAGCGTCCCTGGTCTATGGGCTCGCACAGACGGTACCAACGGACTGCGACTCGAAAAAAAGGCCAATGTCACATTGAAAGACGATCAACTTTCGAGAATTGCAATTACTGTTCGATTTCAAGCACACAACCGATCGAGTCGAACGGTAAGCCACAACCTTAATAATATTTCCTTTTTCGAAAATACGATAAACAATCACATCAATTCTAAAAAATCCACTTCAACAACATTCATTAAGCGACCAATAACGTTTACATTTTTTTTTATATAAAGTTCATTAAAACGCAGTAATGAAAATGGAATGTTTTGACAATTCGCAGCCCAACTTGCGCTGTGTTATTTCAGAAGTGGCAAAATCTCACAATGTCGGTGCTTAACCTTTTCTGCAAGTTTTTCAAAACGGTTTTTCTTTTTCGCCCACTAAAATTGGAAACTGGACATTCTGTAAGCTGAAACTGAACATGGCGTTGTTTCAAAATCGGAAATGCTTACAAAATCCATACTACTCACATGTGCAATTAGAGTTTTGTTCTTAGTAGTTTAAAACCCCTTTTTGATAACGAAACTGTCTTTTCCGCATAACAAAATACCTCTTTCATGACATTTTGACTGCAACAGAAAGACATTTCTCAATAGAAAAAATAGAAAAAGAAACTCTTTTTTCTGTGACAGGAAAGCGATTTTGTTGTAGCAGTCCATTCTCAAAAGAATGGAAATAAAAGATCGTTTTTTAAAGTGAGCTTAAATAAAGGCAGGACAAATATTTGACAAGATATCCATTTTGAAATACAGGTGAAAAGGGCAAGCACCGGAGAAGATTATGCCAATATCTCAAACTGTATTAATCACAACTATTATACAAAATGTGAGCACCCTGTGCACGTAATCAACTAGAACTATGAACAGTTGAACGTCAACTTTTGTTTGAACAATAACAACAATAATTCAAAAAGAAAGAATGAATGAAAAAGGGCTCAAGCAGAAAGGCCAACACTTTCAATAAGAACTCATGCAAAATATTCGATTTAATCAGTCAACCTCAATTGCTAGTTAACGCCGTAAATTTGACCCCAGAGAGAGCTTTTGAATATCCCCAGAATTTATAGAGTGAAATCGGGAGATAGACTTTTGGGGAATCTCTTATATTAAATGCAGTAAAAACGCAATTTGGGTGGGGCAACCTGAAAACGTATTTTGAACACAAATATTGCTGATCAGATCAAGTTTTGCTGAGCAAAAACTGGTTACCCGCAAAAAATGTCATTCGCAGACACTGCTTCTCATTGGTTCCCATCACATTTTCCTGAACGAAGAAATGTTGTTGTATTTGATGCAGCTTTACGACTTTAAGAACTTATTTTGAGTGCTGGGCTATGGAGTGGAACGAAAGCCACGCAGCCTCCCTTCAAATGCCCCAATGTCTATCATAACTGGGCAAATTTGTGACTAATATATGATTTTAAATTTCAACATAACTGTACAAGACACATCATTTCTCTCTAAACTCCGCATAGGTATTAAAATCTAGTCCTTTAAATCTTTTTCTTCGTTTTTAGGAACAGAGATGGGTGAGATTTGTTTTGATGTGGAGAAACAAAAATGACGGACTTAAAACTAGATCAATCTTCCAAAGGATATTTCCACAAAATCTGGTTACGAATCCACAGTTTTCATGTGTTTTTTTCATTGATGTTCTATCAGTGATGTGCAAATTGTGCATTAAACAACCACACACATCTGCCCAGCAGTTTCGACACATGAACACAAACATCTCAAATTGGTATAAAAGGCGCACAAAATATAAGACCTGCTCAAATTTGGATTTAGAAAAAAGTAAACAAACCAACATTTTCATACTTTCTGGTGCAGCATTAAAAAAAATAACAGAATTGCAACTGAACAAAATAGTGACAATTGGTGTATTAACATCTAAATGGTGTGATTAAATTCTACAAGTTATCGAGTGTTATTTACTTTACACTGAAATGACTGAATTGGTTCAAGCTCTGCTGGCAGTGGGAATAGTGTGTTAAACTATACAGATATGACAGGAGAGATTCTGACGAAAGAATTAGATGAAAAGAAACTAGTTGAGAGTTCTTGGCAGTGTTGCTAGTGATTACGAACTATATATAGGTCCATCTGTAACCTTGGGTCCATATTTTTTTACCGTCACTATTACATTTTTTTTTCAAATGCCCCAATGTCTATCATAACTGGGCAAATTTGTGACTAATATATGATTTTAAATTTCAACATAACTGTACAAGACACATCATTTCTCTCTAAACTCCGCATAGGTATTAAAATCTAGTCCTTTAAATCTTTTTCTTCGTTTTTAGGAACAGAGATGGGTGAGATTTGTTTTGATGTGGAGAAACAAAAATGACGGACTTAAAACTAGATCAATCTTCCAAAGGATATTTCCACAAAATCTGGTTACGAATCCACAGTTTTCATGTGTTTTTTTCATTGATGTTCTATCAGTGATGTGCAAATTGTGCATCAAACAACCACACACATCTGCCCAGCAGTTTCGACACATGAACACAAACATCTCAAATTGGTATAAAAGGCGCACAAAATATAAGACCTGCTCAAATTTGGATTTAGAAAAAAGTAAACAAACCAACATTTTCATACTTTCTGGTGCAGCATTAAAAAAAATAACAGAATTGCAACTGAACAAAATAGTGACAATTGGTGTATTAACATCTAAATGGTGTGATTAAATTCTACAAGTTATCGAGTGTTATTTACTTTACACTGAAATGACTGAATTGGTTCAAGCTCTGCTGGCAGTGGGAATAGTGTGTTAAACTATACAGATATGACAGGAGAGATTCTGACGAAAGAATTAGATGAAAAGAAACTAGTTGAGAGTTCTTGGCAGTGTTGCTAGTGATTACGAACTATATATAGGTCCATCTGTAACCTTGGGTCCATATTTTTTTACCGTCACTATTACATTTTTTTTTATAATTCTGGATGAATTCCTTAACCCTAACCTCACCCACAGCTCCAAAATACAGGGTGAGAAAAAAAAAACGAAACCCAAATGTCGGGACTATTGTTTTAGTGAAGTTCTGCATGTAGCACTTTCAAAATCTAGGATATGAAAGCCCCATTCATAAGCTTTCGTTTGGTACAAGAATCATTCAAATCACTCATGTACTTTTCAAGTTATGGAATTTTAAACACAACCACCGTTTTAAGGTTCTATCCACGGATTACAAAAAAGTTCAGTGTTCTTTCAGCAAAACGAAAACAAATCACATACGGATGTGTGTGAATTGTTTTCGTTTTGCTGAAAGAACGCACACCTTTTTTGTGATCCGTGGACAGAACTTTAAAACGGTGGTTGTGTTTAAAAATCCGTTTCTTGAAAAATACATGAGTGATTTGAATGATTCTTGTACTAAAAGAAAGCTTATGAATTGGGCTTTCATATCCTAGATTTTGAAAGTACTACATGCAGAACTTCACTAAAACAATAGTCCCGACATTTGGGTTTCGTTTTTTTTTTTACTCACCCTGTAGTATGCAGTACTTCAGCATATAAGTGGGCACAGCACTCGTAGTATTTTCTAGCACTTGGTACTTGCATACATAATTTTTGTAGTACTTTGTAGTACGTGGTACTATACTCCAAATGAACTCTTTGGGGGGTTTTAGGGTTAATGAAATCGTCCTCCAAGAGTGATTATGAATAGCAAACTACCTACCCAACAAATTAAAAATCGTTTGAAATCATTCGTAATGACACTTGAAAGGCAAATTACATGGTACCAATTAAACAGAGATGGGAAAAACAGTCACACTTTGGACCCTTACTTATCGAATGACCCGCATGGCAATGCAATAGAGGCAATGTTTCGGAGAGTCCACTTCTTTTCTTTTTTTTTTTTTAAATCACTGTCCACATCTTACATGTGCTACCAATCCCATGCAATTAATAACTCGTTATGCCATAAACCATTCGCAGTACCACACAAACACAAATAAATTTCAAAGTATTGCAAATAAAAACCAATGTAACTCCCAAGAAAAAATGCCTTTTAACTTTTTCCCACGGAGCATTTTCAAAAATGGCCTCTCGTTGTCACCGTTGGTGGCGCACTGTATTACGAGTCGCTCCAGTTTAATATCATGGTCCAATTCACGTATAACTATTCTTGAACTAAAATATGTAAAACAAGGTACCCCTTCATAGTATACAAATGCTTAATGGCAACCAAAGAATACACATTAGGAAAATACTCTGAGCCTGTTTTGTGGATCATAAAAATGCCACTGGTAAACAAAATACCCAACCACTTTTCTCTCCAACTGACCATCATGTTGTGGTTTCTTTAATTAATGGTGAATTAATTTTTAATTTTTAGCATTAGTTTAATGAAATGGGAAAATTGAAAACTGTACACTGTGCCAAACAATGACAGAATCTACTGACTGAGACCAAGATGAAAATAAGAGTAAAATTTGTTTCATTGGGCCCATGTGCAAATTGTATCTCCAAGCAAAATAGGTTTATTGGAGGATTGGTGTCATTTGTGGGTGTCTTTGTACATGTGCGGTGGTGGGCAAGTTGTGAAACTCAGGTGGGTAACTTGTGCTTGTGTGGTGCATTTGTAAAATATTTACATGATGTTTTTCTGTGTTTGTGCACTTGTACACAGAGAGGTGGAGTTTAACGATTTGACGCCCGACACTGGGTATGTTGAAAGGATAGTTTCACCAGCTGACGGCCAATTTTGTAAGCTTGGCATAAACTACATAACTGAATGGTATATTGGCAGATACTTGTCATTTGGCCTGGAATTTCTGAAGTTTTAAACACTGAAAAGCAAGGGGCAAGTTCGATCAAGGACCTATGGTTAACTAGTGGTTGGTTCGTGACGTACCTAGCGCATGTGCACTGAAGTTGAAGTGCTAATGACTCTAGTCGAACTATTGTCATGTCAACAACCGTGAGAAAATGGCCGTCCCACATCGGATATTTTTTCAACTCTTGATGTTTCTGTTTATTTACACAAATAATACTGATTATGTAGTTTGGGACACCTTACATAATCACCATTATTATTGTGCAAGGGTGACAAAAGTGACAGAATCATAAACTAACATGGAAAGATATGCAATGAAAATGAAATTTAGCACTCACAGTTTTCATTTTTTTCCCGCCATTTTTGTTGATAGTTGGTCCCCTCTGCACTATACTATGAAAAATTGCTATTGATAACCAGCTATAAATCACGGCGCGACCAGCCGCGGAAGGCTGGTCCTGAATAGTCGACTAGACTAGTCCAACCATCGTCGACTAGCGTGCGTTCGATCAGAGTTAGTCAAACTATGTTCCTTGATCCAACTTGCCCAAGAGTTTTGATATGTCCATCCAAGTTTGTGCACATGGCATTTTTGTAAAAAAGCTTCGTCTGTATTTTGTCCAAAAGTGGAACATGTCGGCGTGTCTTTAGGTAGGATGCTGGCAGTCGGTGCAAGTGAGGGGTTTAATGGGAAGGGGCCTAATGGGAGGGGGTGGCAGGGGATTAGGGGAGGGGTGGAGGAGGCAAGTTTCATCATTTGGGTCCCTTGCCAAACATTCGTTCCACTTCCTCCTCGTAGTGGGCAATGTTCCTCTTCATGATGTCCATGCAAGGGCCCAGCAACCTCTCAAAGGCGTTCACGTCTAGGACTGTTAGAAAGGAAGAAATCAAACCAGTCCATTACGATGATGTCATTGTTTACGTTTAAATAGGATCATATCCACAACTGGTTTTAAAATGATGACGAAAACAGGGTTTTTGTGTTCGCATCATTTGTAAAGACTTGTGATGGAAAAATCGTTGTGTACGCACCCACAAAAACGGTGGTGGGGGGTTGGGTTGGGGGGGGGGGGGGAGTTAGATGTACTTACAGGCACATCTCACATCACCGCAGGCATAAACCGAGGCAGCACGGGGGTTGTTTGTTATCAGAGCTAGCTCTGTGGATATAAAGACAAATAAAAACATTTTTTATGCGTCTTGACGTTGACTTAGGTATTTTTCCCTCTTCCTCATAAGAATAAGTCAGGGATGTAAATGATCCACTCAATGCCCATTATCAGTATTGGATACATATTTGAGAATATTCAGCTTTGATTGAAATATCTGCTCCTTAAACATATATCATTTCAAGGATGTGACGTTACACGTTTAAACATTAAAAAGAAAAAAAATTAAATCCGTTTACAAATATTCCAAAACGTTTAAACAAAGCCTGAATTATAAAAAAGGGATCTACGGTCATGCGAGATTCAAATATAGCACAAATTCTTAACGGCATTTTCAAATCTATTTAATTTACGAAACCTTAGAAGCAACGCAGTACTTTTAAGGTACATGTAGTTAAAGATTTACTTTTCAATGACTGCCCGCTATTTACATGTTTTATGTCAATCATTGTTGATTTATCATGTCAATCACGCCGATCTGCAGACACAATGGGAACCCGTCAGCCTTTGCGAAATGGCTAAACATTTAAACGTTTCTTAAAATATTTGCTAAACATTTACAAAAATAAACGCAAAGTTACATCCTTTTACCATTTACAACCAAAACTATAAAAAAAATACATGTTTTTGTCTTTGATTAAAAGTGAACGTACCTCCGAAGAACTGGCCCTCGCTGAATGTTGCAATTTGTTTCTCTTTTGTTGGGTCGTCCTTTTATGATAAAAACCAAGTACAAAATATATATACGGGTTTAGTCATATTCTGGAAAGTACAAACAATACAGAACCTAATTGATTGGACTGAACTAGGTCTCTTTATTTAATTACAAATGATAAACTGCCCCACCTGTCGAATTCTGTCAATACAAAATCTGGGGAGGCCAAGAATCTAGGGCACAGGCAGTGCAGACTGAAGACTAGCAACACGTGTATTTGAAATGTCTTTTGATGAGTGACCGTTCTACAGAATCGGACCAGCACTCAAACAGGGAAGATTATGGGCTCAGTGTGCATGCAAACAAGAGAAGGCGCTTTTTTAACCACTTCCGAGAGCGCAGTGGATGACGACAGCATGCGATCACTGGTTGGCACGCTTATCCGCTCCGTTCACAAGTACCCCCTCATTGGCAAAAGAAAGTCCAGTTGGGGGTGACCGACCGACGCCATCTTGCCTGACTGCAATTTTGCCGCGACGCGCGGCCGTACCACTGCGTGTACATAGTACAAATCCCCTGGGGTACGTGCGTCACACAAGGAACGGTGCGCGTCAACAAGCTAAAATGTCCCGCCCATGGGACGTCGTTGCTAGGTAAAAGGGCGCCCTCTTTCGTTGGCGCACGGAGCCCATAACCTGAAGTACGCAGGACTAATTTTATTCTGAATGTGCACAAAGCCATACCATCTTTGCGTGAGCGTCAGGCGTTGTAAGCAAGCGTTCGAATGTCTCTCCCAGTGGTCTCCCCCAACTCTCCCGTTCTTACCGTTGAGGGGGTACTTGTCCACAGAGCCCACACTTTTCCCCAATTATTTCCAAATAAAAAATATCCGCCTTACTTCAAGGGGGGAATGTAACAACCATCCGACGTTGTGAATAGTTGAGAGCAAAATAAAACTAAGTTTCCGCACAATCAGTAACAAAATTCCTAAAAAATAATAGCCCTTACAGTTAAAATCAATCACTTGTTCTTGTCATTCAAGAACTCAACTACTTACCGACAGCTCTATACAGAAATCGATCCTCAATCAAAACAAGTGGCATTTTGAACAATTTTGACAATCGTGAAAAACAGACATTATGTCGCCTAAGGTAAAATAAAACCTCTCATGAGTGACATAAACAAATCTCTGTGGCACGTAGGCTGGCGCCACTCGTAATTCGTTGCCAGCCTGTAAATTACTCCTCATGTATGACAAATCCTTCCTGCTACAGTGAACACAGTAATGAGATACATGTATCATGTACTGTACATAGGTTTAAGCTGTGTAGGTCTTGACAAGATGAGGTTTTTTTTTATTAATGACTCGCCTTTTAAATTTATTCCGACCCAAAAGAAAATTGCTACTACATGTAATTTGAAGACAATGTTCGCTTCTCAACACCTAGCCAAAAATGAAAAACCTAGGGTGTCATGCCCGCATTTTTTTTTTTTGGTTTTAGCTTTATTATTGGAAAATTAGAACACAATGAAACAAAATATTTCAAACAAAAAAACTGCTAATATTGTAAATCTGTGAATGACGCATTTAACATCCATTTCAATGCTAACGAAGTGAATGGCAATTTAAGCAATGTTATGTTAGCTTTAATAAGAACAAAATAATGATGCTTTTTTTTTGCACCACAACCAAAAGAAAGTTAATGGCACCATAATGAGTTGAATAAAAAAAAAAACACAAACACATAAATGATAATAATGTCCGATACATGGACTTGTTCGATTGACACATGTGCATTAATTTTTTTACGATAAGTTTTTGAACTGGACCAAAAAGTCACGCTTAGAACCTTCCATGTAATTAACATACATGTGATGCGATCAAGCTAAATCAGTCGTTTGTCGACCCTGGTCCAAAAAATTGTTATTACAGATTTGAAAAGAGCACAATCTCAGCATTACTGCTGTGAAAACTGCATGCTGATACCATCTTTAGTTCACTAATTATGGAAGTCGGGACACCAAGAGATGTGATGAAGTGATGCACTGAAGTGGCCCTATTTTGGTAAGAATTCCTGACAAATGACTCATCTAGCTTGATTGCATCACATATATTTCAACGATAATTTCAAAAAGTCACAAAAAATCTTTGGGGTGTGGCAGTGGCTGTTGCTAGGGGCAACAGGGGGACTGGGGTTCGGATCATATGGGTTCCGGAGGATGGGGAGAAAAAAGGGGCGGGGCATAGGAGAGAGAGGAGGATGTGGACACTGTCGTCCCCCTTCAAGTGTGTATATATATACTTACTGCATTCTGAAAAGTGAACGCACAGCGACATGCATGAAGAAGATGGTGGGCGGTGGCCAAAATTCACGGCGCAGAAATAACAACGGTGGTAGTTGGTGATGGAGTATAAGTAGAGAACAACAGAAGGTAATGGCACACAACGACCAGATAATCGAACAAATGTGTGTGTGTGTGTGTGTCATGCCCGGACAGCCAGAGACCAGAAATAGACAGATATTAATGCCAAAATCAACTTAAATAAACACTGAACGTGACAAAAATAATATAATTGGCAACAACAAAATGGTCTGATGCTAGCGTAGAAAACAAAAGTAACAACAAAAAGTCATGCAAATTGAAAGAGCCACTTCAAATTCTGTTTTGGTGCAATTCTAGAAGGAGATTGAATTGTCCTTTTGAACATGAAAAACATGATTCGAACCAGCAAGCCAATCCTGTTGGTCAAGTGGTAAGAAGTCTGCACTAGAAAGCAGGAGGTCGTGGGTTCGAATCCCACCCAACTGATTTTTTCTCACTTTCACTCGGCGAGTAACACACTGAGTTTACAGTGTTTTTATGTTGGTGAAGGGCAAAACCTAATATTGAATGAAAAACATGTGTACACTGAATAACAAAATCATTTCTACACCATTTATGTTGGAAGATTTTTGGTTAAATTTTAACAAAATCTTTTTGTCTAATTCTTCAACTGCTTACTGTTTTTGTTTTTTAAATTTTAACAGAGGTGGTCAAACGCAACAATGGACTTGTCTATTTACATGTATGTATCAGGACATGACGCAGTTACGCCTCACTTGTGTTCAGTTGCGCCAGACTACTTCTTTTTTCCAACCTCTGTAATTACATTTGCAGCGGGCTAGAGAACCAGGCTAATAAATGGCCTGACTCGACACCAGTGTATTGGGACTAGGGATGAGTGATGGAGGTCCCACTATCCAAGAGAGTGGGAAAATGAATCAAATTGTGTGAGCACCAAATCAAATTTGAAGCGGCCCTTTTTTTCCTTTTTCCCCCCAACAATGCATTGTCGTTACAAAGCAAGGGGTATTGCTACATCGTTCAACAAAAAGTCTGACAACGATCAAAACAAAAGCTTGTCTTAAAAATAAAACCAAAACAAACAAAACAAAATAACAAATATAGCATTAGACAAAAGTTCAAGTAAATTGTGAGTGGATACCCAAATATGGCTGAATAATTTGCAATTTTATTTTCTCAAAATTCCAAATTCAAGTTTTTTTCGTATCATCTTACAAAATTCAATATTTTTTTTCGGGAAGTTTTTAAAAAATTCTTTATTTTCATGATCATCTTGAGATATGATTTTTATTCTTTTAAAAACAAACAAAGATCAAGGACAGTTAAAACAAAATAACATATTCAACATAAAATGCAATTAAATAAGTTAACGCAACTGTAAACAAAAAAACAATATCAGGTGAAAACTCAAAAGCTTCAATGAAGAAAAGGCACTTTGACAATCAAAATATAGAATGAAATGTGAACATGACAGCAATGAAATTTGTGCAGTTAACAAATAAAATTCAACAATAAAGCAAGTGAATGCATATTCAAATGGTTTAGTGAATATTAATGTAACACGTCCTTTCATGAAAATCTCAAAATGAGAGTACTTTACACTTTTGCTTTTGCCAAGAAAATAACTGCGAATTGGGATTTTGTTTATGGCATTTAGAAACTACAGTGAAATCTCGATAAGTCAAAACCTGTTAACTCCAAAACCCCTCTAACTCAAAGTAAAAACTTATTCCCCTCAATTGTTGTCGAATAGAAAATTCATTGGGTAACTCAAAACTCTGCTTAACTTAAAAGTTTCAGCCCATTCTCCTGAGGTTTGACTTATGGAGATTCCACTGTATTTAATGTATTTTTTTTTTTAGATGGTAATAACATTTTTTTCCCGATGTTTGAGAATATTTTTTTTTCAAATGTACTAAAACACCCTCGAGATTTTCATGAAAGTGATCCAAAAATGCATTACATTCACCAAAGGATTAAAAGAAGGGACAGTCAAGTTTATGCATGGATGAGAATAACTATGGTTTTACATGAAAATGACATGTTATGAAACCCGAGTAAACGCTAGCCATTGCAAATGTATGCGCGAACGCTCAATTTATGGCCCTCCAAGCAAGGCTTTGTCAATTCCAATGAAAAGAACCATTTGCAAATATATTTCAAATGTTACCAAAAAAAAATTAAAAATCCACATTGGGAATTGAGGGGATCAGTGTTTTACTTGCATAACAGACTTTTCTGAATAAACTGCCCCCAAAAAATTCACCTGAAAAGCCCTTCAAAATGTGTTTCATAACTGCACATAGCCTGCTTGGCATTTTCTTTTCTTTTAAGAGGAGCTGAGGATTTGAAAAAAAATCCTTGTTTGAGATGAAAGACAATTAAGTGAATTCTGTTGGACCAGGTACCTGACCACAAATTTGGTTGTGATTCGCCCTTAAGGCAAGATGGGAATGTTTGTGAATTGTCAGCAAAATGTCCTTGCCAAATGTCCTCCGTGATCATATCAAAAATCCTTTATTTTAATCCTTGTCACTTTTGCATTAGAATAAAAAACAAACCAAATCAATATAAGAGTTCCAATCACCAACTGATCATACAAAAGGAATGCTGTTATTCTCAAACAGTCTGCAATTTATTTGGTTTTTATTCAACAATTTTGAGTCTTCCAGCAGAGATATTTGAAGTATAGATGGAAATGAAAATTCTTGAGGAGTTCAGGATAAATTTAGCTATTTAGCTTTCTGGAACTACAATAATTATGAAAAAAGAAAAAGAAAAAGGCAAATTTCCAAGGTGACTCCAAGATTTGCCATTTTCCAAATCTCGGTTTCAGCTTAGGCTTTGGCTTCCTGTTTTGCAAAAGAATTACAACATTTGACTAATTACATTTAAAAACTTTTTAAAAATAAGACCTTAACAAAAGACTAGTTCATGTTTCTGAAATTTGAGCTACAATGAGTTGGAGGCTCTTCACAAAGAAGCCAAAAAACATGAAGCTGAAGCCTGAAGCCGAACCTTAGACAAAGTTGAAGTTTGGAAAAATGCTTCTAGAGTGTCAGAATCCGTAACCAGGCTACGGCAATCGCGGCAGTCAGCAAGACTAAGCCCAGGGTGTCCCGCAAGGTGTGCAGCGTGCTCGGCAAGAGGTTTGGGTGGCGGTGCAGGAAAGACAAGACCTTAGGATGATGGTGGCAAAATAGAAAGAAAAACAGAAACAAAAGGGAAAGAAGGAAGGAGCGAGAACAGGTGATTGCGAGTGAGGTGGGTGAGTAACAAAGCATGCATGGGGGTTAACAGAGCAAGGAACATTGTGATAGGGGACGACTTTATGAAGTTCAGCAATTTGCTAAGCTGATTTATGTTTAGCACTTAAATTTGCTAAGAAGCTCAATGAAACGGGCCTATGATTTTTAAGGTGGTCCTTCAGTTTAGGTTCGGGTTGGTCTGAAGTTGGGGATTTCAAAGATTCACATGCCAAGATTTATGAAAAAGACTAAAACTGCTGCAAACTGCTCACTGACTGGATTAACCTGGTATATTATACAAATAAAAAAAAAATGAGTGTGGCCTAAAATTTCATCCTTAGCGAGGACTTCTTCAATCAGAGGCAAACAATTTGCTCTGCTGATTTATGTTTTGCCTCTGAAGAAGTCCTTGTTAAGGATGAACTACGTGTATTAGGCCGCTCTAATTTTTTTGATTTATGCCTAGACTTAGTTGGGTTGGGTATGCGATGCATGGCAACTTCAAATTCTGCATGTTTGGAGAGGAGTTAAAAATCTTGAATTTGCTGGGAATAGTTTAAAGGCACCCAATTGTATGATATATAATGGGGCTGGGGTGAACCTAAATTCAAATTCTGCCATCTGACTAAAACTACAAAAATCAATCATGCTGTATTTAAGATATAAAAAAAAAATCTAAATCGATTGTCATTCTAAGGTTTTCATGCATTATCAACCCGATTTCAAATCAAAAACCCTATGAACAAAATCAGCAGGCTTGTCTTCTACAGCCTACAAAGATAGATAACATTCAGATATTGTAAAGGCAAGCAATATAATCCTGCAAATGCTATTACTGCTCATGCCTGTCCAATTGCAGCGATCAAAAGTCTTGATTGCATTGCTTTCTATGTACAACTAGCTAAAACCCAAAACTGGCAGTTCCGACGAATTCTATAAATATTCATGCCTTCAATACAATCTCTTGCCTTTCCGGAAATTGATCCATACAATATTCAAGTAAAAAATAAACTTGGGTTTGCAAATAATTTTTTTTCAACAAAATGTCCAACTAAATACTGGAAAGTACATGCTCTTCTTAAAAAAATTCTTTAAAATTAAGAACAAAGTATTAAAAAGTTTCCTAATTATCAACAACCAATTTTATAACACTCTTATAAAAGTCCTTTGCAAACGCACTTTCGAACATCGCCTTCTTTTCGAAAGCTTTTAAAAATAACAGTGCCGAAAAAAATCACAGTTCAATTGCTAACAATTGACGTGAAGTGGACAGAAATCTGATACTTCTACATCAACTTGAGCTCTACAAGAAGTACACATCGCTAAAAGGAAGGCACTTATTCTTACTAAATTGAATCTCACCCTTGCTGGAGAGAAAATAAAACGTCTACAAATATCCTTATAAAGCTTTTTCCGTGGTTATTTATATATCTGTCGGTGTTTTTTTTCAGTGACAATTTTTGTATTTCTCCTTTAGAACTGGCGCTATTTCAATCCGCTTTTGTCGATGTTGATGAAATTTGATATAGTGCAAGGGGAGGGTTGATAGTTAAGATAATGCTCGCTGTCCTATGTAAACAGGATTGGAGGGGGAAATGACAATATTCGTCGTACAAGTTGAGCTGTTATGACTACAATTTTTTCAATTTGGCGACAGGTCCGCAAATAATCTGTCTTGGAAATGTATAGCAGGGCCGATAAAAGCTTTTACAATTGTGGACAGGATGTGTGATTATGCACAACCCTGAAGAGTGAGACAATCTAGACGGAGCTCCAGACTGCGTGCTGTCAGACAATTCATCTCATGTTTACAAACCGATAATCCTTACTAAAACTGGAAATATTTTGAGGACAAAAACTTAACTGGCAAAATTTGATTACATGTATCTTGTTAAAACTACTTCAATTCTGAAATCATCTACCTTGTTATAAAACAAATAAAACAAACAGATTTTATTGTGCTTATTCAGGATTTTCCCCTGTTTTTCGGAAAGGCAAAAGTCATCATTTAAACAAATGTGATGCAATCAAGCTAAATGAATCGTTTGTCGGGAATTTTTATTTGGAGATTCAGGCCAAAATTGGGCCACTTCATCACATCACTTCATCACATCTCTTGGTGTTCCCACTTCCATAATTTGTGAACTGAAGATGGTATCAGCATGCGATTTTTACAGCAGTAATGCTGAGATTGTGTCCTTTCAAATCTGTAATAAAAGTTTTTTGACCAGGGTCGACAAACGACTCATTTAGCTTGATCGCATCTCAAATGTAGATTTAGCTCTGGAAATTCATGGAAGTGACGTTTGAAAATTGCATTTCGCATCAAAGGCACCAGCATCAAGTCAGACTGAAATAAAATGAGATGTTTCTAGCAAAAAGATTCTTGTGGTTAAGAAGGTTGGGTTAATAAGCAGGCTCAAGTCAAGCTGGTTGCAATGAGATTGTTAGTAGAGGAATGGGAATGCCAGGATATAAAACAAGGGAAATAAAGAAAAGCAGGAATAAGTAGAAAATAATAATCAAAACTGAATAAACCGAGAGAATTTGGTTTGTGCAGGGTTGGAAAATCCACAGTTCTCCCATTCCTAAGATGTGCGTACGTGTTCTTGACGCTACGTCCCAACATGACCCGAGTGTGTAAGAGAAAGTCTGATTTAGGAAGGAAGTGTTTATACCTTACCTTGTTTTTCATTGTGATGCGGACACTACCAGTTTCAATGAAATAGCACCCGTCAGCTTCATCACCCTAAAGTTCAGACGATAAAATGTTTACTAGGATTACAAAATGATCGATAATAATTCTTTATTGTCAACATTGCATGCCTTTGACCTGTTATTCAACTGGGCAAGGCATGTTGTCCAACTTGGAGAAAAAGTCCTGCCAAAATTTTTACGCGAGATAAACATCATTGTGCATGTTCTTTAAAACTCCTTCAATTAAACTGTCAATAGAAACAATGGATAGAACAATTGAAGAAAAAAAAACAGTTGTTGATGCTCACAAACTATGGAGAATTTTTCACAATTAAGGAAGCACATAATTTTTGGCTTGAGATGAGTGGCAGGCAGTAAAAAAAATATGTTTTTTGAAGAGGATTTTACAAAAAATGAGAAATGACATTTTAGAATGAGCCTGAGGTGGTCATTAGAGAAAGATTTTGGCACGTTTTTTTTTTTTTATCAAGATGTTTTTGAGTCAAATCTTGGCAAATTTTCATCGTGCTTTGTCCTGTGTTAACACTTTTTTAAATTTTTTGACATTTGAAGTTGGTCATTCGATTAATCTCACCTGTGCAATGATACACTCTCCGTCTGAGTATTTCTTGGTTTCTAAAGCGTCGGCAAGATTCATTCGCTCATAGGGCTGAAGAGAATTCATACAAATAAGAGAAATGAAATGACAAATGTACATTTTGAGTCTCTTCTCATACTTCTCATGACATGTTTTCACATATTAATCTTAGCACCACATAATTTATCAAAGTCAACTGTTATAAATGTGCACATAGAACTGTTATTACAAAATGGAAGTTTGACAGATATAATTTATACTTTCAGATTTTTGAGTCAGGCACACATTCATGAAAACTTTCTGACAATTCCCACACTTGAAAGATCATCCACCGGACACTGGGTTTAAAATCCTTAACCCCCCCCCCCCCAAAAAAAGGAACATAAAATTTAGAAAATATATACAAAAAAGTACATGTAGTATACACAGGCTTTCAAGCAGACCCAAATGAAAAAGTAGAACAGTAGGATCAAAAAATAAATAAAACACAAAAAAAAGGACAAAAGGAGGACTTCGGAGGACAAATTCAGAATAAAATGAGGACTTTGTGGGCTTTCGTGAGTACTTTTCGTTGATACTCATCCATGTACACAGCATCATAACCCCACTCTCCTGAAGACGGTCAGAGCATACTGACCGGATCATCAAGTTTGTACCTCTGGTTCTTTTCAGAACCATTCTCTTATCACAAGCCTCATTTGGCATGCTCTGCACTCACAACACTTGTGCTCCATCTTCAACTAAGTTCTTGGAAGTACAGATACAGTACTCTGCGCCCAAGCCCATCATTGTGTGATTTACATATATGTGTTGGCGTCGTCAGGATTTTTACTAGTGGGGCAAAGCACATTTTTTCCCCCAAAAATCCTTCTACTTTTCTAGCATATTCTCAAGTTATCATTTTTTTCGAGACATTTACCCACCCCATCCCCATTTACACCCCTGCAGACGCCCATTTTGTTACTTGTGTATTAAAAATAATAGCAAATATGACTTCACACCTTTTCTTCTTTTTCCTTTTTTTTTTTTGGTGCTTTTTTTTTTGGGGGGGGGGAAAGTGCCTCCCCCACTTGCCCCCCCCCCCCTCGCGACGCCCATGCATATATATGTGTGTTTAACAGTGTTATGAACAATATTCAATGACATTACATTTTTCAGAGATAAGGGACAAAAAAGTAGGAAAAAGTAGGAATTTCAAGAAGAAAGTAGGAAAAGTAGGAGCAAGTTAAAAAAAAAACCGAGGAAAAAGTAGGAATACTTAAAAGCCTGCATACACTTCAGACAGCTCTAAATTCACTGTAGGAGAGACTTTATCCCACAGTGTCGGTTTTTTTTTTTACAGAAGTGCACCAAAGTTTAGATAGCTTGAGCTGCAAGGGCTTCCGTGGATTATTTTTTTAAACCCCTGGCATCGCCTCTGCCGTACCTCTAATGATTTCAGCATGGAGACGTTCTCTAGTAGCGTCTCGTACATCTTGCGCTTCTTGGCTGCATTCTTGAGCACTATCCTCCGGAATGAGGAGCGATCCTGGAGGAAAAAAATTTCAAAACAGAAAATACAATTATTAATCTATTAACATGTGCACTACATTGTACTACATTGTATTACATTGTATTTATTCCCTGATAAATGCATATAACAATAGGCTTGGGCTGTTTGGGGCAGTATAGGTAAAGCAGGGTGGTTTCGGGCAGTACAGGGCTAATAATAGGTTACAGACATGGATTATCATGGGTTAAAGCCGTTCATTTGTTTTAATTGAAGGGCCATGCCACACCTTTGCAAATACGTTTTGCAAGGGTGGATTTTAGGAGGGAGTATTAGTTTGTAAACTTTTCCCTCACACCCTCGGACAACACGGAGTATACAGTGTTTTATAAAAAATATTCAGGAAGGGTAAAACCAAATATAAAAGGAGAGGGTTGGCTAACCAACTTCCCTTCCCACCTATGTCTGACCTATCTTGATTGTTTACAAATGGCTGAAAAAAAAATCCAAATTTAGTTTGTAAAATAATTGTTAACAGTATACAATATTGCCAGGTATAACCCAATCCCCACCCCCTGGACAATTGTGAAATCTACGACGCTTTCTCCTGCACTCTTAGGCAATTTGAGACTGAATTTAGGAACTTTAATTTAGATACCCCGGTAGCATTGCATTTATTTTTGTTGGACCCATTTAACTGTTATCATAATATTAGTCAGTGACTGACCGGGGGGGGGGGGGGGGGGGGGGGGGGGGCTACTGATTGCAAATTCAAGTTAAAATTTCGATCCCTGGGAGTGTATTGACTTCAACACCCAGTTTAACAATTCTAGAATTCAATACTTAAAAAAAAACACATTTCAATTGAAAAATTCTAGAGTGCCCAAAATGTGTCAAATACATTTAGTACCTTTACTTTTTACTTTCCAAAAAGAATATACCACTGCTGAAATAAAAAAATAAATAAAAAATACAGGTCTCTGTCTACGCATGTGTCTGTGTATGCGATGTGCTCTGTAGATTACCCTGAAAGGCTAACTGTACTACGTGTACGTCATTCAAAGCAGTCAATATTAGTGTACTAGATTACGCCTCACTGACGCTAAAATTAATGTCTGTGATTGATCGCGCTAGCCAAGGCCAGGAGGGATTGGAATTGGCACACACTATGCACTGTACGCTGGGAGTTGAAATCTCACACAACAACGGAAAAACTACTTAAACACATTTGTATATTATCTTGTATTAACTCAAACTCCCTACTGTCTTTCACTAAGTACTGGACCAAGTCTGCCAAAATCCATCATTCACACTGCTTCCAATGCATGCTTTGCTTTAGGCCTCCAGGACCAAGTCCATCATACTCCATCAATATTTAGTCACACCAGGCCTGCAGGACCAAGTCCCAAAAATCCACCAAAATTGGGAGATCGATTTTGATGGAGTTGGGGAGGTTAGAGTTAATGTACGTAGTATCTCTTTCCATAAAACTGCAGAGTCGTAATCACGTCAAAACCACACTCAATCACAAGTCAATCACATTGCTCACAAAAGACAATCTTAAGGCAATCATAAGTAAATCAAAGTGAATCACATTCAATCACAGTCAATCACAAGTAAATCACAACTACATCACAGTCAATTACATGGTCATCATAAGGTAATCTTAATAAATCACAGTTAATCATCAGTCAATCACACTCAATCACAAGTCAATCACAGTCAATCACAAGCCACTCATAGGCAATCACAACTCAATTATCAGTCTCGAGTCAAGTCACAAGCTATTCACATGACTTGAAACATTACAAGAATTGCATGCCTCTGTCATTCCGTAAAGCCCGGTTCATACTTCACGCGAAAGCTTGTGTGAAGCGAAATTCATGTCGTCAACAATGGTGGACGCACTTCGAATGTATTGTTGACGTCACAAATTTCGCTTGGCTTTCGCTTTCGGGTGAAGCATGAACCGGGCTTTATTTGTGACCTGCCTTGTGATTGACTTGTGATTTAACTTAAAGGTAGGGTAGATCATTTGTCATTTGTTCATGATTTTCGTTTGAGGCAACGAAGGTTCCCAAAATCTAAAGACAGGTGCTTATTAACAACTAACGTGATGAAACTTCAGCTCAGTGAATGCTGTATATTCCGAGAAAACAATATCCTAGGATCTCGATTTCAATGCAAAAGTTGCTGAGTCATGTTTTGAATTGCGTCCAAAATCAGAGTCCGGGACATGTTCTCATTCAGCTGATTGCAGCTACGTTATGTCAAGCACCGAACTGGCCAATAATAGCAACCGCACGCATCTGTGTTGAGTCAACGCTTGCACGCACCCATTCACGAATTTGCCCAATTACAAACCAACTATCAAACGAAAATTTCCAAAAATGCGTCACTTGACTCATCTTTGGAAATTACCTTTTATTCTTTCCTCCAAAATGACAGCACGCCAGAAGGAATAATTTCAAAGGGAGTTCATTGCCATTACTATCTTTTAACCAAGTAAGCTTTTTCAACAATAATTTGGTCAGTTACTTTTTGGATAGCTGCAAATGATCTACTCTACCTTTAATGACTGACTGGATTAAATTTGTGCATCTGTTTCGATCTCTTACCAGTGCCCATAGCGAGCCCGGCGTGGTGGCAACGATGGTCGCTGCTCGAGGCGTGTTGTACATGAGAGCCAGCTCCCCAAAGCTACCCGTGTTGTTGTAGGAGCCCACCTTGTTGCCGTTGACAAAGATGTCGTACAAGCCACTGGAGGGGAGGAAGGAGGAAATGATCTTTAAGAAGGTTTGAACTTTTGATGATTGTCATGGGGATTCGTGGAATTGTTGGTAAAGATGATCAGTGTTGTAGCTGAATCCATCACAGAGGGGGTGGATCTAGCTTTCAGGAAACGGGGGTTGATATTTGAGCTTAAAGCATTCTGAAGGCACACCTGCTCTGGGGGGGGGGAGGGGGGTATGTCCAGCCAATTGAGTCCATTACAACAGGGGCGTATCTTCAGGAAATGAAGGCGTGCCGAATGCATGCCATGCTGCTAGAAGGTCCGGGGGCACGTCCAACCAGAAACTTTTGAAATCTACAATGTTTTCTCTTGCATTCTAAGGAAATTTGAGAATCAATTCCATCAGTAACATCAACATTCCATTTATTATTTTTGGCCCCATTTTACAAATATCATAACATTAGTCAATAGCTGAACTTGAGGGGGGGGGGGGTGTTGCAATCCCCCTCCCGGATCTGCCACTGCACAAGTCCATTGCAAAGCATCTAACTCCAAGTCGATCACAAGCAATTCCTATAAACTTTTGACAAAAGCTATTAATTGGTTATGTTCATCCCATGTCTGTGACCAGACCTGTGAAATTTGTTTCAGGATACTTGTGAAGTACTCTAAGGCATCACTGGTGAAGATATAGCGATGATTTGTTGATGGGCAAATAAAAAAGACACTTAGATTTACAAAGAGACATCAATATAAAAGACAACACTGACCAAACAATTTTCAAAACCGTGACAAAGTTGCGTATAGTTTATGACCACAATGAAAGCACTTATATCTCTCTATTTTGTTTCAAATTTCAACTCGTAGCAATAACTTGATAATTTAAATGTACTTGGCATAATTGTCTACAAATGTGATATAAAAAACATACAACGCGTGTATGAACTTCACCATTCTTCATTCTTGCAAGTATGAAGCCAATTGGGTTTTTTTTTCGCAGACATCTGCTTTGTCACAGCAGATATTGATTTCATGTTGAAGACGCACCTGAAAGCATGAAATTTTCATTACTATGCTGTCATAAATGCAGCTTGAACATAACAGACGCATCAGCTGCTTCTCCGAAAATATGCGTACCAACCTAGGACCTTTAAAGATTTTTTTCTTGTGTAATAGACCCTTCAGGCCCGTGTGAGAAAAACAGCTTGGCATTTCTGGGGATTCGGTGGCCGTGAGGCTTCTGTATTGAGTGTAAATACCAGCTTGCTTGGACAGCAGGTTAAAGACGAGCCAGAAGGAGCAAACAGAAAAAAAAAACACAGTAAAGTAAGGCACCTATTATCCAACGAACGCAACCATTCGCAACCCCCTACCTACCTCTCGCGTGATTTCTCCGGGGGAAAAAACCCGAAAGACACTTTTTGACAGGGACTTGTTATGCCCGTCTAGAGGAGTTTCTTCAACAGGCACAAAAAAAAAAAACCCACGCGGACAGATTGTCACAGACGGCAAAAATAACACCTGATTAGCCAGGGCTGGCTGAGTCCGTCGAAGGTAAGGAGTGAATCCGTTGCTTGACAGCCGTGAACGATTTGACTCGGTGCGATTGTGCGAACCCGACGCTGAATTTTACTGCGACTTGGTTTGATCCACAGCAGACGGTGCTAGGAATGAAGAAACCAGGTGTTTTCTTACGAGAAGGGGGAGGGAGAGGGGTCGAGGGGAGAGGTGTTTTTCTTCGAGCCCATGGGGGTGGGGAGATGGCCATGCCTTACCTGTCGATGACGTAGAAATTGTCTCCATCATCGTCCTGGTCGATAATGTGATCGTCTGGCTGGGTCTGTCATAACATGGAAGCAGGTGGGGAAGGTAAAAAAAAACAACATTAAAAAAAAACCAAGAAAATATCGATTTGATTGGCAGTAGCATGAACCGATATTGGCTCGTGGGAGGCAAAGACTGTTGCAAGAAGGTTTCGGAAGACGTCTGACAATCAGAAAATGTTTTTGAGGGCCTTGGGCAGTTCTGAGGTAGAAATTGAATGTCACTTTCGCCCGTGGCAAAACGGAGTTGTTTTGACTAAATTCAGAAATGTGTGAAAACATCAGTGCATTTTGGAGCTTGTGAACTTTGGATGAGAAAAGTTTGAGCTGAAGGCTTGAGAATAAAACAAGTTAAATAACTTAGATTTGTTGGGAAGTTAGGCTATCAAAAAGTTGTAATGTTGTTAGAAATTAAGGCGTACCATCTGCAAAAAAATATGAAAATTCAAAGACTGAGAGGTTGCAAAAAGTAACTTGCTTGAAGCAATGTCACTGTTTGTGTTCCCAAGTAAACCTCGGCAATATTTTAACACATTTGCTTATTGAAACTAAGAAAGATGCAATTGCAGTACAGTAGATTGCTCAAAGACAAGAGCATCTTGATCTCTCGCGCCCTGGCCATTCAAAAGCCAGATTTCAGAAAAGTCATCAATGCCAGGAATGAACCAGACAAAAATGTCTTCAAGAAACTAATGCTATAATTCTATAGTTTGTTTCCTCACATATTATGTGAGGGACCCTTAAGGTTTGGCACTATAAAAGAACCAGGATGAACGTCTTACCCTCTTTTCAAACATGGCATCTAGCACTTGTTGCATTTGTTCCTGCACATGGAGAAAACAAAACGACACTATAAACCAATTGCAAGTACAAGAACAAATTCGGGAAAAAAATCCATATACGGACGTCACTTAACACCCTGTTTACAAACCCTACGAGACTGGTCTGAACAATTCTAAGTGTCTTCTCACCGAATGCTTCAATATTTTCCCTGCTAAATTTCACTTTTTAGGACATGTTTTGGACATCGCTTTCTAATGGCTGATTTTTCATTACAGGGAAAAATTAGTGGCGTACGTATATGAAATTCTTTCCCAAATTGGCACAGTTGGAATATCTGGGAGGGTTTATTACACAATGTAGACAGAGAGAAAAGTTACTATGATATATATTACATAATACTGAAAAATCCATGCATTCCTATCACACCTGAAACCTATTATATTACCAAGACCCTGCCAAGTCTGCCTGTACCCAGCGCCCTTTCCAAGGGCAGTGGTGACCCCCATGGGCTCCGTGCATGAACAAGCGAGGGCGCTTTTCAAGAACCCAGTGGACCGGACTGGTTCTGTGTTCTGGTTCGCGTGCGTATAGCTCTTAGTACACACAACTAATTGTATTCAGAATGTCATCGTCCATGCGTTTGAATGTCTCTCCCAGTGGTCTCCCCCGAACTCTCCCATTCTTACCATTGAGGGGGTACTTGTAAAGGAAACGCAGATATCACAAAGCATTAAGGGTAGCTTCCTGCCATGATTAATGCACAAACATTCCATGTGCACATGTGGTACGCACATTAAGTGTTGTGAGCCTGGGTAACACGGTAAACAAAACCCTCCAACTGCGGTGAGATTGGGGGGAAATGAATTATCGGCAAAGTTTGAGTGTTGCCAAAGGTCTCTGAGCAACGTATGGTCTATGCTTGTTTGTAAGTTTCTAAACTAATGTTGGGAGAATTTTTTTTTTTGTCCGAATTTTTTCCAACCCAATAAAGGTTATCTGATTTCACTGAAAGTTCCCATTTGGCCCACTGTCACACCAACAAAAAGGTGCCTCACGCAGTGCCCCCCACAATGATTAGGTATAGTTTGCATGATTTATTGACCACTTGGCCTCTGAAAAACATTCCAGAGTTGCGATGATGAAAAAAATGGATAGGAAGTCTCTGATTCAGTTGAATGAGCAGGCTATTCACAACCCTAGTTAGTGAATGCAGTTACAATCAGAGACCATGGAGTAAATTGGGTAATGATCCTAATTGTTTTCTTTAGCTTGTGTCACCACAAAAAAAATCAGGCTTCATGTGTTTAAGGTTGGTTTCGAATATCTAGTTTCCAAAATCCAAACGGAACAGGGGAATTCATACCGAATATTAAAAAATTCGGATTTTTATCTCACCACTATCCTAAAGGCACCCCATAAATACCCATATCTTTTGTACTACAGGCAAAACACTTTTACGGTAAAAACCTCAAGTATTCCAGGATTCAAAAGGGATTTTTTAAATCGGGATAAATCCGGACAATATAATCCTAAATCAGGAAAAATTCTGACAAATCCCACCCCTGATCCAATGAGATCTCCAAGAGGTCACCGGTGTCCTTGAAAAGGGCAATGGTTAAGAGCAAACTTGCCTGTAGTGTCAGCGGCAGTCATCTGCCCTTTTTGATGTGACGCTAACTGCCTATACCCTAAATGGATTATGCTGCATCAATGACAACAGACCCTGTGCTTGCACTGTCTGCTGTCACTATAAATGAATTATACCGTCTAAGATGTCACTAAATCTAGTAAGCAAGCAGACAATGTTATTGTGTGGAACCGTTGCACAACAGCCAAACGAGTCTTGAAGATGCGTTTCATGCGATCGATAATGGCACTGATAATAAGCCGAGGGGTGGGAGTCAGAGATTTGGATGGTCTGTATCAAGATACACAAGTGGTTGGCCAAGAAGAAAACCATTCTGTAATATTTGAAATCAAAGAGTTTTTTTTAAATCATTTCTTGTATTTGGAAACATGGAAAGGAGATACGTCAGTACGTCTATGCACACGTGTGCAGAGATGCCAACTTTACAGACTACAAAATAGTAATGATTCTTCCTGCAAAGAGTAATGCTAATGTGAATACATAGGCCAACAGTCAAGCTTAAGAGTAACCACAGTACTTTTCAGAGTAACCACAATGTTGGCGTATACATGTAGGACAGTTGGAATTTTCAAGAGTAGTAACATGCCTCAAAATCCTAATAATTACTCCAAAAGAGTAATGGTTGGCATCTCTGCGTGTGATATGGGGGGAACATTAGCTTTACAATATGTTGTAATTTATCAATGGGGCATTGAATGGTGGCCTCATGGTCTGCATCAGGGGCTTGAACTCGTGGTCTGCCGGTAATTCTGTGGGTGTCGGGTTCGAGTCCAGCCAGGGATTATGGTGCGTGTGTGCTTGGGCAAGGCACTTTGTCACTTATTGCTTCTCTCCACCCAGGAGTAAATGGGTACCTGTGTGAGGGCAGAGATGGTTATTGTGATTGAATTGGCTTCGTTGCGCCTAACAGGCTGCACCGAGCTGCATACTCCGCAGGGAGCTGAGATGGTATTTGGAATAATTAATTGGCCCAATGATCAGGGGTAATAATAATGTAAAGCACTTTGATCTTAGTTAAAAGCGCTATATAAAAACCAATTATTATTATTATTTATTAGAACAGGGGTGTGAGTGACCACTTTTAAAAATAGCTGAAAATAGCTGAAAAAGGTGTAAAGAAGCTGAACTTTGGAAATCTCCTATACTTTTGTACACAGCAAGTGAGGGAAAAAGCTGAAGAAAAGCTGAAATCTAAAACAAAAAAAAAGCTGAAATCAGCTTTAAAGCCGAGATTTCACACCCCTGTTAGAAGCATGACTAGTATCTGTTTACTGGCTGGGCTGACCTAAAACACATGTACGAGTGTACATTTTGATCCTAGCAAAATCTTTCTTTCAGGCACAATTCTGTGCTGATAAAAACATCTAGCCCTCAAAACTGAATGACAATTTTGTTGGTGTGTTTATGAAAACTCATTTCAGTACATTTTCCATGTCTTCAAGCGTGCTATTTGCCCCCTGTTTTATAGCTGATGGTTCCAACTAAAATTCTGACACACTAATTCATGCAGTAAAGTATTACGGCCTTGTTTGTACTGTTTCATGCTCTTTCTCCAATGGCAACAACAACACCCAGCTATCTGCACTCAATCACTGACACAGATGTGATGATATCAACGTTCAGGTTTAATAATTAATTCCAGTTCTTCCTTCCTCGGCTCGGAGAGCGCGCGACAGCCTGCGTTGCTACGAGTAACGCGCCCTACGCGCTGCCATGGATGCGTACAGCCTGAATCAACACACACACAAATAAAACCTCTGGTATATTAATAATAGACAGGCGGAGATATTGCACGGCCCAGTTTTTTCTTATGACAAAAAGGGGGACTCCAATGAATTTTAATTAGTTTGGGAAAATGGCGGCTATTGATTGCCGGCGTGCGCTTGGCCACGTCGGTCCGAGGCAACCCGAAGAACGATTTTACATGCACACAAATTGATCAGAAATGGTTTATCAGACATGATGTCCTTGAGTAAAATGGATTGGTTGGTGGTACGTTTGGGACCTTACAAATATGCTGGGCTGATTATTTTGGAAATTTTTGAAATTAAATTTTCATGACAGGACTCTCAATCATGGTGACGTGCAACTGTCATTTACTCAAACTTGACGGTTAGATGCTAAATTAAAGATGTATTGTGGAAACTAGGGGTCAAGGAAGGAGCGATCACGTCGCGGCTCTGTTTCTACTAATCCTCCCACCACCACGCAGTGGACTCGATAACAAGAATGTCACCAAATGGACCTCTTTTTAATTGCTATCTTTTTCTAGCGATACAACTGTTATTAGCCTTTGAATAAGACATCAAAGACATTCACTCATGTTTAGTTTACAAATTTTAAATTATTTACAGGCCGACAATAATGCAATTCTCGCGGGGTAGACTAGTTCCTACCCCACTTTCGGAATCATTAATGTAGAGACCGGGAACCAGTCAAGGTATAATGCAAAAGTATTCTGGTAATGCACCTATAACCCTCCCCTCCCTCCACCCCCCCCCCCTTGGATTTTTTTAACTTTGTTGAAGGGCACAGAGAGAACATCTTTAAAGACATGCATGTAAATATATAACAAAAGGGACATGTACATGCACATATATATGTACATGTACATGTACAGGTATGCATGTTGGAGCAGGAGTACCATATGTGTAGGTACATGTAATATACCGGTACAACATTTGCTTTTGCTATAATTTTCAGAAACGGATGAATTTGGGGGTTAGTATTTTATGGCAAATATTGTTATGCTGACCCGTTTTGTGTTCATAGATGCTGAAAAAAATCCAAGAATAAAATGCTGTTCTTGTAGTCTGGTTCCCTGACCTACTTCAGACGAAAGCAATTTATAGATGTTAGGGACTTGTCAGGTCAGGGAACCAGATGAGCTGGCTTGCACCCGTACATGGATGTGTAACCGATTGCAAACAAAATGTGGACTACCTAAATTAGGTAAACTGGGGGCAGTATTTTTTTTTTTTTAAATCTATTTTTTTCCCAACGATGGTCGGCCGACCATCATTGGAAATTGATACAAAAATTCTACTTATCTTGAAAATGACAGCACACCAGGTGCCATGATTTCACAGGATGCATGAGACTTTTATTCACTTACAGTCAAGTAAGGTATTTCATAATAATTTGGTAGTTTTGTTTTTGACGTTTGCATGTTGAATATTAGTACCTTTAATACAATAATGCATTTGTTTAAAATGCAAATATCAATTCCGTACTTTCAAAACCAATCAACACTGAAAAAAAAATCCAACCAATTTCCCAAGGCTTCATATACATGTATATGTACATTGTAACCTGAGAGACAGTTGGCAATGAAAAAAAGGATTGCGAGCTGATCATGTTGTAAATCGCCATGGCAACAAGGCACTTTAATCATGTGCATGACTGTATGCACAGCGTTATTGCATTTAGTTTTAATGATTGAGTGCGGTGCACCACCTGTTCTGTTCCCTGATGGAGGTAGGGGATATATGTTTAAAATGATAACATTAAAAATTGTAATTAAGAGGAGCTAGAATTGATTTTTGTTTTGAACAGAGTTCACTAGAATCTTATTTGTTTTCTGGTATAGCAATTATTTTTTATAATATTTACAAAAATGCTCCAAATTATTGAAATAATTCCTCTTTCTTGTGTCATTTTTATTTCATTCTGTAATAAAAAAGAATTGGGTATACAGGGTTCCTGCAGCTTGAGGACAATAAAATTCCATGACTTCCCCCTGATTTTTTCCATGACCAAATTATGAAAATCCACGACCTAGTTCATCAAAATGCAGATCAATACTGTGAAACTTGTTCCGTGAAATGCGCTTAACAGAACCAGTAAAACAACAAAAACAAAGCAATAATGTCTTTCGAAACCAAAATGCTTGTATCAGGGAAATTTGGCACACTTTGCTGGGTATAAAAATCAGATTTCCAATGCTAACTTATGAATAAAGTATAAAATATAACATAAATTGGTCGTCACTTTTCCATGAGTTTTGTCATTTTTTTTTTTATACATATTTCCATGATTTTTCAGGTCTGGATAGTGCAAATAAAATCCATGGCTTTTCCAGGTTTTTTTCCCCCAGCCCGCTGGAACCCTGGGTATATAATTAAGCGTTTTCAAATTGCTGATTTTCTCATAAATTGACAAATTACTCTGCCCCACTGCCACTTACAAGATGCCAGCTACACGCACTTGAGTGGCGGCTGTCATTCTAATAGCAACCTTGAGAAGTCCAGCAGCGACATGAAACAAGAGACTGCTCACAATGCACCTGCCTATCTTATCCTGATTTGCATCCTTTATGAGATAGTTTGAGACATCAACTGACGAAGAGCCACGTTTTGATTAACTAGTATTTGGTGCCCCCCCCCCCAAAAAAAGAGAGAAACAGAATTCATCACTGAAGAAAAAAATCCTGATGTCTCAAGGTTTTTCTTCAGCCTCTTCTTGCCGCTTCGACATCTGCTATCTCTCTTGCTCGTGTCGTTAATGATTGCTCTGCACCTGAAGCGCGGCAAAGCCGCGGTACGTCTCAGCACAGACAGGCCGCGCTCGCACGCACGAACGAAATGGGTCACGGACAAACGACGAACCACTCCCCCCCCCCCCTCCAGGCTGCAACAGTCAGAAAAACTGCTGAGCCTACTGAAACATCGATGAATCCGCCTGTTTTCTTTTCTTTTGTAGCCTGTTTGCTAATTGCGACGCTGCCGCCGTTGCCCCAGATTTTGTAGTTGATGAATTGACAGTACTAATAGTGGAGATGTTGCAGCCTCCCTTCATTGTTACATACCAGAGTTATGGCCGCTTAGCAACAGCATGGCAATAAACCACACAGTGGATAGTTGCTACCCATCAAGGTTTGTTCAACGCGGTTAATGTAAGGCAAACATCTTAAACATTTTCGTCAACAGGGCGAGTAAGCTTGGCGCAGTGGTTACTTTCCTCGCCTTACACCGCATTGGCCTGGGTTCGATTCCTGCCCAGTCCACATGTGGATTGGGTTTTCAGTCCCTACCTGATTCGGTGGGTTTTCCCCAGAATATTCTTCTGGGGTTTTCTTCCCACCTCTAAAACTGTAATTTCTTCTCACTGTCTTCTCTCTACAGGTTTGTTCCGGCTTTTGAGCTACAGTGCCTAGGGCATGGGCACTTTTGAGAAAATCCTTGGTTTCATTACCAGAAAGAAATAAAATTTAAGAAATATAATAAAAAAAATTGATTTGAATGACAACAATAGTTTATATGTCAAATGTGGTTAAAACTTGAACGTCTTGAACAGTTTCGTTAACAAGAAAATCGATTCGAATATTTTCCTTTTAATGGCAATATTTTTCTAAGACTGCTGGCACAGATGACCGTTGTTGTACTACACCAGCCCTGATTTAAATACATTTTTGAGATTACCTTTTCTAGTGCTCTAAATAGCAGGATGTTTTTAACGGACGCTGCTAGTCGGGCCCTCTGTTCATCTGACTTGGGAAACACCACCTGGAAACGAAGAAAATCATTTCAATATTAACTGTTATTTAAATTTTTTCAAAAACAACAACCAAAAAACATCAGCTTGAAAGTTCCCACATAAAATGAAAGTAAACAATACTTCTTTTTCACAACACACTCACAAACATGTAAAGATGGTGAAAATTATCCGAGAAACGTGACCAAACAAAATGGAATTGCATGATAACCTCTGAGGCATCAGAGCCGTCACATTCATTGTGCAAATTTTTTTACAATACATAAACTTAGAATGAACTTACAATACATACAAAATTGGACAAGGCACATTCATTTTAGTTCACATTATACAGTAGTACCTGGCCGAAAAATGTCCGACTATAATTTTAACCTCTGTATATATATATGAATGTTACTTATTTCCAAAAAATGGAGGGGGGGGGGGGGAAGATGTTTCAAGTATAGACCATTATCATGTTACAGCCATCTTAATTATTTTCCATTTAAATCAACGTAACCAAAGCGAGGCTGGAAGGAAAAACAGTCTGGTTCCTTTTTGCACAAAAAACGTTATCATTCAGTACTGTTTTAGGATACAGGGATCCTGACTGAAATGGTGGCAGCATGATACTGGTATATTTCACTGAATGTTTTCTGAAAAGTCAATCGATATTTAGCAAAAATTCAAGTTATAAATGCTTTTCGGTAAATCTAACAACAACTTGCTTTTTGACATGTGTTACTTGTAAAAAAAGAGTTGCTTTGTGTCAAAAATGCAGTATGGATGAAGAAGATAAAGTTAACCTTGGAATTTAAAATTATCCAAAAAGATCTAAATTCACCGAAAAAAGGAAACCTTAGACAGGAAGCTGTTTGAAAAAAAGTGCAACTCGACCAAAAATCACAAGGTCAAAATTACGAATGGCAGAACAGCAATTCCTGACAAGGCAAATGAATGGGCAAACACAAAATCACCTGGGTTTATTATCTTTTTTTTTATCATTCTTTGCGATTTCACCTCTTGAAGGTTACACAGTCAAAAAAGCTCGGGCAGAGAGTGCGGTGTTTTCCCGGCGACCTGAGTCATCATAACACAACACAAATATTCATTTCCTGTTCTCTGGTTAGTAGGCCTACAGGCATACATGTGTGAGAGTAGTTCATCCAGCCATGAGGGTAAACTGCATGTGCCCATAGTCACCTGCTTTGCAAAGGTTGTTTGTGTTAGCTATACGAAATAGCCTCCGTGCCAAAACATCGTCCAATTTAATATGGTCATTGTATCGCAGAATGGTGTGTTTTGACAACTCTCCAATAGAATTTAAGTAGTAGGCCCTAGTTCATTCACTGTTAGGTTGTTTTGTTTTTGGTGGGTTTTTCTTTTAAAGGGGGGTTTTAAACATTTTTGAAGGCTGATTTTGTCATGCCATAATCTCACTTGTTGTAATATCCACAAATCAATTAAAATGTTAACGTAATACGTGACAATGTTATACAAATATTTGTGCGTACTTTTAAAAACACATGAATTTGTCATGCCACAAAGTTGCAAATGTATAAATTGGTATCTACGATTTCATTTATCTACTGATGCCAAAACTTTCTACTACCGGGTATTTCAGGCAAAAGTGAAAAAAGGGATATGCACGATCAGATTTCATTTTGATGGCTTTCCAATTTTTGAAAAAAAAAGTGAAGGTTATCGGTCACTTCATGAACCACTTTTAATCTGCTACTGATGTTCTTCAAATTAAATAGTTTTTGCTTACACTGATGAAATTTTTTTATTGCTCCTCAAATTTTATGTTACTTTTTGTGTAATTTATGCAAATTATTACTTTTTGGGGGTTTGGAGTATCAGAATGAGAATATTCAACAAAAATGAATGTGTTTACTTCCTCAGGGATTTGAGGATTTCCGTTTGCTTTTTTTTCCTTTCAAAGAGCATATATGTTGAACTTCTACAGTGCCAGGAAATACACAGTAGAATATGCAGCTTTGCGGGAAGTACTTTGCTGCTGTTCGTTCAAGGTTTTTAAAAACATACACATGTTGTACATGTGGGAAATGCATTGCGGACCACAAACAGAAAGAAAATCTTGCTGAAATGAATGAACAAAGTCCCAAGCCAACCTTCCCAATAAAAATTAAAAATCAGGGAGGAACAGATAGATAAATTTCACCATTCTATAAAAAAAACCAGGATGTCAACAGTATTCACGAGTAATAACTTTGCATTTAATTGATTGATAAACCGAGTTAATTGACCTACTTCAGTGCCCCCTCAGTGAAAGCCGAGATCTCACTGCCACTGCTAATTTGCATATTGCCTCATAGTGACGGGGTCGAGTGACCTTATGACCCCTGACCCACTTACCTTAGGCTCATTCTCTGATTCATCCTCAGCTTCTGGATCGTAGCGCTCTGCGCATACTACAAAAACAAGAAATAATAGGTTCAAATGTATACGTATGTATAACTTGCATCAAGTTTTAAATGCATATAAAAATGCAAGGAGTTTTCAGCAGCATTTTTATGAAGCAACTTTGCTTTTGAGTGCATACGAGCAAAGTTCATTAAAAAAAAAGGTTTTGATAAATTCAATATCTATAGCTCTTTATCTCAAAAATGCACAATCCTGTATGAAAATATGCTGTCCAAAGGTTCCATGTCAGGACTGATAAATCATTGAGTTCATTGAGTTTTACAATTGTCTGCCATTTTGCAGGTTAATAGAATATCACTGCAAACAAATCAAGCAAAATGCAGAATTCCTGATGGTCTATATTCAATTTTTCCCCCTTGTAGTCAGTGTACCGTATGCCATTCTTGTTTCTATTTTATTTGAAGTATTGTTTGTTTTTTCTTGAAGTCCAATCCAGTGTATTTTGAAATAAACACTTGGGTCCCATTTGTCTTTGTTGAAATTTTTTTATTTTTTTTACTGTGTACTAACAGCCTTTCTTTTCCATTTGTTTTCTCTCTTGTTTGTATGTTACTACAGGTAACGGTATGGTAAATATGATGGGCACAACTGACGGGCTTCGTCAAGTTTTAAGCTGAAATTGAATACGGGTTCAGCGAACCAAGTCGATAGTAATTTAAGGAAAGGGGAGATCTTTTTCCTGCATAAACAAAGTCTGAGGTTTTGTTATTATGGTGCATTTTTTATAAACACGAGGCGGCTTTGGCTGCGCAAGATAAAAAAAATGTTCACTTGATATTTCTATGCATGCTTTTTACTTAGTTCTTGTCGAAAAGGGAAAAACAATTAGGCGTATCACTTTACATGGAGATGAATTTAAAGAACTGTGCATTAAATTAATGAGAAAATTATACTTTGCCTCTCCACATTTTTGTTTTGATAGTGCTGATGAACTCAATACTGTTCATTTGTTCATAAAAAGTGGGGCGTTCTGGCAAAATGAGACAGAACTGGGCAGAGGTTGAATGAGGGTTTGCTGGTATTAGGAAAGAGAATAAAATTCTCCTTACAATACTGTTTGTTGCACTTCAATCGGACATTCTGTTGACAAGTTTAGGCTGTTAGAAGTTCACAAAAAAGTAAAATACTGAGAAAAAGGCCCTTAAAGTTTGAGTTTTGTAGTCTTGGAAAAGAAAGATGCCAATTATTTTCCTTAATTAAATCACTTTGATTCCACAAATTTTATACTATTTATTTAAAATATGTGTGGTAGACATATCAAAGATTACAAATATCAATAAATCTGAAAATAGGAAAAAAAGCACCCCCATTCAATTTTTATTTTCATATTTCTCCACTGCGGCCTGTGCCCAGTCCCGTCTCATTTTGCCACATTTTGTCATTTGACCAAAGATCTGCAAGATAATTCTACCACATCGATGTCTCAATACTGTAAGATACAGTGTACAGTGAACTTTAGAGCTTTATGGTTTATAAAACTGCAACTTTCGCGAGCGTCACAGACTAATATGTTTTGTTTTCCCATGTGGTACAGTAGCCTGCTTTTCTTTTGGAAACTTCCTCACAAATGACATAACAAACCTTTCTATTTCATTGTCTTGGTTATGGGTACCCAATTCCATAATCTGGAACCGGTTCCTGACAACGGTTGGGTACCAGGTTCCGATGCACAGCCTTAGTGCCTTACGGTATTCCAACTAACACTACACATAAAAGCATACAAAGTTACACGTACCGGTACCGGTATGTATGACACAATACATTTTTTGAAATCGGACCATGGAATTATTGCTAAATTATAAATATTGTTTTGAAACTTGGTCATGTCGTGTGATTCATGTACATGTACAAGTGTTAGAGTGAAAAGGTATAAATCTTTACTGCCCATTCGTATGGATGGCACATGTACAATGTAGAGTATGCATACAATAATGTTGGCGTTAAAAAAAATACTGCTTTCGATGCCTGTATCAAGTAATGACTTTCGTAAGTGCTAACCAAATGTTGGAGGGAAAAAAGGTCAAGCTCGCTCTGGCTCACACCAAACTAATTGAATCATCCATCCTGAGTGAATTTGGCACCGCAAAAAAAAAAAAAACTCAACTGGCCTCTTAACGACACGTACTGCAATCGATCCCAGCCTGTGTAAGCTAAACAGCGAAGGCCTTCCATTTTGGCCATCCTACAGAACAAGGTGGGTCCCGATAGCAGTAATCAAGCGGGAGAGAATATCGGTGGGGCCAAAAAAAAAAATTTAAAATCAATAATTGGCGAAGAGCTATGTGCGTGGACATTCCACCACAGGCGACTTATTATAATCTAGAAAAGGGTAGGTTGAGAATGCCAAGCACAATAGCCATAGGAGAGGAGGGCAGGGGAGGGAGTTCGCGTTGGGGATGGATCAATATGTGTGCCGTCAAGCACGTCTGATCCATACCGGGGCCTGGCCGCGTGTTCTTGCCCGTCTCCCTGGCGCTAAGAATCTCCGAACAAACTCTTAAAGTCGGAGAGCTGACCACCTGCTGTTAACTCCCCCTCCAACTCCCTTGAGAGCCCAGTCATAGTTTGAAAGAGAGAAGGATCGCCTTCTGAATAGACGTTGATCTTTTTTTTAGGGGGGGGGGGGAGATGTCTTTTGCTTGGATGGGTTTTGACAATGAAAGATCAAACTGCTATAAGCTACGCATTCAGATCTTTGTGTGTGCATCACATGTTGGACAATGTGTTTGGTTTTTGTTGTTAGAATCATTCAGGTTTTTTTTTAAGGAACTGACGTCTTGGTGTTCCTGTGAATGTGCCGATGACCGATGAGAGACTCTTGACAAATTGACATCGATAAGTGTGCCATGGCCATGAAGGTCTGCTGGTACAAAGCCACTTGGTATTGTGAGGAGTAAATCCCCACTTGGTCCAAAAGACGTCACTTGTCCTGCTGTCAATGCTTGTCAGAAGAAGTTGTCACTTGTTTTTGTAGCTCACTGTGGCGGGGCATGTCAGTCTATCAATCTCATGCATATTCATGACGCTGATAAAGACATCGGAGCCTGTCCATTATCACATCATTCATCGTCAGATGCTGGATCATGATTCCTTGCACATTAGGCTTAATGATCTGAACACCGAGCAACGCCAATTGCAATTTGGACGCAAATTTGACTGCCAACTGAAGGCAATTTTCTGCCTCAAGTCCTTACTGTTAAAAACAGTAACGGCAATTGAACATAATGTGCGACTGGGGTGTACGTGACCAACAAACACTCAAAATGGTTGTCAAATGTCTGATTCTATTAGCATGACTCACTAAAATGGCAACTCACCTGATTTTCTTCTTGAAAATCTGTTTCTTGGAAGCTCTGCAGATGAAAAAAACACAGAGAAAGTTGTTTATTGCAGTATTTGATGTTTTTGTTAGAATGAATGAAGCTGGCATTTCAGATTTAATACAAAAATTGATTTGGTTTTAAGTACATGTACCGGTATGCTATGCAAATCGGGCGATTCACAATGAAGTGCACCACCAAGAGTTTGCCATAGAGAGTCCATTTTTCAAATTTATACGGTCGACCAAACATGGCCCATTTGAACAAGTGTCAGTAGCGTTCTGCCGCCTTACAAAAAATGCTATATTGATACTCGAATCATTCGCTTATGAATCTACTGGCCGGAAAAACTAACAATTCAAATGCCCCGCACTGTGAATTTGTCGACCATCTCCCACAATGCACTGGGAAAATGCACCGCAATGTGATCGCCCAGATTGTCTTCAGTGTGACTTGAACATTACTTTTTCCATTCTCCGAATTGCTGCTGTGCTACAGTACCATGTACAGTAGCTCCGTGATCTACATGTAGAGTTTCCAATGTCACAATTTAAACAAAATCATAAATTCTTCTGAAATTCATGAAGTCTTCATAAATTCAAGCACATGAGTAAATCTCAAATATTTGTCTTCAAGAGTGAATTTATGCAATTTCATATTCTATTCTACACATTTCACATAGAATACACACTCAAGTTACGGTATACGAAGTACAGCTTGATCAAAAAGACAAAAACATCTCAGTTAATTGTAAACAATAAAGTTGACAGCATGGCAAAAGTTTCACGCATTTTTAGTAGACTGTTTTTGTGCTCGGAAACCAATCTCGGAGTAAAAACATACTCCCTCTCAGGTGACGCTAATACACAAGGTGGCTGAAGCTAACTTGGACATTAAAATGGCAATCGTGGCATCTGCCTCAGGTGTTTGAACCACAAGAGTGCAGTGGTATTCAGCTGTGTGCATGGGTCACAAAAAAAAAGGGGAGAAAAATGGAAAAAGAAAAAAAATCCTGTATTTGCCTTTTCTCCCTAAGTCCCCCTGGCATTTATGACATACGGCCTGAACAACAGCAGCAATATTAACGCCGAAACTCGAGGTCCTGGGGCGGACAAAATACTGTCCGATCAATATCACAGGCAAAATCAACTGAAAAATATATTTCTTAATCTTTCTTCGTTATTTTTTCTGTTTCCTTTGGGGAGTCAGCGTCCGTATGTCTGCAAAGCGATTTGGACGGGTGTGGCATCGTATAACATAAGCCAATGATTCCAAATTGCCTTGAAAATGAAATTAACTCTGGTTAGAGCCTGCAAGATCTTCCCAACGGGGAATCAGAGTCGGACACATTGATGAATCTTTGTTTCAACACATCTCTTGCCTTGAAACCTGTCTATGGCCTTTTCTATCTGTTTACACAGCTCGGAGCAAACCTGTATCTGTATGTATACTCACTATACAGGTGGACTTGCCGTCAAATACATTTTTTTCTGGCTTCGTTTTTTCATTTTTTTTTATAATATCTATTGAATGCCATAGTAAGTGTACATATTAAATAAACAAAGTTACAGTGGTTAGTCTTTGCCAACACAATTTATAGCTAAAGTGCAACAAAAAAAATACAATCAATAAATCATCATAAACTACATGTATATTCCCGCAGGTAAGTGTACACATTAACATTCCGAAGTTATATTGTACAATGTACATGTACATGTACAATGTACATGCACATACACACAAAACCATCATTACGTTATTGACCATCATTACGTTATTTTATCATAGTGTACATGTACAACACTATGATAAAATCATCTGAACACGTAATAAGAAACAACACAATACTTTACCAAATTCCATTTCTCATGATAAATTCAGGTCAAGACTAAAAAACTAACCAAAAAATTAGGAAATTATGTCTACCGGTACGAGAGGCCTACAAATTATCAAAACAAAAGAGAGATCCTGTCTATGGACTTCCCACTCTGATTGACATCAACACTCACCCTCCTCAATCCTCCAAAACCCTCCAGGCCGTTTTGGAAGATTTCGGAGGATTGAGGCTGCATGGCAAAGATGTCGGCAGATTTTGGAGGATGCATTGTGTCGAGTTCCTAGGCTGTACCCAGCATTGTTTATGTTCAGTCATGCATAACTGAGCCCTGCATTATGCTCGATATCATCTGCACTGCTTCTGAATGTCATCGGCACTGCCTCAACCCATTAACAGTGATTGTTGAAGGATTCTGAAGGATTGAGGCATTGGTCACCCCTCCCACTTAACAACTTCAAGAAAGAACGGATGATTTTCGAGGATTGAGGCTGAATCCAATTTTTACATGGTAGCAATTGGAGGATTGAGGATGAATCCTATAGTCATACATGTAAGGGCCAAGGGGGTCAGCGTTAAAAAAATGTATTCAAATATTATTCATGTCATTTCTTATTTAAAAAAATATCAAGAAATGTGAATTTATACAAGAATATAACAGCATTAAAAGACTTACATACATACATGCACAGAAATCCATGGAGCAACAAAACAAAAAGACCCTCACATTATCGATGGACAGCTCAGAATTCAAATTGCCTCGATCATCAAAGACAAACAGTTCCCACGCACTGCTTTCAAAGATCTTTCTGATTTCCCTAGCCTCAAACATCCAAGTCATATCGTCACTTTTTTTTTTCTTCTGTGGCCAAAAGATTCCCCCTTGCCCAAGGTGGCTGGATATAATATTCCCCACAGGCTCGCTGGTGAGGACTGTTAGGGAATGAGGCTGCAGCGCCTAATTTCCATGACGTAAATGAACTCCGTCCGTCCGCAGCCCGTAGTGCGGCACACGCCTAATCAGTCGAAGGGAATGAGAGAGCCCTGATTGGAAACGGGAGTAATTAGGCTGATGACAGGTCTGCATTTTGACCATGAGCGTTTGGTGTTGGAAAAGGGCTGCAGGAGTTCTTTGCCCTTTAAAGGTAATATACAACATTTGCAAACATCAAAATACAAAATTACCAACTTGTTACAAAATACCTTACTTGACTCTAAGTGGATAATAGACTCAAGCATCTTGTGAAATTATGGCACCTGGCCTTTGCTGTCATTTTCAGGAAAATTTGAATTTTCGTATCAATTTCCAACGATGGGCGGCTGACCATCGTTGGATAAAAACTGACTTTTTTGAAATACTGCCCCCAATTTACCAAATTTAGTTGGTCCATATTTTGTTCGCAATCGGTTAATACGCACCCGGGAACGGGTGCAAGCCAGCTAGTCCGGATCCCTGACCTGACAATTCCCCAACGTTTCGTCTGAAGTAGGGTCAGGGGACCAGACTACAAGAACAACATTTTTTTGAACACCAAACTTCACACTGGTCAGTACCCCCAAATCCATCCATTTCTGAAAATTACAGCGACAGCAAATGCTGTATCGGTATTTTAACTTGTAGAAGCCATACAGTTGGTTAGTGTGTTTATCACACCTGATTTTTTTTAATGGTATCATAAATAACAAACAAATTGTGCTGGTAGTTAACTTGAATCAATTCCACCTTTGCAGACTTAGATTCGGCCCCGACATGGCAGGTTGTTTTGAATAAAACATGGCTGACAATACTTTCTGTATGTTCCCACTACACTAATTCAATTTTCAGTATTGATACCAAACAGCCAATTTCTAGTTATCCTGTCAAAAGGATTGTTGAAGCGTAAGTCGGGTTTCTTTTAACAACACGCACGCACCTACACATCCAGGAAAGTCAGACGAGGAATGTGTGAGTGAAGATTTCACACAATCCATCAACTTTACAATTTCTTTTACACCACGATCCAATGTCTATTAGCACACAGCATGGCAGACAGGCCATCACTAAAACCATTCATATATTCAAATATTATGCGTATAGTTTGTAGTAAATTGCAAACTGTGAATAAATTATGGAGTGGGACTGCGAAATCTTTGTATGAATATTCAGACATTCTGGAAAGTTCCATTGATTGTAATATCTGCCCTTTCTGTCAGTACATATTTTGTTTTTGGTGATGGCAGTTTTACAAAACATTTTTTTTTCTTTTTTGAGTGATGCAGGTTTAGACAAACCATCTTCAGCAAGACAGACCAACAGTGGTAGTATTGATCCAAAAATGTTGTAACTAAGTAACATGAAACTTAACACATTTGTAGCTAGGTGCATACCTTTCTAAATACTGCAGTGCTAAACAGTGTTGCCATGGATGACAACGTCAAATTACCATGACAACACTTCATCTACAGACCTACCGGTACCGTATGTACATCGTTTACAAAAACACCTGCAGTCTGGATTTACATGTGATTATAAATGGGCATGACGTCATTTTGCTTTAGTACTTTTTAAATATGTATTCAAATTATAATTAACAAAAGGTATGATTTTTATGCTACATGTACAAACGACACCGAAAAAAAAAAAAAAAAAAAAACGATAACATTTTCAGTTCTGTTTTATTTTATGTCTGAAGATTCGGTCAAGAATAAACAGATTTAATTGAACCCAATTGTGATAAGTGGTTTGGCTAGTGTAAGTAGTCCTAACAGCGAAACATGTACATGTACACTGTATAATATCTACGTATTAAAAAGATAAGCACTACCCATATCCTTGCAGATAAGTGATGGTTGTAATCGCCCAAATCGGATATAAATCTAGCCTTTCGGTTTCGGATTTTGTACGCACGTGTTAAAATAATGGTTTATTTTGCCCCGAGCTCAGGGTATTACTAGAGAAGATGGAGTAGTTGTCGATCTCAAGAGTAGCGGGAACACAGATGATCATGGGGTTTAGAATGAGTTTTAGATCAGTTTTGGATAAGATTATCAATTTCAAAATGGGAAGGGATGTTCTACATATTTATTTTGAAATTATAATGACAAATGTACTGTAAATGATAACACACAAAAAAGGAAATTTGCAATTCACAATGTATGGGTTTTGCTGTTTGAACAATTGTTTTTGCCAATTTTGCTAAATTCAGTACATGAAAAGCTA